ACGTGATGCGCTCGCGAGAAAAAATTACCCACCAAAAATCTTCACCTTCAATTCAGAACTTCCCTTCTCATACAACTTCTTCAAACATGGGTAACGGTAAACCAAGAGGTCTTAACTCGGCCAGAAAGTTGAGAGTTCACAGACGTAACAACAGATGGGCTGACCAGGCTTACAAGTCCAGATTGTTGGGTACCGCTTTCAAGTCGTCTCCATTCGGTGGTTCTTCCCACGCCAAGGGTATTGTGTTGGAGAAGATCGGTATTGAGTCCAAGCAGCCAAACTCCGCTATTAGAAAGTGTGTCAGAGTCCAATTGATCAAGAACGGTAAGAAGGTTACCGCTTTCGTGCCAAATGACGGTTGTTTGAACTTCGTCGACGAGAACGACGAGGTCTTGTTGGCCGGTTTCGGTAGAAGAGGTAAGGCTAAGGGTGATATCCCAGGTGTCAGATTCAAGGTTGTCAAGGTTTCTGGTGTCTCCTTGTTGGCTTTGTGGAAGGAGAAGAAGGAGAAGCCAAGATCGTAAGCTCCTTGCCTCATGTGTCATATCAATAAAATAATAACGTTCCGACGGGCCGCCACGCAGTTTTGCTGCTGTGGGTTGGTGATGTAGAGCCAGCTGTAAATTTTCAAATTTCACTACTTGATGGTAATTTTTCACCCATCGACGGTGGGGTACTCGATAGAGGTGATCCATCCCTGTGATCTGCCCATACAGTTTAAGGAAAGTCTTACTATAGCGTTCAACGAAAAGTCTTAAATAAGTGTCAGTTAGGATATTATTTGAATGCAAGAGTTTGATGGATAGATTATGCGTTCGTCATTTTCAGTGCTGACTGACGAGTGCAACACACTGCATGATCTGATCTGTGAGTTTCTTAAAGCTCCAACACTTTGATGAAAAGATTTCTGATGTGTATCGTCAAATCTTATTCCAATATGAGTAACACTTTACCATTTATTGCTCTGTGATTTGTATCAGCGTTTCTATGTGAGGCGTGGATCATGGCAGTGAAGCCCTGGACTGAATACTCAGATCCCACATACTGAAAAAGTGCCTTATCCATCTGAATATCATGAATGGTGAAGATCTGAGTAGGCTTCTACGAGAATGAATGTAGTAATGTGGTTCTTTATTTTGGGTCTCTTTATGCACCTGTTGGATAACTATCTACCATTCTGGTAAGCGCTCCTGTGATGTAACCGGCTGCAAGTCGTACACTTGAATATTTCATATCATGATTGAAGCCCATAACCTGATCATCATTCAAATACATGCGCTACTTGTCCACTTCTTATTCTACGCTCCCGTCTCGACTTACTATGACATTTTTTATATTACATGGAGAGGTTCTTGCCCTCAATGGAAGGTCCGCTTTTCTTGACCAGCTTCTTACGCGAGTTGGTCATCTTACGGTTGATTCTGGTGAAACGCTCGTCAGTGCCTCCCCTACCCTGTCTGGCCAATAAGCTAGCATCCACTCTTGGAGCGATCTTGTACGCCGTGGTTCTAGCACTTGGAATGGCGGCTCTGTTTCTGCGCTCAGCCTGCTGCTCGTAAAGCGACTTGGGCTCGATCTGCTTGGAACGCTTCTTCAGCTGCAACTGGTTCAGGAAACGCAGCTTGTTGTAGTCGTGGAAACGGATTGTTCTATCCTTGTATGAGTCTGACTTGTTGAGAATGGGTCTGGTCCAGTCGCCGATCAAGCGGTCGACAATCTTCTTTAATGTGGGCTCTGTACGCTTACTGCGCTGGTAGAACACCAAAACCTTACCAATGCCGGAAGCGACCAAGTGGTCGGTCTTGATAGGCAAAGTTGTGAGGGAGTGGATCAACTCTTTCTGGATCTGGTAGGCGGGCATGGAGGCGTCGGGCAAGGGCTCGAGCCACAAACGCACGGCCTCAAGAAGGTTGTTGTCCAAAATGGAAATGGCCAAGTCGGCCTTGCTCATGGTGTCAATCACCTCCCTTAGAAGCTTGAGCTTTTCCGTGGCAATCTGCCCGTTGGAGTTCTTTTCCACGTCGAGGTTCGCAGCCTCGATCATCTTGTTCTTCAAGAAATCAATCTTGTCGTCTTGCATGCGCTCCAAGTCGTCCTCGTCGGCCTTCTTTCTTCTCACTGTCTTGTTTTTCACCGCCTGGTCCATCTTCTCCTCCAACAAACGGCGTCTTCTGGCCGCAGGATCCTCGTTCAGGTAGTCGATACCGTCATCCTCCTCGTATGTAGCAGGAAACAGCGCCTCGGGTGCCGGCGTGGCCAGCTCTTCTTTGGCGGTTCTTCTGATATTCTTCTTTTTCGTCTGTTCACCCAGAGCATTCTTGTGGCTCTGCATGCTGTAGATGTCTTCGTCGTCGTACTCCTGACGCTCCTCCTGAGGAAGCTCGGGATCGAACTGGGGCTCTGGCTGGGCCTCGTCGACGCCAGAAACATCGTTTTGTGGGTCCTGGTCGTCTTCTATGTTTTCCTCGCCAATCGTATCAGGAAGCTCCTTATCATCGTCATTCTGGAGAAAGTTCTCTTCTGCACGCTGCTCAGCAGTCTCCAACGCAGAGGGCTCTTCAGTGGACATGGTGAAGAATTCCTCTAGCTGTATATGTATATTTGAGAGCTTGGTGATGGTGGATGTAGTCTGTGGTGCACGGGTGCGCAGCGGACCATCAACCTACACCTACTCCAGATCTCAAACGAGTGCTTACACCAGTTTGCTATGTCCCAGTACATTGGCAAAACCATCTCGTTGATTTCCAACAAGAACCTTCGTTATGTCGGTATCTTGGAAAACATCAATGGCGAGGATGCCACCGTTTCCTTGAAGCTGGTGCGTCCCTTTGGCACTGAAGGCAGAATGGCTGCCCAAGGTTTGGCCCACATGGAGGTCATGCCTGGTGCTGATATTTACGATTTCGTGGTTTTCAGAGGCACAGACGTCAGGGATTTGACTGTTTTGGACGAGGCCATCGAGGACGTCAAGCCTCAGCCTTACACTGGTGCTACCTATCCTGCTGTTCCTACTCAAGGAATGCAGGCTGGTCCTACAGGAGCTCCTTCTCAGGCTCCCAGCGGTCCTGGTGGTGTGGCGCAGCAGCAACAGGCTGCTCCTACCGGCTCCTCGGAATCCAAGACCGCAAAGGCTCCTGAGTCGAAACCATCTCCTACTCCAGCTTCTAGAACCAAGCCCGAGCCAAGCGCCACCACCAAGGAAAAGAGCCCTAAGCCTGTCGACAGACCAGAGCCCGAGGAGCAGTCGGGCGAGTTCGACTTTGAAAAGGCCAATGCCAGATTTGAAAAGAAGACCGCTGGCGACCAGAAGCCCAAGTACGACAAGAGCTCGTCGTTTTTCGACACCATCTCGTCCTCGAACACGGAGCGTGGCAACATGCGCTGGAACGAGGAGCGTTCGCTCAATATGGATACATTCGGCCAGGAGGGTTCTCGTGGTAGAGGCAACTGGCGTGGTAGAGGCCGTGGCAGAGGTAGAGGTGGCAGAGGCCGTGGCGGCCGTGGAGGCCGTCGTTCCGAGCCTACACCTGAGTGGGCTTGATTCAGCCGTACATAGCATCGTCATAAACGAGACAGGAGGGTGACAGTGTAGTGCAGTGGGTGGTTCATGTATTTGGTATCTGGGTGTTTTCCGTTAGATCGATAATTTTGATGTGGAGATCTAAGTGGATGGAGGAGCTTCCGAGTGGTTGATATCTATTTTTAACGGGTGGGAAAAATTGCTACCTATCTTAAGACGGTACCTAGATCATCCATCACCTCATTAACAGTTGGTGAAGAATTTCGCAGCCATTTATGACACTACAGGTTCTTACAATACAATGATAATCTGAGTAGCCCAATAACCAAAAAAAAACTTGAACAATGATCGCTCTCCTACAAACTCTATTCAATAGTGAAAAATGCAACTAGTTCTCCCGATTGTGTCGCTGCCAATCTCAACCCAGTAGTCCCACCTTCTATCAAGGACCCTGGGATCCACCAGTAACCATCTTTCCAACATATACATCTCACCATCAACTAAAACCAACATTCACAACCCAAATCGACCACTAAAAAACCACTCTTTTCGACTTTTGACAAACCTCCACCTCCAATACCTCTTACCTCTCATCCACCCTCACCATCTCCAAGTCGCACCATCAACTACTACTCACATCTCCCATGTCCACCCTCCGCTACACATACAACACCCTACTGTGGGCGCTACGGGCGCTAGCCTTCCTCCACTTCACACACGTCCACATCTACGAATACACAGAAACTCGAGGCGAGTCCATGCTCAACACCATAGCGTCTCGTGGAGACTTTGTCCATGAACTGAAGCGCTACCGTCTAGGACGTGGTGTACAGATGGGCGACGTGGTGGTGATGGCCAAGCCTACAGATCCAAAGGCTCGTGTTTGCAAGCGGATTCTGGGGATGCCAGGGGACGTTGTGCTTGTGGATCCGTCCAAGTCTTCTGAATTGGCGTATCTGCCTGCGGACCAGGTGCTGAACGACGGCTACAATCGGTACATTAGGGTTCCTGAGGGCCACGTGTGGGTGACAGGAGACAATTTGAATTTATCTGTGGATCTGCGGACCTTGGGGTGTGTGCCAATGGGGTTGATCAAGGGCAAGATCTTTGCGGTGAGTCTGAGCAGCCACGGGTTGATGGGCGAGGACGGACGGTCGTTCTTGAACCTGCGCTGGGTGCAGAATACCTTTGTGGACGAGTGACGTAGAGAATGAATGAATGATAGAGACGGTGTAGGAGGGTCTAATGAAAGCTCTTTTGCAACTTGAATGAAGGATAGCATTGGAGACTTTAGGTCAAGATATAAATGAAGGATAGCATTGAAGACTCAAGGTCAAGATATAAAGAATAATAATCGGTTCAATTGGCAGATCTGGCAGTCAATCGGTACCGCCATGAAATATTTAATGTATCATTTTTAGCAACTCAGACCAACCCCATGGCTACATCAACGGCTAACTGAACTTTTTCTATACATAACTTATGTGGATGCCTCGACAATGGTACGCTGCTTGGTTAAGGACTTCAAGGCTCTGGCACCAAAGATAAGAGCAGGAGCAGTGAGGGCCGCCACAGAGAAGATCGTGGTGAAGATCGACGCAGACAAGTAGTAGCGGAAGAAGGTGAATTCGAAAAGGGCAAGTGTAGTAAGGAACCCGCCCTTGAATGGAATACCCTGGTTAGCCACAAACAACGAGTTGCCCACAACGGAGAACCAGGCGCCCACCAAGCCGAGGAAAAGAGCAATTGCCACACCGCTGAACGCAAGAGGCACAACAGGGTTGACGGTCTTGGGGTCCTCGTTGAAAATGTGGTGGATCTCAGGCTGGGCTCCGAGTCTCTCTGGAGCCTCGTAGTTGACAGATGACTGCAAGGCCTCAGTGGGGATGAGCTCACCGATCAAAGTGTACAAGTTGCCCTTCTTCTGCTCGCTAGCAGCAACAAGGTAGACGAAAACACGGTCCTGGAGCAAAGCAGCTGGGATCTTGTTCACGAGAAGCAGCAGCGACACGGTGTGTTTCTTAGCATCGAATTTGGGGAAAATGGCGTGGTCCAAACCGGCATCGTTGGAGAAGACGTAGTTCAACTGGTGAGGCTGGGTTTCAGCACCCTTGAGCTCGACAGTGAGTGCCAACTTGTCTCTGACAGAATCGAGGGTAACTCTATGGACGGTGTCGGATTTGGGCTCAATGTCAAAGGCCTTATTGCCGTTCACGGAAACCAGGCCCGACTTGATGGAGTATGACAAGGCGCCTGCTAGAAGCGGAAGCCACGCGGCGGCTTTGAAGAAGTGCATTGGTGGTTTCTGGAGAAGTAGGTATTGGTTATAGAAACGAGAAACGCTAAACACTTTGACGTGGTCGCGAGGCTCCACGCAGGAGGCACCACAGGGTAGGAAGTGGAGGGCACTAAATGGGTTTATTGGGATGGAGTTTTGGAGAGCTTTGATGAATTGGTTTTCGAAGATTGAGTGAATTGTATGATTGGCTTTTTTGGGGCAGGAATTGGCCTTGTCTGGTTGCATAATTGGGGTCTTGTGTTGAACAGAAGGGTGCTTAGACGTGGAAAATAGGGTCATCGAAACGTTTTGGGTTCGAATCGATTGAAATATTTACAAGATCGCCTTCAAATGATACCTTACAGGGCTTCCCTTTTTGAAACTGGTGCTTTGTCGCCAGATGTGAATGGGTGCAAAATGCGACATACTATGGGGACAATACGGGCTAGAGCAATGGACCACCAAATGATCGAAGTTTCCTACAACTTGGTGTATTGAAACAGTTTTGCATTAAATAACTCCTTCTCTGGATTCCAGGAAGCCGTAGAACGCTTACCCCAAACGGGTGCCGAAAGCAACATCCATATCGGAAAGAAGCCTTGACCGATTGGACGAAGCCTTGGATTTTCGAATAGCAGCTCTAAGGCTGGTGCTGCTTCCTGGTTCTTTTGCAGCTTCATAACCGCCACCTTCAGCATTTGGTTCGTTGCTTGAAGGGACTTCTGCTCTGTCCTCAGAGCTTTTGGATCCAAGCTTGGAGCGGAACCATTTCATGAGAGAGACGAAGACCATACTGGGAGAAAAGGGAATTGATTATTTGAACTGATGAAAATAAGAGATGTTTGATCTTGAAATCGAAGGGAGTTCAAGAAGAAGACGGGTTTGTGGGAGGTTAACTAGAATGGTTGCAAATCGCGAGTCAAGGCCACAAACAGAGGCAATGATCTGGTAACCACAATGTATATGGTCAGCATGGAAAGGATAGACGCTAAATTGCAGTAATCTGTGAAATTTAACACTCTTCTTCAAGGATTTGGTGCCCCAGTACCACACATTCTTAGTATGGTGCATTTCGTCAGTAGCGAAGTGATCGAAGCACCAAAAATCTCCCATTTTACCCTTCGAGGATAGTACTCGTCCAATTTCTTCTTGAAATCGGTGCTTTAATGTGTTTTTATATTTATTACTCATGGCTTTAGTTTAAAAGTAGTGGGTGTTTCTAACAATTTGCCTCAGTTCCGCAATATCACCCATATCTCACAAACATTAGTCAGCTTATAAATCACAAAACATTCCAATATACTAACAAAACATATATCCCTCACTTCTCTTCATTCACCATTCCATTACTTACCTACAACAAAAAATTTAATCCAACTCTCATACATTAGGCCGGCTCCACCTCGCGTACTTAGAGTTCGCGACGCATCGCAACTCACATACTACTCTTCCTTGCCATGCAATTTTTGACCGCCAACATCGTGCTATACATCCGCATAGCCTTCTTGCTATGGTTGTCTTTCATGCTCCTTAAGAACCCCTTGGCTCTCACCAACGCCAACTTTTCCATTCTTTTGGGCCAGGCTATGCGTTTGCCTACCATCCAGGTGACCACCACCAACCCACTTTTCGGTCTCATTGCCGTGTTCCTTTCAAGCTACGCCTTGAGTGACTTGGTTCCCCTCTTGTCGGAGAACATTCCCTATTTTGAAAACCTCGTGCCCGTGCGTTTGATGTTCAACTTCGTCTTGGGCGCTTTCTGCATTTCTTCCAACTACGGCTTGGTTGCCAACAACCTCGTCTTCACTTTTGCATTTTTGGAAATCTGGCTCAACTTCTTGATCTACAACAACTTGAAGACCGAAAAGTACACGCGTGTCAAGACTTATCTTGAGGAGCACGGTGAAGAGCTTAGAAAGACCGCCGACGCGCAAGTCGTGCCTCTTTAGCTCTGGACAAAGTTAAGAACGGTCCAGTTCAAGCTCTCTTCGATCTCAAAAATGTCCGTGAATGACAACTGGAGCACGTTCGTGCCCAGCTGGTTTTGTTGAAGGTCCTCGATGTTGGCATATTTAGAAACAGTCAAATTCATGATCAAATTGACGAAAATGTCTCCAGCCGTAACATCAAGCTCGACCAAGAGGTGCTCTTTGGTCTTGAGTTTTTGTAGAATAACCTTGAATTTCGAAAGTGGCTTCTCCACCGCTTTTTGGAAAGGGTTCTTGACAGGACTTCCCTTACGGAGGTTGAGGTACTTGTCCTCGATTATCTCGTATGAGAACTCCTCCAGATTGAGCTTTTTGTAGATCTTGTTAATGATTGTGTGCATGTTCCTGACGTTGATCTCATGCCTTATGTGTCCTATGAGCGGACGGAGGATCAACGGATGCGAGTTGTTTTGCTTCCACTTGGTGAATGAGGTTGGAATCTTCTGCTTCAATTCGAGGTTGTACTTGTAGTAGCAGCACAACATTAGCTTAAGGAAGGTAAGGATTGCTTGTGCTTTTTCGTTATTTTTTGAAGATTCCTTGTTGATGTTCTGGTAAGCGTTTTCGAGCTCCTCTTCATTGTTCTCATCAAAGATGACCGACTCGATCTCGATCACCAGATCGTGGATCTCGATAATCACCTTGTTCGAGATAATTGACACATTATAGTTGATAAGATACTTGGCCTCCCTAATGAGATGATACAAGAGGTCATCCTCAAAAAGAAAGTACCGGGCCTTCTCAATATCGTTGATCACTCTGTACTGGCTTTTTTCCTCCAACACGCTCTTCTCAAACACAGACTGACCAGTCAACACAAAATCGTCATCAAACTTGCTCAATATCCTCACTCGAGTGTATTTATTCGACTTGAGACTGAGCTTGTGGTTGCCCGTCATAATAGGGCTAAATGTAAGTTCTCCTGTCAGTTCATCTTTACGAAGCACAGCCAAGCCCTGGTCAAAGTAGCTCAGACCAGAGTCTCCATAGCCGTATTTCACACCAATAGCACGGTTCCCCGTCAATGGGTCTCTGACTCTGAAAAGCACCTCGTCATGAGCCAATACCTGGTTAATCATGTTCCAGTAGTTGTGCTCTATATTGACTTGTTGGCGCAACAGCTCACCGGCCGATTGAAATAGCGTTTTGATGTGATTGAGCGATTGGTATTTCCAGCCAAGGCCAATGTTCTCTGCCTTGGATCTTTTTGCTTCCTTTGCATTCTTCTGTTCTTGAGCATCAGCATCCTGGTTCAATCTGTCTGAGTTCAAGGATCCCAAAGGAGCCACTTTACTGAGATGTGGCGATATCGTCGACTTTGTGATGCTGGGTTTCACAGCAGACATTAGAAGGGAAATGAAGTCTAATGAGAGTGAGGTCTCGTTCATGGCAAAGTTGATGTGCCCTAGAAGTTCAAACTTCTGTTTTTGGAAAAGCTGAGTGGCTGTCTCGGTATCTTCAGCTTCTGCAGCTTCATGGTCCTCTGCTTCCTCGTCATTGGATCCCTTGTTGGCAATTTCTTCCTCGAGTTGTTCTTCAGTCACATTGAGAAAAGACTGTCTCTCTAGTAATATACGTGGAATTAGCTCAGATATTGGGATTTTCTCTTCATCTTGCATGAAAGGGTCTTCAGCTGTACCGTAGACATCCTGGTCAAACCGAAGAGTCACGTTTTCAGGTTCTGGCATGGTGTTGTTGAAAGTGGTAGTAGGTAATCAGTTGGGTGCGAAATGTGTTGATAGTATCTACAGGCTGCGTACGCTATTATTTTGATGATCTATGTAGCCTACTCCATGAAGTCGTCCAAGTCACCGTCCTCGATTGCCTGCAATAAACCCATCTCGTCGTCTCTGGACTCCAAGTTGTTCTTGGCCAACTCAGTCTTGCTGTCGTCGGAGGGGTACCGCATGGCTTTGACGGAGTCATTATGCAAAGACAAGCAGAAGCGGATTCTCTGGTCAAAGTCCTCCTGGGGCAACTTGGTGGAGTACACGTCCAACAATTCCTTGCTCTTCATGTAGCTCTGTTCGTGATTGAGACTGGCTTCTATCACTCCGTCTCTGATGGCCTTGGAGACAATGTATTCGGTGGCCTCCTCTGAATCAAGGTGCAACTTGATGCAAATGTCTCTCAAGGAAATCTTGGAGTACGAGAGTGAGATCACTCTGATACCGGTCTTGATGACATTTTGACGCAACCGCGACACCAACGTGAAGTTGTCGTCCTTGACGAAAACAGCTTCATACTTGTTCAACACCTCTCCAAAGAGCTTCAAGTCACCGAGACGCACTGCTTTCGTCACCTGGAAGTATGGCTCAAGGTTACCTGACGTCGATTTGAAAACCTTCAATTCTGGGATGTCACCCATCAACAATTCAATGATGATATTCAATTTGGTGGCTGCCTGCAAGAAACCGGTAGCCAATTGCGTCTGGGGAGCTTTTCTGATGGCAGCCACTACACACTCGTGCGCTTGCGAGTAGTCCAACTGAATAGTGTTGATCCTCAGCAAGTAGTAGTAGTATCTGGCGGTGAGAGCGTTGGCAGCATTTGTGGGGAAGACAACCTTTTCACACAAGTTGGCCGCCTGTGAGATCTCGTGCGTGAGTAAGTAGTTGCGCAACAACAAGTTGATCACCATGGCGGTGGTTTCGTCGTCGTGTCTCAAGGTGGCTGTTCTGAGAGCGGCCAAAAGCGCCGGTCTGATCAGGTACAAGTCGCCTCTCAACTCGTGTGTACGGGCAACGTAGAACCACACCTTGACCAGGGCAAAGTCCAAGGTTCTGCGGTTGTAGGAGGCCAACAAGGCAATGACATGTTTGTTGAACTCGTCCAAACGGTCCAATTCGTGCGTATCGAGGAGGTAGAGCTGGACAAGAAGGTGCATGAAAACATTGATTTCAGGAAGCACATCGCCCGACGTGGGAGCGTCGACTTGTGTCTTTGGTAACTGGCTCAAGAGGGTATTTCTGGATGGGTGCTCCACTGGAAGCGTTTTAGCAATAACCAGCGCCAATGTATTGGGGTCCTCGACAATTCTGCGTCTCAAGCCGCCCAAGTCACGGTGCACCTTGGAAACGTATCTGTTGTCGAAGTTGGCAGCTGCTTTCTGAAGCAGGCCAAATGCCAGCTCGATTTCTTCAGTTAAGCTGACGGGCGTGGGCTCCTCTTTGGGAGGATCCTGTACTTTGGAAGCAGCCACCACGGAGGCGTCGGCCATGTCAACGTCGGCGGTCATTGTGGATGTTGGGATTGCGTTGATACGTTGGATTGGTGGTTGATTCTGGCGATATGATATTGCCACTACGGTGCAAGGGTGTGCGCAGCTCCACTGGGCCTTACACAGTGGGCCACTGGTGGGTAGAATTTACCAGGAATGGTTGTAAATATTAAGATTATTTTGTGACTTTGTTATTTTGGGATTCTGATATTTCGAGTAGTCAAATTTTTGCTTTCATTGTGAATGATATGATTCGATAGTGTAAGGGTATGGGGTCTTGTAGGTATTCGCAGCGTAGACTGGCGAGCAAGACTAGTATGAGTGAGTGCCCCAAAAAGACAACATAGTCAAATTTGCAAGATATTTGGTGAGGCTTACTTTCTTTGGAATTTGTTCTAAAAGCGTGGTTTCGAAAAACTGTCGAATTTCATCGATCAGATCGATTCAAGTAGCATTGGCCCTAACATAACGATCCCACTATGTAGCCATTTTGGCATAGTAATCAGGGCTTTCGAATAATAGGTCGGCTCTCACTCCAGCTTTGTCGTTTAGCTGCAACAGAGGCACAAAGTTGTAATTTGACGAAATTCGGGCATATTCTACAACTAATGATCAAATCCAACGACCACCAGAAGCACCTTTGAGAAGTCAGCCCAATGGACTGTGATCAGCTGAACTAACCCTTGTGAAACATTTAAATACCACTGTGTTCTTCAAGCCTCTCGAGCGAAATAGCAACAAGAACCATGGAAATAGAAGCCAAGCGGATTATACTTCTATTGGATCTATAGACGTATTAAGCTTGGTATGATTGATCAAACCTTCAAGGTGCAAAACCAACTCCTGTTTGGGTATAGATATCGAAAACGACCACATAATCATCCTGTGCCACGCTTAGATCCACCCGAGAAACACAACCTTGGTGTCTCCAACAAAGTGGAATCCAATTGTGTCCTTCTCTTGCTCAGAGTACACCTGGTATGGACCTTCGTGCTTCTCGTTTCTCCATCCAGCCACAACTGACAATTTCTTGGAGCTGACAAGAATCACACCGGTGGCGTCCTTTGGTTTATCGTAGTACTCGCCACGATCTTGGACGTTCTTCACCTCGAAGAAGTCCTTCAAGTCAATTTCATCAAGCGACTGGGGAAACAGGTTTTTGGTCCACCACTGGGCCACAATGCCCAATTCGGTTTCCTTCTGGTCTGGCAAAGTGTATGGGCTTGCAAGGAGTGACATATTTGGAGAAAAAGAAGGAGTGGTTTTGAAGTAATTTGTTTACTCGCGCTAATTTACAGCCGTACAGAAATGGCCACAATTGATCCAAGTGCCATATGAGCGCGGCTCCAGTTGCCAATTGTAGATAAGCGTCTTTTGACGAAAGCGTGAGCGAAAAGTCTGTCACATTTTATCCGATCTAGTTTTTACTATTTGTTGACTATTTCAATTTAAAAAAGATCTAGTCTGTCTTTCTTTTTGGACGGTGAAATTGGGCTTCTTGAATAGAGTTTTGTGCCTATTGTTGCGTTTATGTAAGACGTCAAAAGTGAGGCTGATCTGGACCACTAGCGAATTGAACAGCCGATGATTGTGCAACGAGGGAGAAATAAGAGAAAAGTTGATGATGGGGAATGCTTGAACTTTTCATTTGAATGAAATTTCTCGAAGAAAAGTTGTCAAATTCGCTTGGTTGATTGACATCTACTGGATGCGGGCTGCACCCCAAATATGCTTGTTCATGCGCGGTCTTATTGTGTGGAAGGTGCCATTAGTCGCCAACAAGCAGTGATTTAATAGCAATTAAAACGCTTCAAAACAATTTCGAAAATGTTGATTTGTATGTGATTATTAGGCAGCCGGCTCATGTCGCATGTGTGCTGGTATATCACTTTCCTGGTGAAAATACGTCATGAACCCTGCCCCACACGAATGTACCAGCTTGATTGAGCCTGATGGGAGGATGCCCTTTCCTGATCTTTGACAAGATGGTAAACATTGAACTCTTAAATTTTGATGAAATAAGTGTTCGTAATCACTCAACTGGCTTCGAGAAAAATTAGATGCTTCATAGCCTCAGCTCAACTTTGTAGATCAGCTCATGAACCACCTGAAACTATGCCCGAGGCAGTCAAACGAGCAATGATACTCTTATTGAAAGCACCCTCTTTTCAAAAATGCTCCAATTTTGCCTACTTTCGAGGCACGAAGTAAGTACGACATCTAAGCTCAAAACCTACGGCTCATTCAGTACCATCTGTATCGATCAAGTGAGGTCCTACAAAACACCTCCACCTTCCATTTCTTTCAAAGTCCCATGAAATGTACATAGTTGAATTCCAAGCACAATCTGCGAAGCGCCTCGTTGTTGTCAAACCATCCATGCTGACTAAGCTCACCTGAAGCCCAATTTGATGCTTTCTTCAAAAATCCAAGCCCTAAAACCTCCCAATTGATCCAAATACACATAATAAACATAACCACCGCCCATTGAGCTCCCATCACAACTTTCCGCTGACTTCTCACCAACCATCTTCCACCCATACTAATGGCTGCGAAAGCCCTGACCACGTTCTCCACCACTTCACCTATCAACATCAAATTTCCATAAAATCCCAAATCCACCAAAAACACGGAACCTAACAAATCCACTCTTTCCTATATCACCTCCCCACTGCTTTTTCCCCTGGTCACCTGCCTACCTTATCACCGGGTCTCCTGACCTCCGCATTATCGCACGGAACCACCACTTCTTTTTCCATGGACCCCTCAGTTACACCTTCATTGCCCAAGACTCCCGAGTTGGAGCCTGTTTTTCTCGTCAACTTGAAGTTGAATCCTGCTCCTTCGCCTGTTTTCTCGGACTCTGCCAAAGACAAATCGTTGACTTTGGCTAGAGTCGCTGAGGGTTACATTGAGACTGTCAAGAACAAGTACGGCTTTGAGCTCGAGGTGAAGGATATTTCTGGTTTTGATGACATTACTACAAACCACAGAGACGGGTACAACGCGTTGGACTGCAAATTGTACGGGAAAACACCCGAAGGTGCTGGTGTGTACATCACTTACCAAGGTATCATCCAATTGACCGAACCTACCGTGGCTGTTCTTTCTGGAAAGAGCGACGGATCGTCTTTTGAGGATGCTTACGTGACCAGTAACCCTAGAATTCACTTTGATGGTGATGTTCTGGACAAGTACAAGTGGGCCGTTAAGGAAAACTTGATTGGTAAGGGCCGTTTTGTTAAGGACCCCAACGGTAACTTGTACGTGCAATACTACGTCTATGTGTTCCGCTAGGCGGCTATCCAATGCGGGCCCACCTACGTTATTTTAGACGGCCTTTAAAAATTTATGATACTTGAAAACTCCGTAGAAGCCCCTACACTTGATCCTAGATATTAAGCATAAACGCTATTCACGAGGCTCCACAGCCTGGAAACAAAGGGTGAGATGTGAGTGTGTAACCTAGCTCAACAGCACAGGTTGGACTGGTTGTTGGTCAAGGACTGACCACGCAAGTTGACGTTCAGTTTGTTGTTGTTGGCACCGCCCTGGCCAGCTCCGGCATTGCTGGTCATCTGGGCCTTGATCTGCCTGGCCATGGTGTAGAAGGCCTGCTCGACGTTCGAAGACGACAACGCCGACGTCTCCAAGAAAGGAATGTCCAACGCCTCGGCAAACTCCTTGGCGGCCGTGTACTCCACCACCTTCTTGTCGCTCATGTCGGCCTTGTTGCCCACCAACAACTTCATGACACCGCCGGTGGCGTAACGGTCAATCTCCTGCAACCACTGCTTGACGTTGTTGAACGATTCCTGGTCGGTGACATCGTACACAATGATGATACCGTGGGCGCCACGGTAGTAGGAAGAGGTGATGGTTCTGAAACGCTCCTGACCCGCGGTATCCCAGATCTGCAACTTGATGGTTTTGCCGTCGAGCTCAATCGTTCTGATCTTAAAGTCCACGCCGATGGTGGAGATGTAGTCTTGCGTGTAGGTGTTGTCGGCGAAACGCAACAATAAACATGACTTACCGACACCGGAGTCGCCAATCAATAACAACTTGAACAAGTAGTCGTATTCGTTATTCATGATGTGGGGGTAATCTGTCTTTCTAGTTAGCGGGGTCTATGCGAAAGTGAGGCTGGATGCTGTAGGAAAGCGCTGGTAGCGGTTATGGTCTAGATATGGAAAGGGTCCCCTGAAAACAGATGTGTATTGAAGTTAACGTGGAGGAGAGGATCATAGGAGCGAGGCGGTGCGCGCACGACCAGGCTGTATCAGAGCAGACCAGCCTTGTGATTTCAGCGTGGAATGGGCTAACCAAAAAAAAATTATAGATATTTCAAGATTAGAGGGTTTTGAGTTGGTTCTACGTGGCGATGTGTTTCGATTGGCAAAGTTGGTGGTGGATGGGTCTGTTTGATTGGGTGCAAATCGAGACCCCCATCACCAGCTGCAACCAAAGTTTGGTCGCCAAGCGAGGTCAATTATCACAGTTCATTCATTAGGTACTCCTTACTTCGAGCACTTTCTCGAGTCCAGTCCGTGAGGAAGTCGTGCTTCCTCGTTGGCCGACAAAGCAGCGGCTAAACGTCCCGGTCGCTATCTATGAGAACAAGAGATGGCAGATTTCTGACCATCACTCGTATTTAGCAGCCTCCTTGGCCACAGGCCGCGTCTTGGCGCCCTTGGCCTTCTTCTTCGCAATGGCCACCATCTTCATGAACCAGTACACGTTCAAAACGTCCAACGAGAAGTTGAGCACGAGAATCGTAATGGGCCAGAAAATAGACGCCATGTGTGCCACGCGGTACATGTCGTAGGCCACAAGCCCGACGGCGTAGAAGCCCCAGAGGATTCTGACCAGGAAGAAGGTGATAAGCAAGAGAATGCCGTTCACGAGAACAACCTTATCGGGGACCGTGCCGGCCGGAAGCCTGGAGGAGAACCAGTTGACATTGACAAAAGGAGTGCTCAACTCAAAAAGCAAGAACGCCGGCATCCACGGCATGCAATATGGTTTCACGAGGGCCACGCTGAACACGTACAAGGCAGCAAAAGCATGCAAGAGGAAGCCAGCGCCAAAGAGGCGAATGTACAACAAGCACACGATCAAGTCCCAGATGAAGTAGCCAATGGTGATGGCCAGCACAAAACCAGAGTAGGCGTTGTAGCCAAAGATGGAGCCATAAGGGTCGGTTGCACGGTTCTGGAAATGCTCGTTTCCCCAGGATGGAACCAAGGTGACCACCAGGATGATGCACTGGACCATTGAGACCACGTGGATGTCAAAGTTGAGCTTTGTCTTGTGGTTCAAGCCAGTGTAAGCCTTTCCAACCAACGCGGTGGATACCCAGGGAGATACGGCCTGAATGGCACAGTAGAATAAAAACAGACCGAGCACTTCATGCCAATGAGCCTGGAGAGGCGTGGAAGGGTTTGCAGGGAACGGTCTAGCCCAAGCTAGTGGGTCTTCATAAAGAACGAACATGGTGGTGAGTGTTGGGAGCTTCTTTCTGCAGAACGCATGTGGAGGTGCCCCTAGCCCAAAGTGGTGATGGAGTTGATTTGGGGAAAGGAGGGGGAAAGGAGATCGGAGACTTATGGGGTTGGCGATTTTGAAAATAGATTCTAAGGGATCAGATCAAAGCCGATAGGGGTAAGTTGTGGTGGGTTATCTAGAAGCTGTCAATGTTTCGCAGCCATTAACCTTGCATGAACCAGCATGGAAGGTTCGGCAATTGGAAGGATGGGGATGTGTTGGAGATTTAGTGGAATTTTGGTGAAATTGAAGGGGGGCGTTTTTGGAAGAGTTGGCGAAATCTGGCTCCTCCGATAATGCAGAGGTTTGGTGCTGGGGTTAGAAGCCGGAGATACATGCGAGTTTACGAGGTTGCAGAAGGTATAAGGTTGGTGCATCCAGGGACCAATAGAGGGTGAATATTCCATGGATAAGGCCATTGTTCGTATTCCGATGGTTTTTGAAGCTTTTCGGCTCGAGGCCTTTGTCGTCGAAACTTGTTGGGTCCAGTGAGAAGATAGCCGTTTCTCGGCATCAGAAGTGGTATGTCCGCTATTTATAGAGAGATTGGAGAATGGGCTTTTGTGGGGGTTTTTGGTATGGTGGTTTTTGACGGCGATCGATCCACTGAACCGCTGTTTTTCAGGCGATCTCGATCCATTGTTCGTGGTGTTACCACAATAGGCATCTTCTCAGGTGGTCAATGGTGAGGCTTCCGGTTTTAAGTGAGCGGCTGGAGGGTCAAAATATATGGAGATTTGCAATTGTTGATTGAGGAGTTTGTGGAATTGAAGTAGAGGGAATTTGATATTGACGGGATTTTTGGGTGGTAATGGAGATTTGGTGGGAAGTAGTAGGAACCAGGCCAGGCAGGTATCAAACCAATGGAAGGCTAGGCACATCGGATTGGTATCCAAACTTATTCATAGGTAAGTCATGGTAAAGTATGAATTTGCATTGCATAATCCGCTCTGTTGAAGCAAGACCAAGCGACACCTCGGGGGTATACCGTTGCTTAATCCAAACTCTGGACTACCCCTTCTCCATTCAATAAACAACCTTCGTTATCGTACAAATGCAAATTAGGTTTCAATCGAAAAGAGTGGTGAATGAACCTTCATACTTGAATGTAGGTGTAGCTTTGACTTTGAACTCTCGTACATCAAACCAATGATACCTACTACCGAGGTTCTCCACCATTGAAGGACTATCAGAGTTCATGGCTCAAAAACAAGTAAATGCATATTTGAAGCTGGCACAGCTGCCACTTCTCAGTATCCTATGACATCACCACTCGGTATCGCTCGGTGACCTTCCATACTATGGTAACCTCCACAGCCATGTAACCTCTGCAACTCAACAAACCACCAGACGCCACCACCCAATTGCAAAACTTCTTTCAAGCCTTTCATCGAATCCCAAAACAATCACCACCTCCAATTGGCCCCTTCACCAAACACCTCCATCGTCCACCTTCTCATTGTCTCGGCCCTCGTGGGCCACATCCTCCAATACCACTCAACCAGCCCCACAAAAACCCCAACTCCTCCCGATTCCCCAAACCAAACTCAAATCACGACCGCATGAAAATCCACGAAAATCCCTCTATTTCGCCCGGTCACCCCAGTGGTCTCCTGACCGGCGGTATATAGGCAGCTCGTATAGTTTGCAGCCACACCTCCCCACCTCCACAACCGACTCCACCCCAAACCCCAGACAAAAGCTCAAACTGCAAAAATCAAAGCCTTTCAAATCCTCAAAAAACCCCAGTTCATTCAATTATTCATAACCCACCCATCAATGCCCACCGTGGGACCCTCCATGCGGAGCCTCAGACCCATGAGATTTCTCACGCTGCGTTTTTTTCACCTACCACCAACTACTACAATGCTGTACCCCTTGGTTTGTCTCGGTAACCCCCTTTTGGATTTGCAGGTCGACGTCGACGCTGACTACCTTGCCAAATACGACCTCAAGGCTGACGATGCCATTCTCGCCGACGAGAAACACTTGCCCATCTACAACGAGGCCTTGAACAACAAGTCCTTGAAGTTGGTCGCTGGAGGTGCTGCCCAAAACGCCGCCAGAGGCGCCCAGTACATCTTGCCACCAAAGTCGGTCGTCTACTTCGGCTCTGTTGGTAAGGACGTCTACGCCAAGCAGTTGAACGACGCCAACGAGCAGTATGGCTTGAGAACAGAGTACCAGATCCAGGAGGACCACGCCACCGGTAAGTGTGCTGCTTTGATCACGGGTCACCACCGTTCTTTGGTCACCGACTTGGCTGCCGCCAACCACTTCAAGGCTGCTCACTTGCAGAAGCCTGAGAACTGGGCCTTGGTTGAACAGGCCAAGTACTTCTACATTGGAGGCTTCCACTTGACTGTCTCGCCAGAGGCCATCGAGTTGCTTGGTAAGCACGCTGCCGAGAACAACAAGGTCTTCTCCTTGAACTTCTCTGCTCCGTTCATCCCCCAGTTCTTCAAGGACCCCTTGGACCGTTCCCTTCCTTACGTGGACTACGTGATTGCCAACGAGTCCGAGGCTGCTGCCTACGCCGAGTCTCACGACCTCGCTGACATCAAGGATGACCTCGTGGCCATTGCCAAGGCTGTCGCCAAGTTGCCCAAGGCCAACTCCAAGAGACTGAGAGTGGTCACTTTCACCCACGGCACTGAGCCCACCGTTACCGTCACCTACAACGCCGAGGCCGACTCCTTCGACGTCAAGGAGTACCCTGTCAGACCTTTGCAGGAGGGTGCTGTTGTGGACACCAACGGTGCTGGAGACGCCTTTGCTGCTGGATTCTTGGCCTCTTTGGTTGAGGAGAAGTCCTTGGAGGAGTCCGTCAAGGTTGGCCAGTGGGCTGCTTCCTTGTCGATCCAGCAGGTGGGTCCTACTTTCCCATTCCCTAAGCAGACTTACAGTGCTTAAGGATAGAGGCTGGAGAACATTAGACTGACCATTCAACATATGGTCCGGATGGCTGTGCCATGTATATAGCATTAATTCAACATTGTTGCGGGATGGTGGAGATGGAGCCGATGTTGGTAGTAGAGTGTAGACGTGATTTAAATGAGAGGAGTTAGAATTGGTTTCAAGTTTAGGGATCCAATTTTTTGACAGCCTCAACATGGTATGCAATTGATGGCTGGGTATATCCTGTCATGTCTTGTACTATAGTAGGTGAAGTAACTCCATACCCATGCTTCTCCAAAGTTTTCAAAACATTGCATTAGCAGGCTAATTCTTGAAAATTTGCATAAATAACACTTCGGGTTATGTTTAACAATCGAACCGATTGCATGGACTTATTGCTCTCGATAATTTGTACGTCTACACTGCAGTTTGCAGCCATAGCCATACAGCATCAAGAGGCCATCACCACCAGGGTCACCCACACAAAAGCAGCCAATTTCCAATTCTTCTAAATCCTTTCAACTAAATGAATGCCTAATAAACAATAAAAATCCTTGTCCCTTTGTCTTTGACCTACCCACCACCTACCTCATCAACTGGGCATCGCATCGCGAAAAAGATACCATCAACACTTCATGGTGCTGAAAGACCACTACTACCGCTTGAGCAGCGACTTGCCGGAGGAACGGATCCAGGCGGCAACTGCCCTTTTGGGTGAGCTCCAGGCGGCCAATGCAACCGCAGAATGGGATTACGCTTTGAACAGACTCGTCAAGGGCCTCACCACGCTGAGACAGACGGCCCGTTTTGGCTTCTCCATGGCCTTGACGGAGTTGGTAAGGGAGCTCATTTTGAAAGAGGACTATGAGCTTTCCATTGTGGGCTTTGTGGAGAAGCTCGTGTCGGTTTCCCAGATTCTGGGTGGCATGAAGGGTGCTGAACTCAGGTCTGTCTTGTTTGGACGCCTTTTCGGTTTCCAGGCTTTGCTCAACTCCAGGGTGCTTTTCGACACCAAGGTAAGCAGCCAGGAAGTTTTGGATAAGTACGTCAAGAGCTTGGTCGAGTTGGCCGGCACGAAGCCCTGGTTGAGGGAAACTGTCATGTTCACCTTGTGCCAGTTCGTGGCTGCATACTTGCTGTCTGACCTTTTCGACAAAAACGGCCTTGTCCACATTTTGCAGTGTGTCGAGGACCACCACCTCACGCTTACCGTGGAGGGTCTTGCCGTGTACATGACGATTCCTCAGCCTTTGCGTTCTCAGACCGCAGCCAAGGTGGGTTCTGGATGGAAAAACGGCGATCCTCTCAGCAAGGGCAACTTGCCCAATTTGGCTGTTGTGCTCAAGGACGCTGAGCCTGTGGATGCTGAGGAGAAGGGCAAAAACGGACAGAAACAGAAGGGCTCGTGGAACCCTCAGATTCCTTTTGTATGGGACCTTTTGGTGAAGCACTTTGCTCAAGCCGACGATGAAGAGGAGGAAGACGAGGCCTCCAACGGCAAAAAGAGAAAGAAGCACGCCTCGCCGAAACAGAAAAAGAAGGCAAAGACCGAGGACGAGTCCATCCATCTCAAAGAGTTCTGGAGAGTCGCTATTGACGAGACGCTATTTGCCGAAAAGGCTTCCACGGAAAGAAAGTACTGGGGCCTTGAGATATTTATTCTATTCTTCAAGCAGGTGCCTGCTTCCCTGGTTGAGGCGCTTTTCACTCCCAACCTCATGCGCTGCCTCATGAACCATTCTTCCCAGAATAACAGAGTTCTCAACAAGCTCGCCACAAAGGTACTCAACACCATCATAGAGGTCACCAAGAGCGACGTGGCCAAGGTTGTGCCTACTCTCAAGTGCATCATCAGCGAGGAGTATGGCGGAAACTGGGCTTTTGACAATGTCACCAAGTCCAAGGTCACCGACTCGCTTGTGGGTGTTTTGAGCTACATCGAAAACATCGACAGCATACCGTCCAGCCGAGCCGAGTCCCTTGCTGTTGACATCAAGAACGTTCTCATAGACTTGTTCAACAAGACGCTAGACAAGCAGGTTGAACCCAAGGACGAGGAAAGCAAAAAGAAGTCTCACGATAATGTGCTCAAATGGGTGCTTGATAAGCTCCTTTTGTTGCAGCGCAGCACAAAGAGATTCCAGTTTACCGACAACAGATTTATCGAGAGAAACTTTGAGTTCCTCATTCAGCATGCTTTCTTCCAAGGCAAGGACAAGACCAAGAGCGTCTCTGATAACGTGAGCCACCTTGCACAGGACAGACTTAATTCGTTCCTTTCTGGAGTAATCAGCCAAAAGAGAAAGGGCCACTCGTGGTCATTATACTGTGTCAAGTACATTGGCAAGCTTGAAAAAAGTAGCAACTTGGAGCCTCGTCTTGAGCTCACCGAGGAGTTATCGTTGGTTCGGAGCCAGGCTTTGGACCTTTTAGACACCATCAAAAGCCATGTCAAGGATGACTCTGCCAGCGACGCCAACTACTGTTTTGAGCTTCTTTTCTCGATGGTGATTCTACAGTTGCTTTCTGGAGAAGCGGAGGCTGTCAATGTCTTGCAAGAATTGCAGATGTGTTACGAAGATTTCCTCACGAAGCAGGAGGAAGGTTTGAAGATTCAGGTTGTGTTGACCGAGATCATTTTATCTTTCCTTCTGAAGAACTCGCTGTTGATGAAGAAGCTCTCACAGTTTGTGTGGGAGTCGCTTTTGTGTGCTAAGAACCACGAGGGTAAGATCTTGGCCGACGAGGAGTGTCTTGAGCTTCTCTTTGACGTCCTCAAGACCAAGGAAAACGAGGAAGGTCTGCGTGATCTTTTCGAGGGAGAAGACGAATTTGAAGAGGAGGACGGAGAAGAGAGCGAGGAGGAGAGTGAAGAGGAAGAGGAAAGCGACAGCGAGAGCGATGTGCTTGATCTGACGGCCAAGGTCGAGAAGGAAACCACCATCAAGCTCGCCAAGGCCCTTGGTGTTCCTACGGCCGAATCGGGAGAAGTCAAATTCGACGAGATTGATTCCTTTGAGGCTGACTCGGACGTTGCCTCCGATCTGATGGACGACGAGGAGATGATGGCCATGGACGACCAGCTTGCGAGAATCTTCAAGGAGAGAAGAGACCTTCTTTCGGCAAACACCACCAACAACAAGAAGGCCCAGGCTGCACAGGCCAAGCAGCTGATCATGCTCTTCAAAAGCCGAGTTCTCGACCTCATCGAGGCCTTCTCCAAAGTCCAGCCACACTCCCCCTACAACCTCTACTTACTCCGTCCGTTGGTGCTTCTTATCAACACCACCAAGGACAAGGAGCTTGGAGTCAAGGCGCACAAGATCTTGAAGACGAGAGTGACAAAAGCCAAGGTTGGCAAAGAAGACCTAGAAGCGCATTTCGACGACGTTGAAGCCTACAAAAAACGGTTCCTTAAGGAAATCGGCTGGCTTCAGCAGCAGGCTGGTAAGTATTCCTCCAACCAGGCCCATGGCCAGTCCTGCGGACAGTGCAGCATCACTATAGCCAAGAGCTTGGTGGGACTCGACGAGTCGTACTTGAAAAAAATCGTGGAAGTTTACTCGCAAACGTTACTCGAATGGTCGACGGATCCGAAAAACCGAATTCAGCCAGCTTTGTTCACCTTTTTCCTCAACTGGGTGAGCACCGTTAGAGAACGTAAGAGCGGTCCTGCGTAAACGTCATCACCAATGAAAAACCTCACCGCGACCGACCGAAAACCAACTACCACAACCTACTTTCCACCTTATCGTCATGTCTGCCTACAAGCAAGCCGGTATTTCCTTGAACAGAGCCATGGCCATTGCTGCCAAGACTGTTAGAAACTCGTTGAAGAGCGACTTGCGTGTTGCCGCTGAGAGAAGAGGCAACTCCGATGTCAAGGTCTCCAAGTTCGAGAACGGCGTGGCCTCTGAGCCAAAGGCCTTGCACGAGAACAAGTAATGTCAATTATGAGAATATAGGCAATGCCATGAAACAAAGATGAATCAATTGTAGTCAATGGGGGGAATCTCTGATGGACCACCTGTCCTGTGAAAGTCGTCCGAATCGGCACCCTCCAAGTGCTTTTAGCCATGGGTCATTCAGATCAAGAACAAATTTCTCTAGGATGGCTTCCATCCGTAAACATGTCTGAATTGACTTTTTCCTACTCCCCCTGATCTATGGAATAAATATCTATGTACAAGCTAAGACGTCTCCTGGCCCGGACGCATCGACGTTTCAGAGGCTATCGTCTTCTTCTCATCCTCGAGCTCCTTGGAGAACTGGCCAATGAGCTGCACACGGATGTCGTAAGGCAAGTCGTCGATCAACGACCGGATGATGTCCACCTCGGACCCTTCCTTCTGTCTCTTCTCAATCTGTTCACTCTCGTGGTCCTTTCTCTCCTGCTCCTCAACCTCGTCCTCGGTCATGTTGTCTTCGTATTCTTTGACAGACGACTCGTCCAAGAGCTTGGACAATTCAGAGGAGGGGTTACTGAAAAGCTCAACAAAGCGACCCTGCTCCACCACCTTGCCGTGCTTTCCAAGAACAATAACGTTCTCCGACTTCGAAATCGTCGAGAGTCTGTGGGCAATGGAGATGATGGTCATCTTACCTTGCGAAGTCAAGTCCTTGAGTGTTTCGTTGATGAGACTCTCCAGCTTGGAGTCAAGAGCAGAGGTGGCCTCGTCTAGAATGAGAATTGAGGGTCTCTTGACTAAAGCACGGGCAATAGCAATTCTCTGCTTCTGGCCTCCAGAAAGAGATGCTCCTCTGGACCCAATCATCGTGTCATAGCCATCAGGGAACGCCACGATAAAGTCATGACAGTTCGCTTGCTTGCAGACCTCCTCTATATCATCCATCGTCAACTTGCTGATTTGGTTAGGCGTCAAGCCGTAGACAATGTTCTCAAGAATGGTTCCTGAAAGAAGAATAGGCTCTTGTTGTACAATACCAATAACCTCACGTCTGAGCTCACGTACTTGGAAGTCGTTGATGTTGCGTCCACCAATGAGAATCTCACCGCTGTTGAGGTTGTAAGATCTAAGAATGAGCGTTGCGACTGTAGACTTTCCGCATCCCGAAGGTGCAACAAAACAGGTGCTGGAAGAAGCAGGCACTGTGAATGAGCAGCCGTCGAAAATGAGGTCGTTTGGTCTTGTAGGGTAGCTGAACACCACGTCCTTGAACTCGATGCTGTTGTTCAAGTGTGGAGGAAGCTTTTCACCTTGAATTGCAGGAACGTCGTTGTCGTGGTCAATCAACTCGAAAAGCTTGATACCGGCACCGGAACCCTTCATGAGCTCCATGTACGTCGTTGTAAGACTGTAAAGTGCCAGGTTGAACAACTCGGAGTACATCGTGAAAGCCACAACGTCACCAGTAGTCATCTGGCCGTTGATGATCAAGTAAACACCCAACGCAATACAAGACAAGTAGCCGGAATGGTAGAGGGAATAGATCGAGACGGAGTAGTTTGACTGAGCCAAGGCCTCTCTTCTTGCAACATTGACGACGTTTCTGAGTTGCGTGGAGTACTTTGTCAATTCCTTCTGTTCACCGGTGAAAGCTTGGATGAGTTTCACCGAGTTGAGGGTCTCTTCACTGACTTTGGTGAGACCTGCGGTAGCATTTTGGAGTCTAGTGGATAACGAACGGATCTTTTCACCGTACCACACAGAACCGAAGGTAATGGGAGGCGAGATCAACAACATGACGCCAAATAAAAGAGGATTAATTGTGAACATCATGTACGAACTGATGAACCCGAAAAGCAAGTTCTTCAAGCCGTCTGGGAGATTGCTTGTGATCGATCGGGAAACCACATATGCATCACTGGAAAGTCTGGAAATCAAGTCGCCCGCCTTGTGCTTGTCGTTATCGAAAAACGCAGAATCGTGTCTCAACAAGTGCTTCATCACACGGAGTCGGAGCCTTGCCACAAGCCTCTCACCTAGCACCTTGAGTACCCAAATACGAGCCCAGAAGCATGCTGCACTGACACACATAAATGGAACCATAACTGAAAAAACAGTAGAATATTTATAGCCCCAAATGACCAAATCGCCGTCGGCGTCCTTATCGCCCGCATTGAAGGCATCTATAGCAGCTCCCACAAGCTTAACCGAGGTTGTTGGGTATAAAACGGCAAAGAGAATGAAACCCAATGCGTAGAAGAAAAGCTTGAGGTCGGGTCTTCCCAACTTCAAGATCCGGGCTATCGTTTTCATGTTCTTGCGGAAATCGATCTTGTTGTTCTTCATCTGCTCCTTCTCCTCGGCTCTAATCTGTTTCTTACGAAGCTGTGCTATTTCAAGATGCAGCTTCACCGACGGGCTTGAGGCCAAGCTTTCGACCAACTCCTGGTTTCTCTCCTTCTGGGAATACCATCTGTTTTGTATGCTTGGGTTCTGGAAACCACGTTCATTAAATATTCCGGTAGGCGCATATGAAGAATGCTGAAAGGCGGTGAGTCTATGTAAACTTCTGTGGATGTTGATCTGATTAGACTGTAGTTTAAATGCTTTGTGTATCTGGCCAGCCAGTATGAGCCCCCTTATCAGGATGGGCTGGGTAAGAAACGGCCGCAACCCTAGTTGTAGCATGGGGTTGTGATGGTCGTTTTTCAGTGCGTGAAGTTCGGCCATACATACTATTCACACCGGAGCCGATGTTGCGAATCCGCAATACACCTTGTATACTATAGACTGTAGGATGCTGTATTAAATGGCACGGTCAACGAACGACTGGATCATGCCGACCTCCGACTCCTCGTACTCACGCACCTCGATGCTGCCGTCACTGTTCAAGAACGTGTTGGCCTGGATGAGCTGTTTACGAGGCTGCTTCTTCTTGAGTACGACGTCTCTGTATCTCGCGTAGTCCTCGGTAACACCTGTGATGTCGCTGTAGAAAGCCACACCTTCCTTGACGTTGGCGGAGCACTTGAAAACGTGCAACTTGTGCAAGAAGTCTCCGAGCGCCTCCACGGCTTCCTTGTCCAACTTGGACTCGTCCACCACAATCTCCAAGTCGTCGAACGTCTCCTTGTCGTCGTACTTGAGCGACACCACACCGGCCTTGTGCAAGCTCTTGAAGATACCGAAACGAGCTTGCATGTGAGGCTGGCCCCACTTCTTCGACTCAGGGTCCCAGAACTCAAGACCAATAACACCTGCACGAGCCATCAAGAGCGTAGCGATAAGCTTCACGTCCTTTTGGTCCTGGGCGTCCTTGATGCCGAAAATGGGCAACACCTCAAGAGGCTTGGACAAGATAAGGTACAAGGCGACCAATTCGGCACGGCACTCTTCAAAAGAGCCGGCTGTAGTGCCGAACAAAGAGCCCCACGTCTCGCTAGGCTTGTAGTAGGTGGAAAGCTCGGGGTGAGCAGCCTTGTCAAAGTTGAACTGGCCTGGAGAAGTCTCCTGCAACAACTTACCTGTACCGTGGCCCAACAACTCGTGCAAGCCCACCTGGACTTCGAAAGAGTCGTCTCTCCACTTGCGGAACTTCTCTTGTAAAGAGGCCGAGACAAAGCTGATCACCTCCTCCTTCTTTGGCTTTTTAGGGTTAGCGCTCAACACATTACCCAACGAGACGTTCTTGAAACCAACATTCAATCTGACGTCGTCGTAGTTAGGAATGTTGATACCGGCTGGAACACCAGATCCGGAGAAGGTCAACACCTCCAAGGAAGTGAAGTCTGGAGGCACAAAAGTGTCCTTCTCGTAGAAGTGGTCCCAAGGCAAGTATGGGATCAAGGTACCGGCGTTTTCGACCAAAGTGGCAAACTTGGCGGTTCTGTCCTGGTTCACCATGGCCACCAAACCTTCCCACTCACCACGAACACCCGAAGGGTCTCTGTAGGTCTCAATGAAGCCGATGTTGGACTCAACCAGAGGACCCAAGTCCTTGACCCACTGGATCTGCGAGTCCTTGTGGGCCTTCATGGAACCGGTTTCGAACGATTGAGCGTAGTACTCGATCATCTTCTTCTGTGTATCGTTGGCGGCGTGCTTTCCAGCCTCCTTGATGTTCTTGGTGATCTCTGCAAACTCCTTGGAGTGGTCACCGAACTGGATCGTCACGCGAGCACCCAGAGCGAGCTCAATGGCCTCCTTGGGGTAGTAGTCCACGGTGTTGTCGGACACAGCACTGGCCACGAGAACCACGAATTCCTTATCGGACTTCTTGGTCACTCTGGTGTTCTCAGGCATGATGGAACGGTCAGCCAAGGCGGCATTGATGGCCTCGATCTCGTCCTTGGTGATGACCGAAGCACTGTTAGGGTAGTAGTTGGACAACTGGCCCTTTTCAGGCCACCCCAACAATGCGGGGTTGGTCGAGTAGATAGCCTCCTTGACGGTCTCGTATAAGTCCACGAGCTCCTGTTTACCAGCAGCCTTGACGATAGCGGTGAAGTCGGATTCCTGAACCTTTGGGACGAATTTGCTGTCACCGAAGGACTTGAAGTTACCCAAGTTACCCAAGAACTGGGAAGCGTACTCGAGGTAGTGGGTCACCGATTCGGCAGCCACAGGCTTCAAGACCTCCTGATACTTTTCGTTGGATTCTGGCAGTCCCAATGCCACGTGCAAGCCCAAGATCAAATCGAAAATGGCCTCACTCTCTGGAGACACGGATCTCAAGACAGCTCTTGAACCCCAGTGGGAAGCTCTGGAAAGATAGTGGGCATAGAGTTTGGCGTCGTTGGTGGGCAATTGTTCAAAGTGCTTTTTGGCCGAGAGCACGATGATGGGTGCCTCGGAGTCTGCAAGAAGGGTCAGCATGGGAAGAAAAGTGGTAGTTACTTCTCCATAGTGTTGGTCTTTTAACCTGTGCAGGGTAGAGCCACAGAGGCGAGTGGCATGGAAGAATGGCGAAGATTGTGGAATGGAGTGGGTGTATTTCGGTTAATAGCGGAGTTTTCTGGTGATGTTCGGGTAGAAGATTTGGATTTTTGTTTTGGAATTTTGTGGCAAGGCGGTGATTGAGTTGGTGGTTTGGGTGCAAATTGTAGCTAAGTATCTGGTGAGGCTCGCCTAGACCATAAGTTGATGATTTTTGGCCGTCCATTGCCGGATGAACTGAGGGTATTTGATGGTGATGTTTGAGAGGGTGGGATTTGTTTTGGGGTTTCGAAGTGTCGTGCGGTTATTTGGTTGTCGGAATGGCTGATGGGATTGTGGTTTCGGCTGGGTTGGATCGGTGATGAAGCAGGCGAGTGTTCTTGACAGACTGATTCGAACATCGAGAAATTCAATTTGTTCTGTTCATGCTGATCTAAGAAGAAAAGCAGATTAAGTATTTGGAAGATAATTGCTGGTGCCGCTCGGTCCACAGGGTATCAGGTTAACCCACGGTGCTTCTGGTGCAGAACAGGCTCCCGGGAAGCTAGTTGAGCGTGATTTTCATCAAAGGATATGCTGAAGATGGGGAGGAGGTCTATGGTTAATTGCTGCTCGTTTAATAGACTTCTCGTATTTATGTGGGGATTGTCGTGTTTCTCTTTTTGGTCCATGTAGTAAATGGCTGCGAAAAAGTGAAGACGTAGTCATGGCATCGAAGATTTGGCCAAGATAGTAGGTAACGAGACGAGGCAAAAAAGAAGATAATATGAAAAAAAAAGTACTATTTCAAAGACCTAAATCGCAATTCATGATATTGTAGAGACGGACAATCCAGATTAATCGGCATATACTCTGGGTTCGATAAACCACCCATTCACTTGATTAAGTTGCAAGGGTAACTCGAAAGAACACAAATAAAAGGACGTTATGTCTTTTACTCATGATACAGGGCGATAATCTCATTTTCGATCCAACCCAGTACTTTAAAAGTGTACATCGTTACACTACTGCCACCCACTTTTGTTGATATACCTGCGCACAGTCTCAGCACAACTACAACTACTATCTAATGGCCCGTAAAGAAGCCCCAGCGGCACCCGCCGAGCCGGCTACTCAGCCTGACAAGAAAAATACGGCTGAAGGAAATCTGGAAAACGAAGAAGAGGATTACGTCGAGGAAGATGATGAAGACTATGACCCAGAAAAGAAACAACAGGAAGAGGACCAGGAAAGTGATAACTCAGACAACGAACCCGAACCAGACTACTCGGCTATCAACACAGGCGTCAGTCAAGTAAGAACGCGAACACAAAGATACGAGGAGGAGCTTGGAGGTGGTAAGAAGCGCAGAATAGACCCCAGTGGCCTACTACAAGACGAGCTGAGGGTAGACGTGAATGCCATCTTTGAATCTTTGAAAAGTGGCAACGACGACACAGATTGGACTACGCTTATAGATAAGGATGCTGTTGTGGAGGAGAAGAAACCCGAAGAGCCCACAGACCCCCACGAAACTAGAATGGTGAGAATTGAGACCTCCTACACTTTTGCAGGCAAGTTGGTCAAGGAGCTGAAAATGGTGCAGGCAGATTCTGCTGAAGCGAAGGCGTATCTCAATTCTGCAAGTGGTATAACGATAGGAGGCGAAGGTGAAGGTCAGAAGAAGCTGTTTGTCACTGTTGTGCGTACGATCAAGGGAACAGACGAGCAAGTGCCCCTCATGATCAAGCTCAAGAGACCATCGCTTATTGACAAGTTCCTCAAAGGTGACAAGAAAAACAAGCTCACGACACTTGAGAAGTCTCGTCTTGACTGGGCCAGTTATGTTGACGAGGAGAAGATCCAGGACGATTTGGCCCTACACAATAAGGCCGGTTACCTTGACAAGCAGGACTTTTTGGGTCGTATGGATGCCAAGAGAGATGTCCAGTACCAGCGTGCCAAAGAGCTCGAGCGCCAGCGCCAGTGGCAGCTTCAGCAGAAGGGAAAGTAAGAGGGGATTCAGGAAATTGGGTAGAGTTGATGCTACAGCTTTGCATAAGTTTTATGATTCCGCTTTTGCCTCTGAGCGGAGTCATCCGCCACCAATGGAAGGCTTAGAAGGTATGTCTGCCAGACTAAAGGGCCGAAGAAATCTTGGTGTTCTTTCAACCAAATATCAATTCACCTGATGGTTCACTTTCAAAAGCATAACACGATGGCTCGCCGGCAATTGCCCACTCCAACTCGTCAACTTCAATGCGCATAGACGAGGGTCCATCCTCCACACATCGTGGTGGCGCCACCATAGTCCAACTTGATCAATCTGCGAAATGGCGAAATTGAGGAATCCACGAAGTCAAGATTCGCTAACTCCGTGACCTGGACAGACAAAACTAACTTTGGCCGCCCAATTGAGCCCCTTGGACCTTCGCGTCATGTTGCAGCCATCTGAAACTCCTGTCGAACCACAGCCATTGCCACCGATCTGCAAAACAAAAGCGGAGACGGCAATTTGAACAGGACTGTAATAAGAGAAAATAAATTTAATCTCTATAGCAAAATCAACCAATAACCAATCGTAATTGTTTCTTTATTCGGACGGGATGGGGTGTCGGGGTGTTACCGACTGCATGCGAAGAACGATACAAAAAAAAAAGCGAGTCCAAACTTGTACACCCATCAACTTCTTCCTCTTGTCCTCCGAAAATAAGTTATCTCTGAATGTCAAACATCCTCAAAAGAAAAAACGAAGAGGTCGAGCCGCTGTCCGCGGAAGGTGACCAAATCAACAAAAGAGTCGCTCTTGATAGCGAGCAGTTGGAGGAGTCCGAAAAAAAAGAAGAACAGTCCCAAACGGCGCCTACTCTCAGTGACAATGTTTCCTCTGACAAAGACACTTCTACTTCCTCTGAAGACGTGACCAGTAAAAAAGAGGAGCCTCCTTCTGCCGCTGCCTGGACCGATAACACGCTAATTTCCTCTGAGCCTGCGGAATACGACCCTGCCAGTTCGGCACTGAAACCCGTCTATCGGGAGAAAGAAGACGCTACAACCGTTTCTCTTCGCATGTACTGTCCTGTCAAGGAAGCCGGTGTTATTGTGGGCAAGAAGGGTGAGACAATTACTCATCTTCGAGAGAAGGCTAACGTGAGAATCAATGTCAGCGAAAACTTAAAGAACGTTCCCGAAAGAATTGTTTCTGTCAAGGGCTCGGCTGAGAATGTGGCTAGAGCATTTGGTCTCATCACTAGGGTCATCTTAGAGGAGCCTGAGGACGAGCCTGCCTCTATCATGAGTAAACAGTATAACTTGAGACTCTTAATCCCACACCCGTTGGTGGGATACGTCATTGGCAAGTCTGGAAGCAAATTCAGAGAAATTGAGGAGAACTCGGCCGCCAAGCTCAAGGCTGCCGAACAGCCCTTGCCTTACTCTACCGACCGTGTCCTTGCGGTCAACGGTGTGGGTGATGCTATCCACATCGCCGTCTATTATATCTCTCAGGTGCTTTTGGAACATAAGGATGTCCTCAAAAAGCACAAAATTGTGCTTTACAACCCTGCAAACTACCGCCACCAGATGCCCACTGCTAACCCTCTTCAGAACATGGCTATAGCACCTCAACAACCCCCTCAGATGCCATTCATGGGTGCTCCTCAAAACATGTCGCCATTGCAAGGATTGACAGGCATTCCTGGTGTCACTGATCCAAAGGCCGCCTACCAGCAGGCTGCCAAACCTTACAACTTCCAGATGATGTTTCAACCCTCTGTTAGACCTGAATTCAGCTCTCCTCAGCCTCAACCACACATGTCTCAACCACAAATGGCTGCTCCTCCTATGAATATTCCTGCTCAGAACTCTTTCACCGATGAACACGGTAACACCATTGTTGGCGATGTGATTACTCAAATGCCAACTCAAATCAGTCAGACTCCTGAGAAATACAATGAGGATGTCTACGTTGCCAACTCCAACATCGGTTCTGTTATCGGCAAAGGAGGCAACAACATTAAGCAGATCAGAGAGACTAGTGGCTGTACCTACGTTAAAATTGAGCCCGACCAGAACCAGACTTTGCTTCTAGGTGGCGGCAAGGGTGTAACTAACGTTAGAAAGTTAACCTTGACGGGCTCATACAACGCCATTCAAACGGCCATTTTCCTTATAAATCAGCGTATAAGTGCTGACAAGGAGAGAAACGGTGTTCAGTAAACGAAACCTGAACGAGTGCATCGGAACATCCATACATTACCTCTGTCTATAAATCACCCTTCTACCCTTGTTTGTACAATATCACCTAAAGATGGGGCACTCTTAAGCTTGTCAATAACATTGTAAACCCACTGAGTAGTCCCTCTCCAAGAACAAGTCCACTGCTAAAAATGACCATCTTCACCTTCTCGTCCTTACGTTTACCAGCACGCTGGATCCAGACATAAGCTATAAGTCCACCAAGGAACCTCGCCAAAGTGAAGTTTGGGGTATTGTAAATACCAATTCCAACCGCCACTCCATTTGGCAAGTATACCAAATATTTATGGTATCTGTGACTGGAGGGAACGATATTCTTCACAGCGGAAATGATACCAAAAACCACGGCAAATAGCACACAAAACTCAAAGGCATGAGGCGGAAGCCCCTCTCCTGTGACAAGTCTTGAACAATCAATCCAGACCACTGCAGTAGGAATTCTGAACATCTGGCTAGGAATTTCATAGACTGAATTGTACACCTTGTACATGATGGAGCTCACAAACACCGAGTAGATCGTGCCAATCAACTGGGCGGTGAATTGAGCTTTTGGTGAAGCACCAAGTAAATGTCCTGTTTTGAGATCTTGCATTAAATCACCAGCTTGTTGAGCGCCAGCTTCAGCAATACCTCCGGCGATGAGATTGATGAGAATGCGTGCTGGATGGTTATGAGGAATGATTGTGGCGAAGATAAGCTGTGAAAGTTTTCCGATTCCACTGACGGGATTGAGGTCAGTTTCTCCCAAGGCACGAACGCCGAGAATGGAGAAAAAGAGAGCCAACACAATTGCAATGAATGTGGCGTAATGTGGAACGAGGGAGCCAAAAACGGAATTGATAGCCCACATGCAAATTATGGAGGAAATGATAACACCCACCACTGTGACTTTGTTGCTGATTAGATGTTCAGGCAGTAGATCAGTGAAAGAGCTTTGCTCTGAAACAGCATCACTCTCGGCTTCCAAAGAATTGTAGTTCGTGGAGGAGCCACCTAGCAAACGTTGGTGTACTTCTGAAGAAGAACGGACAATCAAGCTGGACACTCCAGAATGCAACGATTTGTATGTCACAACGGCAAATGATACCAACGAGTCGGCAATCATGACACTCAAACTCAACCAAAGGATCCAGCCTTGTCCGCCTGTGACCCAATCATCGATCGGACCTGGAGCCCAACCAAGGTATTTGGACATTGGTGCAAGGACACCCCACCCTAGAATGGCTCCGAATAACATGTATGAAACTGACGGGAGTCCCATGATGATGCCTTGACCAATGTAAGCAGGAGACGGCTGGAAGTTCCATTGGTACACATTGGAAAGTTTGTGACCAAAGATCGGAAGCATCTTGAGCACAGGGACAAAGTAGGATGCAAGAGTGTAAAATGCCGAAACAATGAATGTGATGACGAGAAACCTGATGTTTGTGTTGTATGTTTCCTCTGTCAGGGCAAGTTTGATGCCATTGGAGTCGGAAGGTCTGATGACACCTCCATGGGGGTACTCAATTGAAGAGTCTGAGTCTGTAGCGTCTGTATCCTCTGGTTCCTTCTTTTCGCTGTATAATTCAGTACCGTGCAAAACCAGAATAAGCGTTGCCGTGGCACTGCCCGAAGGAAATGGGAGCTTTTCCTTGATGATGACTTGTTTCCGGAGTGGTACAGCAAAGAAAACGCCAAAAAGCGCCAACCCTAACGACCAGACCATCAACTGGGAAAGCGAAAGAACAATCTTTGACCCTGTTCCGCTCTCCTCTTCAGTAAGAAACTTCTCTATGGCGGGTACTATACCAACCAAACCATAAGCCAAAGGACCAGTACCGACTGCAACAGCCACACTTTGGATATAAACATTTTCCACATCCGTAAACAGCTTGGCCATTGGCGAGCACCTGAATATCGTGAATCCAAGTAATGCTGACGGGAGTGACATCATGGAAACCCAGCCTGTTTGGAGCCCAAACTGAAAGTTTGATATGAGCACCACCGTTCCGATAAGCAAACCCACAAGGGTGGACTTCAAGGTCACCTGAGGAAGATCCACCTTTTCATTCCAATGGAGTCTTTGCTGTAAGCCTGCGTTGCCATCTTCCTCGATTTCCTGGACCAGGTCAGGCAGCAGGCTTTTGATGGTGGGGCTGTCCATGGACCAGCGATTGAGATACTAAGAGACCTGTAGATGTGGTGCTATGATGGCCTGAAGGATAGAGTTTCGAAGGGGAATCAAAATGTGAATATCCTGTAAAGAAGCTGTGGAGGGTAGAAAAGCAAGTTCCCACCTCCTGCTGCAGGGTGCTTATTAATGGCACTGACTCTTTTTTCAGTGGTGTCGCATCGGCTCTGCGATTGCGAAATCTATATCATAGAATGCGCGGTGGCTCGGGTTTAGCACCCTAATCCGGCAATGCTTATCGAGCCGCCGAGGAGAGAAAAAACTTCCTTCGGCTCCAAGCACAGATGACGAGAAGCTCGTAAAAAAAGAACAGCATCGTGCTCGGCCCGGGGACCGCCATTGATCTGATGCTCCGGAAAGCTCAGTTCCGCGTTAGCAATTCTCCGCTTTGTGGCTCACAACGCCGCCAACCCCATAATGCGCAGCCAAAATGTGATAGAGCCTCTATTTCGTGGCTCCTAGCTTTGGCCAAACCTCACGCTCTACCGTCTAATCCTCTCCAAAGAGCAAGTAGTCCAAGATATCGCTCAACGTAATCACACTGACCAACTTGCAGTCGTCGTCCACAACAAACAATCTATGAAGTCTCAGCTTGCGGATGGTGTCCATGATGGTGCTGAGTCTGTCGTTTTGAGTACACGTGTGGACACCTTCGAAGTCTTCTGGTCTCCGGAGCAAGGCCTCGCCCACGCTCAAGTCCAAGTCTGTGTACATGCCCGCCTTGACAAGTGCCAAAACATCAACGGCCTCGTAGACATTGATCAATTTGCCGTGCTCGTCAACGATAGGAATCGAGGAAACAGACTTGTGCGACAAGAGGTGAATCACCTCAATCACAGGGGTGTTCATGGTACAGGTGCTGATATCCTTGGGTTGGCTCAAGTTGGAGATGTCACGGAGAGGCTTCAACAACATCTTGGTCTCCTTACAGTTCAACGCCACGAACTTCAAGATTCTGTACTGGGTCAACACAGACACCACAATCTCACGATGTGTCTTTTCGTCCTCGTCGATCAAGGGGATTCTTCTAGCCTTGGACTCCAACATCTTCACACACGCCTCATACAAGGACTTGAAAGGGTGGATGTAGACGGTCTCGATGGGAGCCACACCAATGTCCTTCTCTATGTCACGCAACCCATCGAGGGTCAACTGGTCGACAAACTCAAACTTCTCGGGAAACTGGAAGTAGTACTGAATAACGTTGATGAAGTCGCTCAGGGTCAATAAACCGGCAAAACGGGACGTCTTGTTACTCCACAAAGGAGCACTGACAATATTGTTTTGTAGCAAGATGTTCAAGGATTTTTTAACCAACAAGGACGTGTCCAAGACAATCAAACGGTATGAAACGGGCAACACATCGTAGGAGGTCTTGCTCTGCAAAAATAACCGAATGGCCTTGATACCAATTCTCTGATCGTGTTCGATCTGCTCTGCAGAAAGAGACTCGATGTAATCGTTAGGAGTGGCGGCCGGAGGTTGTGAGGAAACGTCAGCCATATTTAGAAGTTGTTCCAGTTGTAGGGTGGACTATGTATGATAGATAGGGCCCGACTGGTTTATGGATATACGTAGTTGTCTCTCTCGGTAGAACATTTCTGAGAGCGACTGTGTGCAGTACCACCATAAAAAATTGGCTAGGGGAGGGTTGAAATGATTGAAATAGGAAGGTAGCAGGGTGGTTGTAATTTATGTTTGAAAAATGTTGAATTTGTGGGAAGATTTGGGGGATTTTTAAAAAATTTTTTGGTGCACCCGCTTTGGGATAGCTTGACTAAATAGGCAGAACAGAGCAAGGATCGAGACTTTTCGTCGGAATTATCTACTAAAGATGCAAGACGGTTCAAAAGAATTTTTTCTGCCAAGAGAAACGTCAATCGTGTTACAGAGGGTTGCTGTAAAGTCCGCTCATCAATAGGCGCTAGACAGTGATGACGATGAGGCAGCCGCTTGCTCAAGTGGAGAAAATATTACACAATATCGCAAGGCGGCCTTTTACTTTGTGGAAGACGATTTAGTCGATCATTGGTTCTTTAATCGATGGAGGCTTTCCAAACCAACTCATCAAATCGTAAAGCCCAAGTAGATATCGAGAAATGCCTACACCTCTAGATCAACTGATCAATGATCAATCTATTAAACGCAACATATGAATTAAAGAAAGACGGGAGTGCAGAAATTAGGCCCATCTACCCAACAATGCCATCAAACCGGCACCCACACACATGATAGCATAAGCAACAATCATGCGCTTGAAACCAGCGTCACCCTTGAAGTCGTCAGTGAACAAGAACTCGTGGGCCATCAACTCCACAAGACCGGTGTAAAGCAAGATACCAGCGGAGATGGAGTCGAAAATACCGTTGACAATCAAGGCGGTACGGTGGTTCTCAGAGTAACTGTTTCTCACACCAAGACCAACGGCAATGGCAATTGGAGTACAGAGACCGTAGGCAAAGGCCAACAACCAAGGAGTCCATCTCTTGCCCTGAGGCCATGGGGTGGCGGCGATTCTGGTACCCAAACCCAAACCCTCAAAGAGCTGGTGGAACACAATGACAGGGTACAAGGTCTTGAACTCGTTGTCGGCGGTGGCAAGGGCCAAACCAACGAAAACAGAGTGGAAAATGATACCAAACTCCAAGACGAAGATGGCCAACAACTTACCGTAGAAGTTCTCCAAGTCGTCCTTGGAGTCGTCGTCATCCACATGGCTGTTGGCGTGAGCAAAGTGCTTAGGGTATGGGTTCTCGTCAGTGCCAGAGCTGAGCTTGGCCTCCTCATCGGACTCAGCGTTCTTCTTGTCCTTGACGTAGGCAGAAGTGTCACCGAAGTGAGAGTGGGAGTGACCACCTTCACGGGACTCGAGCTTCTTGTCGACATATCTGAAAGCCAACAACTCCATGAAGAAGATGATGAAAAGCGTCACGAGACAGATACCGTAGGCGTATGGGTAGATCGTCCAGCCATCGCCCAAGCAGTCGTTGCCCAAGGCATCGGCAGCAGGCTCCAACAAGTGGATAAAAGCAGTAGCGATAATGACACCAGAACCAAAGAACTTGGCAATGAAGAAGCACCAGCCAGGCAATCTGATGAAGGAGTATTTGGAAGAAAGAATAGGGAACACGGCACCGAAAGTGGAGGCCACCAACACCACGAACACCGAGGAGATACGGGCACCAAGCATGCCGCTGTACTCGTTCTCACCGCACTCGTCTCTCTTGTGGAGGTTCTCCACGACGTTAGCCACAACCGAGTCCATGTTTGAAAAAAAGTGCTATAATCTGCCAAAAGAGCCAGGAAGAGGGGCCTTTTTATGTCTCGAGCGGAACCTGGCTGCTAAAAGTTGCACAATGGCAGTCTGCAGCAGAGCCATGCGGCGGGCCTTTTTCCACACACACACACTTGCAAAAAAAAAAGAAGGGCAAAAATGCAAATCGCCCTTTTCCTCAGAACCACCACGGTGCTGCCGCCCCGCCGTGCATACCATAGTTAACAGCCGCCAGCAAACAGAAACCAACGGTCCAGCGGCAATCGCAAAGATATTTCCCAGCAATTTCACCAAAACCCTCTCATCTCGCATCAATAGCTGTCAAGGCTGTCAAAGCTGTCAAAATTTGGAAGATCGGGTCTTGGCTCTTGGCATCCCACCTCGAGTGTATTTCGCAGAAGAAAAATTTCTGCACATTTCACCCTGGCAGCAGGGCTTCACAATTCGCATTCAACACCGCTCTAATTGGCTGTGGGGCGTACCCTGGTGGTTTACAGCAGGGTGGGTATTCAGCGTCTCGGCAATGTGGTGGAGCGTTTTTTAAACGGCCTTAGACCGGCGGCTGCAAGGCATTTGTGCAAGGTGGCTATCGAGCGATGAGCTGAGGAAAATTTGCTATTCTATGAATTAAGAGATAGAATTTGGGGTTTGGGCTTTTTGGTGGTGAATTATGAGTGTATTGGCCTCCACGGATCGCTGCATTGATAGGACCCCCCTCGAAGTGCATCCACCACCGCAGATTATAATATCCTCTTTTTGTGCACTTTTCGTACATTTTTTCTGCTCTGTGGTGCATTTCTTCTGCACACTCGGAGAATTCGTGCCGCACAATTGTAAGCTCGTGCGTCGCTGCTACAAATCCATAGACTAGGCTGCATTTTTTTTGTAACCAGACCCTGGAAATCGAGGCTTGCTCGAGCGGTTCGCTTAAGTAACAAAGCCTCAGACCCTTGGCGGTTCGCTAGGCTATACTTGCTGATCACCTCGTCTGCATTGCGCCCCATCTCCGTTTTCTTCAACCTTCTTTTGCATCCACCCTCTGTCACTTTTATCGTCACACTTTGCAAATCAGCCTTCCTAAAGCAATTGAGTCTGACCCAATGCAGAATGCCTCGGAACAATTGCCGCAACTCGCCGGGGCCTTTGTAGATCCAGCAACCCAGGAATGCTAGCCGCATCTGCCTACTATTGTTAATGTCTCGAGCCAGCTGCAATTAATTAGGCAAAGCTAATTTTCATTGGGCGTTTGTGTCGTTTTGTGGCACGGACCAAACTAACTAGCGAGCCGTGTATCCCGCTTCGACATACCCTGGAGGTCCCGTTTGCGCTTTCGAACGATTGTCGAGGCATGGGGTCCAATCAGGCCATCTAGGGGTATAGACGAGCCACAAAGGCGTTGACGGTTTGTGGTTCGGTTAGATGCATCGGGTAGGGTGCCGGGGCGGAGCCGGGAACGAGCCGGGGAGGTTTGAGCCGTGCCCTTTTTATTTTCAAGTTGCAATTATTTGAACCTTAATTCCAGGGATTGATTAATGAAGGTGGGATTGGATTTGTCAGTCACCCAAGTCAGTGGCTAGTGATATGAGGGTTTAGTGAGTGGGCAGGTTGTCCCGATGTGCTATGCTTTTTTCAGTATAGTCACTATCTACCGCCACTAGCTAACCGTCTGGCTATATTCCCTTCAATGATGGAAGATATTCACTACACAGCCTACTTCTCCAATAGTCACTATGATGGCAAAGAATTTCCCCTTTGCTTCCCCTTTCTATTTTTCTCTTTTGGGTTTGACCGGAAAATATCTCGTAACTTTAAACTACAAGACGCCCATTGCTGTCAATTCCGGAAGTCGAAAAAGTCCTAGACAGCGCCATGCTGGCCGTGCGCCACTACACCATTTATGTGCACCGCACTACCATCGTGTCCAGATACACCAGCGAGTGATTTGCACCCACACCACCAACCAGAGACAATAGCAATGTCTGACACAGGATCCGAAAGCACCATAGATAGAGAGGCCAGACTCGCGTCCGCAAGGAAGAAGTTCGAGGAGGCAAGGAAGAAAATGAAAAAGCCAACAACACCAAATCCAGAACAAGTCGGTGCTAGTGCCAGACTGCCCGATACAGCCACCAAGGCCAAATTGGCCGAAAACTACCAGTTGCACAGCACCATAGAAGAACAGAGAGCGACAATCGACAAGCTCAAAGAAGAAAACACCGATTTGAAGCTCACAAACATGGACCTCAAGGAACAAATCAAGGCCCTCGAACAGAATATAGAGAACCTCAAGGCGGGCAAGCCAGAGGAGACGCGTCTGCTGAGAAGCAAGTTTGATGACTTACTTGATGATGATTTGCTTGATGACGACGAGGATGATCCCAATGCCGATACCACGTACGGTCAAGCCACTGGTACACCTATTCGTTCCACCAGTCGATCCGAGGTTCTTAGACTGTTTTCAAGCCACCTGGAAGCGGACCAAAAAGACTTTGAAGACTTTGACAAGAAAATCGACGCCGGTCTTCTGGACATTGTCCTGTCGATCGTTGGCAGGGTCAGCACAGAGGCACCATCTGGTGTTCCTGAAACAGCTAACGATAGAGCTTTGGAAGAAGTGGAAAGCAAACCAAGCGATGAAGGAAAGCCTGATCTTGACGAGTTGGATCTTGGCCCTATTGATGACACAGAGGACTTGAACGCGGAGCCTGAAGCCACTGAACAGGAAGCCCAAGACGTTCACGAGAACGAACCTAGAAAGCTTGCTGCTGAGCCTGAAGCCGAAGACCTCAACCTTGAGGATGTGCCGTTAGAGGACGAAAAGCCTATAACTGACGATGTTCTGTCTAAGCTAGACGATCTCGATTTGGGCCCAATTGACCCTGCTCAGGGCGAGGAAACAGAGAAGGACAAGGTAGCTGAAACGCAAGCAGACTCAGCCGATGCCGAGAAGGCCGATGCCGAAAATGCTGAACAAGAAAAGGCTGAACAAGAAAAGGCCGAACAAGAGAAGGCCGAACAAGAGAAGGCCGAACAAGAAGAGGCAGAGCAGGAGAAAGCTGAACAAGAAAAGGCCGAGCAAGAAGAAGCTGAACGCAAGGAAGCAGAAGAAAGAGCTCAACAAGAGCAACTAGAAAAGGAGCGTGCTGAACAGGAAAGAATTGAAGAGGAAAGACACAGGGAAGAGAAGGCGGCCGAGGAAAAGGCCGAAGAAGAAAGACTCGAAAAGGAGAGAGCTGAAAAGGAGAGAGCTGAAAAGGAGGCAGCTGAAAAGGAAGCAGCTGAAAAAAAGGAAGCCGAGCGTCAAGAGGCAGAGGAGAAGGCCGAGCAGGAGAGACTCGAGCAAGAAAGAATCGAGCAGGAGAAACTCGAGCAGGAACAAGCAGAACAGCAACGCATAGAAGCTGAGAAGGCTGAACAGGAAAGAATCGCCAAGGAGAAGGCCGAGGAGGAAAAAGCGGAGGCAGAACGTCAAGAACAAGAGCGTCTTGAACAGGAGAAGCTAGAGCAAGAGAAGGCTGAGCAGGAGAGAATTGAACAGGAAGAGAAGGAGAGAGCTGAACAGAAGAGAATTGAGGAGGAGAAGGCTGAACAAGAGAGACTTGCGGAGGAAAAGGCCGAACAAGAGAGAATCGAGCAGGAGAAAGCCGAACAAGAAAGACTAGAGAAGGAGAAGGCTGAACAGGAGAGAGCTGAACAGGAGAGAGCCGAAAAAGAAAGAGCTGAACAGGAAGAGGCTGAAAAGGAGCTTGCTAAGGAAAAGGAAGCGAAGCTTGATGCCGCTCTCTCGGCAGATCTCGAAGACGTTGAAGTCGAACCACTCCAGCCTGAACCCGAGCCCAAGGCTTCTGAAGCTCCATTGCCAACTCAGGAAACAAGTCAACCAGATGCCGTTGACCTCAACTTAGAGGTGCAAGATGGAGTATCCAGTCACCCCACAGGTCAGGAAGCCTCCCAGCAGCAGGATCTCAATAACAAGTTTGACAATATTGACTTGGGACCATTGCATGATGAAGAGGTTGCATTGAACAACGCTGACTCCAAGTCTACTGACAAGCCCGATGACTCCATTTTCGACTTCTCTGCCTTCCAAGGTGAAGACGTCTCCTTGTCACAAATTTCTGATTTCCCCAATGAGTACGCTACGGAAGAACAAAAAGCAATTGCCATGTTCTCCACCGAGACTGCTGATTTCAAAGAGCGCCTTATGATGTGGAAGAATTGGCAAGTCGACATGACTGGCTGGACTACACTGGGAATCCCACCAAAAGTGGCGCTCTAGCTTAGAGTGGTTTGATGAGCTATGAATACTAATGCACAATGTTGTCTATTTACACGATTATTTGACTCTGCACAAGGCCAATCCTTGCAAGTCTCTCTTTGCAGCCTCCTGGATCTCCACAACCTCGTTGTCTTCTGTTCTTAGGAATATACACTCAGCAGGTTGGAGTGGTTTGATGAATCTGACAGGGAAACCAGAGGCCAAGGCCTTGACCTCAGTTGTACTCAAGTTGACCTTTCTGCCTGGCTTGGAAACCAATGAAAGATCTCTGATAACTGGAAGATTGTTTCTGTATTTTATGCCCAACCACAAACGGCGGGTCGCTATGTTGTCAGGGGTGACATCGACAGGCTTTTCATCTGGTCCAGCTGTTGAGCCTCTTTGTATAGACGAGAGGAAGCCTTCCTTGTATAAGTTGAGGGCAACCTGCAAATGCAACCTAGATAAAGGCACTGACGTAAGGCCAATATTCACGTTCGTGCAGTTTTTTAAATGGGCACAGAAGTTGGCTAGGCTGGACAACGACATGCTTGTAATGTAGAAGCTCTTTTTCACTGGAGTAGCTGGAGAAAAATTCAGATCGTGGTCACGTGCGCGCCTTGGTACTGAATCTGCTCTCCAAAGAATGGTGCGACAATAAGTTGCAACCATTTCATGTTTCGGTCTTTGGTTTCTGTTCCTAGGGTTTCGGTCAGATCAGCATTTTTGCCTTCTAGGTTCTATGCTACTGCCCGTAAGCCTCATCTGCCAGACCAGGGCCCCAAGTTGAGGTACCTTTTCGTGGTGGTACTCGCATCGTACGGTCTTTTGCATTATTGTACGCAAAGAATGGACAAGAACAAGAAGCCCCAGACCTCTTTCTCGGAGCGTGAGTTCGAGGAATACGAGAAGAGGACTGGTTTGCGCAGAAGAATGAAGTTGATTGGTCCAGACAAGCAGGACCAGTATGCCTTCTATGCGGTACCCTTTAGCGCATCAAAGTCGATCGCAGACACCTTGAAGGAGAAGCTTCAGGGAAGGGAAGTTAAGGTCATCAACCCTTCTGAGTTGATGGACAAGGAGGTCGAGCTGGAAGGAAAGTACTCGTACCTCATTGAAGATATCAGGGCCTCAGGTAGACTGGTTCCAAAAGGCTTGCTCACCGCTTTGGTGAAGAACGAGGTCAACCTCTTCATGAACACCACCAAGGGCCAATACGATACCGATATTGTGTTGCTCAATTACCCACAATCGACCGATGAGGCGATCAAGTTCGAAAACGATGTTTCCGACATCCACTCTTGTCTAGTGCCTGACAACGAGGAGGTGCTCAAGAACAACTTAGATGCCGAGCTGCTTAGAAAAGTCAATAACGTTGTCGGATACTTCGACATCGTCAAAAAGGTTCAAAAGTTCAAGGACGAATAGACGTCAACCCCATGTAAATAGCAATGTCACTTGAAGAACTCCTCTGGAGTATAGAACGGGATACCCACGGCTTCTGCAAACGCCTTATCAGAGTCCAGAAAGTCCAACTCTCTTCCAGCTGCGTCCCCCACGTAGAAGGATTTCTCCTTATCTATAGAGCATTCTTCAAAAACATTTTGAAGGTACTCCTCGACCCTCTCCCACATACCAATGGCTGGCTTACGCATATTGTTGTGCTTCTCTTCAGAACTGATCACTTTCTGCTTCCCCTTTGGCCTTTTTGGTGCTGCAACCACAAGAGCATTGTCCAGTATCGGACCCAAAGAAGCCACTACCTGGTTGATTCTTTCCTTCAAGTTTGTGTATGATTTTGACGGTTCGCCCTGAGTGGCAATGACGCCACCCTGATTTGTAAAGATCACAAATATCGTACCCTTCTCAATCTCCTCTGTCACCTTAGCCTTAGCATTCTCAAACCAACACCAGTCACCAGGCCCTCGAGCGAATTTGGATCCTGACTTTGTATTAACGAGCGTTCCATCTAGATCAAAACACGCCAATTTGAGCCTCTTAGGGTACTGGTGTTTCCTCACATATTCAGCAAACGCGGTTTTCTGGGGAAAGTTGGTGATACAATGGGACCCCTCCACCTTCCACCTAGAAGAAAACGATTTGGCCAAACTGCCAAAACTCCTTTCTGCACTCTTCACGTTGACACGTGGTTTGGCCAGTGGCTTGGCCACCTTCAGCCCTAGCATGGATGTTATATCTTTCACCATGAGTAGTAGCATGCGCACCAATATCAACACTTTCCTACACCACCTTACTACATATCATCTGCCATCGGGCATGGAAAAGACGTCGAAGGACCAGTATGGTCGTAAACTGTGGAATGTTGAGGCTTACGAGGCAGAAGCCAAAAAGGGAAAAAAGCAAGATGTCTCTGAAGAGGCCAAGGCAGCAGCCCAAAGACTAGGGTCTGATCGCCTCAAACATCGAGCCGATCTTTTCCAGGAGACAGTCTCGCTGGTCAAAAAACGTACCTTGATTGCAGACCCGGCAAGTGGACGAAAACGATTTGGTTTTGTTTGTCCCATTTGCGATCTTTCTTTCCGTGATACATTGGCACTTGTGGACCACATAAATCTGCCGCAACACATCAAAAAGGCTCAGGATCTAGCTCGGGCTGAAGGATCTGAAGTTGAAGAAGTCTCTGGAGGCTTCAGACATGCTTCACCTGAAGAAGTCGCTCAAACGATAGAGACACTTGTATCACAGAAACTACGAGAAGCTGCAGCCTCAAAGGGACGAGAGTCGATGCAAGAGAGGGTCAAGAAGCGTGCTGCATTTATGGAGAGACGCGCTGACAGGAAAAGAGAGAAGAGAAAGCGTAGGAAAGTGGGATCCGAGATGGAGGATTCGGAGATGGCCAGAACAATGGGTTTTGGTGGGTTTGGGTCGACGAAGGTGTGATGGGGTATGGAGTTGATTTTTATAGAGTTATGGGGGTGAGATAGGGCTGGCGTAGGTAGCCAGCTTGGATGAATTTGACGATGTGAATGACGACGATGGTTGTGTAGATGTTTTTCTCGAAACACAGTACTTGATTTTCCTAAGCGGCGAAGAGATGTGACCATTTCAAGACATTTTATTTTTTTGACACCAGCAGATACTTTTGTTCGTAAGCAGATTTTGTTGTCAAATCAGAGGACTGCCCTTCTGGTAGGTACTATACATTTGCATCCATAGTTATGCCTCCATTGCAACTCATATCAGCAACGTCTGGGTAAATTTCACTTCTTTTCAATTCTTTTCGATTGGGTATCAAATAGTCTTCAGAAAAGATTTCCAATCCAGAGATAAGAGGAAAGCATTGAAACATCAGTCTTCACTATGCTCTTAAAGTTAGGAATTTCGCAGCCATTCATCCTATCTCTTCGATTTCCTCGCATACAACAACCATGCCAATAAGCAAACAACATGGTAACAACGAATCTATAATCCTTCAGCTTCTAATGTAATAAATAATTAATTAAACGAAGTAAAAACAGACTATCCGATGGCCTGGTTACTGCTCATCTCAATACTGATATCGTGTGAGCCATCTGTAAAAACGCTAACTCAGGTTCAAGCCAGCCCATAACTTGACCGAAAAAGAAACAAAATCCTAATTTTATTTTCTTCACACCCCCTGGAGAAGCACTCTGACCTATTAGTAGAATTCCATAGCTGAAGCGAAGCGTCCTGCATGTGCAGCGACCCTCACCCAATGAAAACCTCATAAAAACGCTTTACCACCTACTCAACCTCATGGTCAGATTCAACTTCAGCGTGCCCTTCGGCGCCTTGTTCAAGTACAAGCCCCAGAAGTTCAACTTTGCCCTTGAGCAGGACATCAGGTCCAAGTTGGACTCGTTGCCTTCCGTTACAAAGATATACAGTAACCCAGACGGAACGCCCAGAGTGCCCAGCGATTCTGAATTCAAGACCATTGCTGACTTGCAGAACTTGTACTACCAGAGAAACTACCTGGAGTGGAACTTCCTTCTTCCAGGAATCCCCAAAGAACAGTTGGAGTTGTTCAAGGACAACTCGCAGGACTTGAAGAACTTCCAGTTTGTCACCAAGGACGCGGGTAAGATCATCGACAAGATCCCATACAAGGACGAGACCACAGGGGAGCTAAAATGGAGAATCGTCCGTGAGACAGAGAAGGCCGAGGGCTGGGAGGTGCCTTACTTCTACATTGTTTTGCCAGCCTTCATATACCTCTTATACTCCAAGTACACAGCGCAGCAGAAGAAGAGAGAGCAAGACGGTCCCGAATGGGCTGAGAAGGAGTTGCGCTTGAGAGCCATGGAGGAGTACTTCCACGGCGACACCGCCAAGGCCAAGGAGTTCTTGTCCAACGAGGGCAAGTCGGAGAGAGAGCTCAGAGACAGAGACGACTTGGTCGTGGCACGCATCTTGGCTGGCGACTACGATCGCTTGTCTGAGTTGAAGAAGAAGTTGCCCAAGGACTTGATTCCAAAGGTAGAGAAGGACGAGATGGTGACCATCTAAGCCATCGGTGTACTAAATGCATGATAAAAGTAGGATGGATGTGTAGAGACCCTAGAAGGGGCGGTACCTCTTAAGGGGCAAGAGCTTTGAAGAGGTTTCGAAGCGTTATATCAGATTTCGGTCAGAGTTAAGTTGCTTTTGATGCGATGAATATACTGACTGAGGAGCCCATCTCTTTTCTATGTCGACTGAAAAATAGCCAAATTTTGCCTGATTTCCTTCCGAATTCAATGAAGCTATTTAGCACTCTACCCTTCTCTATCCTATTCATGTTGAAACCTCATTTGGTTGGGTCAAAGCCTTCTACTTACCATGACTCAATACACCATTCCAGTGAACATCACTTCCAAAGCACCCATAAACGTACCTTCAATTGCAAACCTTTAAAACTAATATTCATGCCTGCAAAAGCTTCAGCTGCAATGATATCATCAGTCATACCCACTAGACTCTCTTCTACCTCTCCACAACCCTACCATCTACACCTCTCGAAACGTCCGGCTTAAACTATATACTCAATGGACGGCGTGGCCGCTTACTCAAGCTCGCCAGACTCCTCAACCACAATGGCCGATCTGGTCTGACCAGAGCCAGAGCCCTCAGCCTCAATGGCCTTGACAACGTCCATACCCTCAATGACCTCACCGAAAACAACGTGAGCGCCGTCCAACCGTGGGCAAGGCACGGTGGTGATGAAAAACTGGGAGCCGTTGGTGTTAGGACCAGCGTTGGCCATGGAAAGCAAACCTGGCTTGGTGTGCTTCTTGGTGAAGTTCTCATCGGCAAACTTGGCACCGTAGATGGACTTTCCACCGTAACCCTTGCCGGTCTCGAAGTCACCGCCCTGCAACATGAAGTTTGGAATCACTCTGTGGAAGATAGAACCAGCGTAACCGAAGCCCTTTTCACCAGTACAGAGAGCTCTGAAGTTCTCGGCGGTCTTTGGCACCACATCGTCGTACAACTCGAATTTGATGGGGTTTTGCTTGACACCATCGATGGATGGAGTGATGAAGACCTTTTTGCCAAAGGCTCTGGAAGCGGAGGCGAAGTTTCTGATGGAGGTTCTGAACATGGTGGTTGTAGTGGAGAATTTCGCACTGGTGAAAAGTTGGAGATGTGGAGAATGTCCAGAGTGGTGAAGCGATAGTTTTTGGAGGCAAGTTTTTTGGAGGCAAGTAAAATCGGTCTTTTTTTGAAATTGATTTTGGTGGGATGCCCCACAAGTGTATTCTTCTTCAATTGACTGGGGGGCCATCGACTTCTACACCTCCATCCATACAATTAACAACCTTAATAACTATATGCTCGAACGCTAAATCAACGAGTGGCGCCCGTATGGTCCATGGCCCTGAATATCTACTTAACAGCCAGACACGAATATACATTTTCACATTTTCGGATGACCAGGAGAGCGTTCGTCCTGGCAGCAGTGTTCGTAGACTAAAAGCTCAACAAGTCAATCTCGCCATTGTTGTTACCGTTGCTGGCGGGCTTGCTGGGTTGGCTGGGCTGCGCTGGCTGGCTGCTCAGAGAACCGAAAAAGTCATCGTCCTGCTCCTTCGGTTGGCTCGTCTTGGCAGCAGGCTTGTGTGTGGTTTTAGTCTTAGCGCTGGAGAAGAGCGACGAGAAAGCATCGTTGTTGGCAGAAGGCTTGGCTGGGCCCGTCAGAACAGCACCACCGAACGAATTGCTGCTGGCAGGCGTGTAGGTTGGCTGCTGATACGTCTGTGAAGGCTGCCTCAGGCCAGCAGCTGGCTGTGAAACGTAGAGACTGGCCAAGTTGTTCAGGAGACTGCCGGTGTTGTTCAGGGAGGGAGCAGCCTGGAAGTCGTCGAAATCGTCATCGTCGTCGTCAGCGGCGGCAGCAGCAGGAGCAGCCGTGCTGGAAGCCTGAGCGCTGGTGCCAGCGTCATCGTCAAAGTTCACCAAGTCGCCCAAAAGATCAGGCTCAGGAGCGGCCTTTTTGGCAGTGGCATTCACCTTCGAAGAGCCCGTGGTGCTCTTGGAGCGGCCAGGGTTGGAAGAGGTGGCCTCCACGTCGTATTCCTCGTAGTTGTCGTTTCCAGAGCTGCCGTTTCTATATTCGTCGGCAGGGTCGTCGTAACGAGCGCCAAAAACGCCACCGTCACCGTACACTCTGGAAGTGAAGTCGCCGTCTTCCTGGCCGTAGCCTGTGGTGATGGAAGAAGCACCGCCAAAAGCAGCAGAGGACACACCGCCAAACTTCTTCTGATTGGCTCTCGCCTTTTTACGCTCGGAACGGATCAAAGCGTCGTCGTTCAAGAAAGTAACAAGGTTCTTGGAACGGTTACGCACATTGATGCCCTGGTCACGACCCTTGGAGTCAATGTAGTGGAACGACTTCAACATCTGGATCAACGACAAGTTGGCCCGCACGTCGTCGACAATCCGCTCAGATCCGTTCTTCACAAGGTAGTCCAACAATTGTAAAGACTTGTAGATTTGCCTCCATTCGTTGGCAGCCTTTTCAGTGAATCTTCTAAAGACAAAGCTGAGAATCTCTTCTCTTTCTCTGTAATTGTAGGTACCGGCGGCGATCTGAGCCATCAATGTGGTCGAGGCACCCCAAGGCTCGTTGTTGGTAGCCTCACGGACCTTGGCCTCCATTTCTGAAAGGTTCATGGCGACTGTGGTTAGTACTGATTTGGTTTGAGTATCATTATTGCTACATACCATTCTGAGCTTTACGGACGTACGCCTTGGCATCGTACAAAGAGAAGTTCTTTGCAGCGTCTTTGAAATAGTCCATTTCCCGGCTTTTTCTTGGTGTTTTTTGTGGTGGGGCAGGGTGCTTCGGAATAGCCAGGAGCCGATATTTGTTCACTTTCTCACTCGCTTTCCTCACTAAACCTGCTCAATACTCACAACCCCCAGTGTGCAGGTCCGCTCCCGTGGCTGCAAAATCTCCACCTGTGATAAAGTACATCAGGCTGATTTTTTGTAACGGGCCCGGATCGACGCGGTGAGTTCCCGAAGCTCATCTACCTTTTTCGGACCACGGGAATTTCTGCCTCCGGGAGATCCGAACGGTGTGCTTTCCTCCAAAACGCTCACATTGGGCCCAAACGAACCGAGCACGGACATGTCCTTGGTGTCATGATTCAAGAAGGAATTGTTAAGATTGAGCATGGTGTTGTTCCCCAAAGTGGTGTTGAAACCACGAGTCGTGTTGGCGGCTGTGCGGAACGATGCATTGCTCAAGTCCATCAGATTGTTGATGTGCTTGTTGAGATAGCCCATCTGCCGGCTTTGTTCTGCCCTTTTAAGTGCCTCTGCTTCCTTGGCCCTTAAAGTGGTCTCGGCTTCCTCAGTGGTTCTCATCCTTCTGGACTCCTCTTCTTCCTTCCGTTTCCTCCTTTCCATCTCGGCCTCTAGTTTGGCCTTCTTCTTGATTCCACGAGCAGTAAGCTTACCCTTGAACCGCTCGCTCATCCTTGCCATTCCCTTGTTGAGAGTCTCCGAAACACTTTCCTCGCTAGACGACATGTCGCAGAGAACCAAATCTTGCACAATGTCTTTCGGAATCTCCTCGAGACGCATTAGCTGTTTGACCTCTTGAGGTCCCAATCTCACACCTTGTGTGTCCCAAAGTACTAAAAGAACTTGCACCTTGTAAAGGCAATAACGGTTGCATATTTGGAGAAGCTTGTGAAGAATGCTTCCGTCTCGCTCGAGCTTGGCCTGCAAGCTCCCGTACCGTTCTGCCTGTTTCTGGTCAGCAAGGCCACATTCAAAAACCAAAAAGGCACTATGGTTAAACGAGCTTTCTTTGAGGACATTACCGCTGGGTAAACTCTCGATATCGAGCTTGATTTTGCTGTTGGCCACGGTGTTTCTGTAAAATTGGCCGTCTTCAGAGACCAGCAAGTTGAATTTCGTGTTTAACCATTTCGAGTATGCCAATGCCCAATCCTCGACAATCATCAAGCACTTGATGTCGATAACATTGGGGGCTTTTATGTTGGAAGCACATGTATCGACGAATTTGTCGAGATTGATCGGTTTCCAAAGATCCTCGATCGCCAGTTGCTTCTCACTCATGTGCTGGAAGCTCTCGTTTCTTGGAGAATGATGGACTCTCTTTCTAAACAGTCCATCCATAGAGCTTGACAGTGAGACTCTCTTGAGCAATGGCCTTTTGAAGGAAATCGATTGAAGCTCCTGGAGCTTCTGCTTTCTTTGACTATTGCTGGCCTTCTTTTTCTCATAGCTTGAACGCAAAGCTTGAAGGGTTTTCTTGACGGCTAGCTTCTTCAGGAAGTTATCAGCTTGGGCTCTCAAAGCTGACTCATATGTGACCTCGTCTAAGAATGCCTTGTAAAGTTCGTTCGCGAGACCGCCAATCAACTTTTGCCTCTCAGTAGCTCTATTTTCGTACTTGATGATTCGAGGAAGCATCTTGTGGAGCTCTTCGTCAACAACCTGAGCAAGGATATCATCGAATGTGGCCTGCACTGCTTTGGGATAGTTCTTCATATCTGTAATCTTCGATGGTGTAGAGACCACTGGCAACGCAGGGGCCGGTTTGGGCTCAAACTTTGGTGGTGCTGTCTCTATAGGTGGTGCTGGTTTCGTTAATGCTGGAAGCGATGGCGTGGAGCTGAATGTTGGCGCTTTCTCCTCCTTCAAATCAACAACCTTTGGTTGGAAACCCGAATCTTTATTTGGTTGCGCTGTTGAGTCAAAAGGATAGCTGACAGCAGCGCCAAAGGTGACCTTGGGTGCAGCCTTATCTGTTGCAGCGGGGTCTTCTGATTTAATGAGTGGCTCCTTTGGTGTAATTGCGGCTTTGGGAGCTTCAACTGGGGTCTCCACTTTGGCTGAAGCTTGTCCAAAAACACTAGTGGGTTGTTGTTTAGTGTCAGCTTTCGGTGCCGAGCCATTTTGTGATTTCAAAAAGTCCTCGAGGTTCAAGGAGCCCACATTCAGCGTACTTTGTGGTGTCAGACTGAAACCAGATCCAAAGCCTGAGCCCAGGCCAAACCCGCCAAATCCCTTGGATGGCTGCGCAGGCTGCCCAAACTGAGAAGATGACGGTGCCAGTCCAAAAGCAAACAGTGAAGGAGTCTGGTTATTGGCTGATGTCTGAGATGAGTCTTTGGCGGGCTCCAGGCCAAATGTACCAAATACGGATGTCATAGAATCGGCTGCCTTGGATGCATTAGATGCCTTGATGGGCTTTTTGGGAACCAGGGCGATGATGGGTTGTGTAGTTCTCTTGAGCTGCAAGTCCGCATTGGAGAGACCAGAGTTGACATAATCCTTGTATCTGAGACCCTTGGATTTGGCATTTAATTGTTCGGAGTATGCTTGAGAAAGTTTTGGCTTGTCGTTGTAGCAATTGAGTTTGTATTTTGTTTCCAACTTTTCCTTGTTGAACAAGTCGACTAGAAGGTTACCATCTTCATAGAACGTGTCGACCTCGTAATACTCCACAAAAGAAACTAAGTCTGCAATTGAGTCAAAACCTAGCATTTCTTGAAGCGAGGTGGCTAAGAATGCACGGCCTTTTGTATGATAAGCTCTGGTCATGGATTTGAGGGCGTAAAAGCGGTACTCGTTGAAGTGAGTCTCGAGTAAACATGCAAGAAGGAAGGGCGTTTCAGGGTGGTAGACTAGACGGAAGAACTCGACGAAAAAGTTGAGAGCTCCGACTGAATTAGAGTACCCTCTTTCGATGACATTATTTTGGGACATTAGTGTTCGAAGTCGGAGGGCGAGCTGAACTTGCTTTGACTTAAGGATTTCATCAGGGAGCGTCTGAACCTCTCGCTCCAACTCAGGGTCTCTGAAATGGCTGATTAACTGGTATGCTCTGAATTCTGCCTCGTTGGGGCAAATACCGCCGTGGTTTCTGACGTCCTGGTAAATCTCCGTAAGAGTTTGAAGAGCCTTGTTAAGTTGTTCAAGCTCTTGTTGCTGTGAATACTCCACGTCGCTACCTGCCATTATGTGTAAGGAAAGCAAGTGGATACGCACGATCCGCTCGTTGCAGTCAATGGCCTCGGGGCCATAAAAATTCTGATAAATGAAGTCCTGTCTTATAGATCTAGTTCTGTCCCAAATGAATGAGTGTGCTTCGGGAAGTTGCTCCAAGACATTCTCTGTAATGTAGTCTAGTGTTTTTTGAAGAACATGTGGTGGTCTCACGTCTGAAGGCATCAGAGGTGGTTGGCCCGCAGCAGGACGCGAGAATGCTTTGACGGCTCTCTCTCGAGAAATCTTGTTTGTAACTGGGTCTTTTTCAAGCGACTTCACGTTGTTCTCTAGTGCTCGACGGACCCTTTCAAACACGGGACACATGTCGAGGCAGGTTCCCTGGAACACAATGGCCTCGTTCAAGTCCTTTGTAGTGTTTTCAGCGTCCACTAGTCCCAATTCCTCCATCTTCTTCCGCTCTGTATCCCTCATTTTCTGGAAGTCCTCGTATATGCCTTGGTAGTCTCTCCCAGCGTTGGATGCCTCTATTTCGAGCATCTTCTCCTGGTTTTGTTTGTCCCACTCATTGGGCTTGAACTCGGGCGTGATCAACATTCTGGGCTGGGAAAGCATAAATCTAGGTACGGGCCGTTGGGCTCTGGGTTTAGACTGTGCCAGAAACCCGTAGCTTGAAGGATCGTCAAACAAAGAGCCGAGCTCGCCATTATCAGTATTTTGGTTATTCGGCGTAGGCTTCACGTAGACATGCGGTTTGTGGCCTCGTAGGCGTCGCAGTAGACCTTGGTTCTGGTTCTGACCCTGGCTGAAAATCAGGCTCTGTTCTTGTTTCACCTGATCTGGCGGACCTTGGGTGCTAGAAGGTCCCGAGGCGGCCCGCTGACCATCACGTGGCCGTCTATACGTGGTTTTGCTGCCGTCATTCCTGGAGCTCTTGGGTCTAACGTACACATTCTGGTTGCTAGGCCGGCCTGGCTTCCTGGACTGGCCATTGCTGGGAGGCTTTTTGCGTCCACGTTTGGGATCGTACCCTGACTGGTTTGGACCAGCAGTCCGGGCCGTCTGAAGACCGCCTTGTGGAGCAGACATGGATGGTTGGTTGTATGTGGATTGAGTAGTTCTGCGGTGATATGGTGATGGTCACGTGCGCGGTCACGTGATCAGCATTTACGGTCGTTTATTTGGTGATATAGTACACGGCAAAGCCAGCCAACAATGCTTTCGGGAGGTATTGGTCCTCAATGGTGTAAACGCAGAGACTGTGTGCTGCCAACTGCTCCACAAACCTGGTGGTGATACTCTCATCTCGCAACTGAACAGTAACCAACGCCTTGGAGGCAGGACCCATCAGGGCCGCTAGCGTCTCTACGAAAAAAGGCACAAGGTACTCGTTGTAAATTGTGTCTGTGGCGATCACCAAATCCGGGAATCCGTCCAAAAGATCGAAAATCTCATGGAGGTCGTGTTTCTCCCAGTCGAGCTCCACAATGTCTATGGATGTATCGCTCGCTTTCCCAGTTTGCAGCCATTCTAGCGTTCTGGAGGTCCAGCGTCTGGAAACCACGTTTTCCTCGAAATTCAGCCTCATGAGCTTGAGAAGTGGTTTCTGGTCGGTGGCAACGTATTTCTTGCATTTTGGTCCTAGCACGGCTGCCAACAATGCACTGACCCCAGCACCTAGTTCTAGCACCTTGATATCTGGGGTTCTGAAGAATCCAGAAAACGGACAACCTTCGTCCAAAAGCCAGTCCACCAAGTACCTTGCCAGCTGCCAGCACACAAATCCTGTACTCAGCGCCTGTCCTGAAAGAGACGATCGGCTTTGCTGGATGGTTACCTCATCTCCACTAGCCAAAGAGAGGTGGAGCTTGTCTGTTGATTTGTCTACGTAGCCGAGGGTCTGGGCGTCTGGAGGGTGGTGTGTCACGTGGAGTTCGAAGACGTGGTCGTCAATGGCACTGAGATCGACGGGCTGGAGGCACCTCGATAAGTCCATTTAGATGGTATGTAGTTGATATGTAGATGTAGGTGCGAATGGTAGGGTGGTGATGAGGTAGAGGTGGGGTGGTCCGGGGGAGATAAATGATATCATTAGATTTTAGAGATGGGATAATGATGAAGTTGGAGGGATTGTAAAAAATGGGTGGTTTTGTTTTGGTCTTAAAGGTGATGGTTTGAGGTATATGGTTTGTGCGTTTATGTGGGGCACACCAAACGAGCTTGAATGGCTGCTAATTTACGAATTTCAAATCGATGGATGACATTATTTGGCATTGAAGACAGTGAATTGGAAATATCGGATAGTCGCTTCTAGTACCTTTTGGGAAACTTGCATTATATACCCCAAGCACCAAATTTTTCACCTCATACAAAGTCGTACAAATCGTATCACCTTTTCGTCCCACTTCCTGGTCCTCCCCCAATTATATCATTTCCTCCTGCCCCTCCCTCTACGGCAACACTTCCTAAATCATGGATTGGGTATATGTACATCGGTCAAACCGTTAGATAACGTTCTTGGCCTTCAAAATCTCGGCAATCAAAATACCGGCACCGGCAGCACCAATGACGGTGTTGTGGGACAACACAACCATCTTGAAATCCAAAACAGGGTCGGCTCTGACACGGCCCACGGAAACACCATAACCGGCGTCTCTGTCCCTGTCCAAACGAGGCTGGGGTCTGTCCTGCTCCTCCAAAACGTGGATGGTCTGTTTTGGCGCAGAGGCACAGCCCAACTTGGCGGCGTCACAGACGTAGTCTCTCATGGTCTTCTTGATGTCCTCGACCGAAGGAGCAGGTCTGTTGGCGAATCTGAAGGAAATACACTCGGTGTGGCCGTCACTGACAGCGACTCTGTTGCACTGAGCACTGACCTTCATTTTCTCCTCGTCCAAGAGATCAAAGGCGGTGTTGTCGGCATTGGGGTGGCCCAAGATCTTTCTGGTTTCCCACTCCATCTTGTCCTCCTCACCGCCAATGTATGGCACAATGTTGTCCAAGACGTCGATTCCAGAAACACCGGGCGAGAAACCAGCACCAGAAATCGCCTGCAACGTGGTGGAGGTCAAGGCGTCAATAGGGCCGTACTTCTCCACCAAAGGCTTCAATGGAGCGACCAAACCAGCCGTGGAGCAGTTGGAGATACACACAAGGAAGCCCTCCTTCTTGCCCTGCTTCTTGGCGTCGGCAACCTTCTTCTCGACAACCGACAAGTGCTCAGGGTTGACGATCGGCACAATCAAAGGCACCTCGGGCTCTCTTCTGTAGTTCTTAGCGTTGGAGATCACAGCCAAACCAGCATTGACGAAAGCCTTTTCGATCTCGCCAGCGTAGTCCGAGTCCAAGCCGGAGAATACAATGTCACACTCGGCGAATTTGCCTTCAGGTTTGCACTCCTCAACGACGATACCTCTGGCCACTTCTGGCAACAAGGCAGTCTGTTTCCAGGTGACTGCGTCTCTGTAAGGTTTTCCAGCAGAACGAGCCGAAGCACCCAAAGCGTGGATTTCGAATTCGGGGTGCTCAGCCAATAACAAGATGAAACGCTGGCCCACAGATCCTGTGGCGCCCAAAACACCTGCTTTAACCATGTTGAAGAAGAATGATGGTGGAAATTTTCCGTTGTGTGTAGTCGCACCTATTGACTCACTCCGGTTCCGGCGAGGCCAAGTGGGCTTTAAAAAGGTGGATTCGAAATGAGGAATGTATGCATGTTAGGTGGAAACGGTAGTTGGGTGGAAATGGCGGTTTTGGGTTTTTGAGAATGTTTTGGGTGTAGACGGTCGTAGAGGTGGGTGGGTATGTTGATTTGCAACCGCCGCAGTGTGAGCTAAGTGTAGGTTAGGCCTTGGCGGCAGAGATTGAAGATGAGGTGAGGTGGGTTGGGGGAAAGTTTTGGTTTTTGGATTTGCTTGAATTTGTATTTTTTGGGAACGACACTAGGTCTTGGTGTAGGGGTATCGAGGGGAGTGCTCAGCTTAGGTAGATAGAGGTGAAGAAAAGCACTATGTGAAGATAGTTCCAAGGAATCAGATGCTTTAATTTAGGTCATACATATTATTTTTTAAAGACTTCCAGGATGAAACACTTATTGCTGGCGAATATGTTGGGATCTGCTCTTGGTTGTCGTTAATCACTGTGCATCCATGAATCTACACAAAACTACACAAAACTGACGAGCATATTCACAATAAACGGATTCTTAATTCAGTTCATCATCTGAAATCTAATGAAACCATGTCATTCCAATCACACCCATCGACTGAAGAAATGCACGGTACTACTCCTCTGCTCGATGCGATTTGCAACCATTTCACGAGGACCACCATATACAGCAACCATCTCTTTACACCCGACGTAGCTAGAAACTTTTATCACCAAAAATTCAACACATTTCAGAAAATAAAAATTCCCCCAACTCATCATTCAACCCATCAAATGGCTATATTCTCCCTCCTCTGACACCCTCCCACCACTCGTCCTACACAGAGAAACGCGTTTTAACCTGAGGCAAATCTGTTCTCTTCAACGCTACCATGGTCAACACAGACTTTGAAAAAATCTACCTCAACCAGTCCCGGTTGACGGGGCGGATGCGTATTGCTGACTCTGGTCTTGGTTGGAAGGCAGCCCAGCTGGGCGATGCGGCCAACAACCAGCCTTTTCTTTTGCCCTCTGAAGAGATCCTCACTGCTCACTGGTCGAGAGGCTCCAGAGGCTACGAATTGAGGGTGCAGACGAAAAACCAGGGTGTTGTTTCGCTCGATGGCTTTGATCAGGAGGATTTTGCCAAGATGAAGCAGGAGCTACAAAGGAACTTCCAGATTGCCTTGGAGCACAAGGAACACTCGTTGAGAGGCTGGAACTGGGGTCAGACCGACTTGGCCAGAAACGAGTTGGTGTTCCAGGTCAACAACAAGCCTTCGTTTGAGCTTCCATACTCGGAAATCACAAACTCGAACTTGACGGGTAAAAACGAGGTCGCGGTGGAGTTCAACTTGGGCAACGACAGTAAGGCCGGTGACGAATTGGTGGAAATGAGATTCTACATCCCAGGTGTCGTTGAAAACGAGACCACCAAGACCGTGGAAGGTGAAAATGGCGAGAAGCAGCAGCAGGAAGAGACCGAAGAGGTCAGCGCTGCCTCTGTCTTCTACGACCAGCTCAAGGACAAGGCAGACATCGGCCAGGTTGCCGGCGAGGCCATTGTGTCGTTCAGCGATGTGTTGTTCTTGACCCCAAGAGGCCGTTACGATATCGACATGTACGCCACGTCTTTGAGATTGCGTGGTAAGACGTACGATTACAAGATCCAGTACAAGCAGATCGAGAGAATTTTCTCGTTGCCTAAGCCCGATGACGTACACCACTTGATAGTCTTGCAGATCGATCCGCCATTGAGACAAGGTCAAACCAAGTACCCATTTTTGGTGTTGCAATTCTCGAGAGAGGAGGAGACTGAGTTGGAGTTGAACTTGGCGGACGATGTGTACGAGTCCAAGTACAAGGACCGTTTGAAGAAGAAGTACGACACACAGACGCACTTGGTGATGGCCCACTGCTTGAAAGGCTTGATGGAGCGCCGCTTGATTGTGCCCGGCTCGTTCCAGTCTCGTTTCATGCAAGCCGGTGTTGCATGTTCGTTGAAGGCATCCGAGGGCTACTTGTACCCATTGGACCGGTGTTTCTTGTTCGTGACAAAGCCTACAGTGTACATTCCTTACTCTGAGGTGAGCAATGTCACCATGTCACGTACAGGCGGAGGAGTTTCAGCCTCGCGTACGTTTGATTTGGAAGTCAACTTGAGAGGCTCAGGTCCCTCGCATGTTTTTGCCAATATTGACAAGGAGGAGCAAGAATCTGTGGAAAGATTCTGCCTGGAGAAGGGCTTGCGTGTGAAGAATGAGGAGAAGATGGCTAAAGCCATGTTGGCTAAAGCTATGAACGAAGAGGATGACGACGACGACGATGCCGATGTGGATATGGGCAGCGCCGGCGACGACGAGAGTGACGAGGACGGAGACTTTGGCTCTGGATCCGATTCCGACGTTGCAGAGGAGTTTGACTCGAACGCCTCCGCCTCCGAGTCGGACGAAGCAATGGGCGACGTTGACGAGCGTCCTCCCAAGAAAAAGACCAAGAACTAATGTAATATAGAGACACTTCAGTTTGCTGCTGCCTCCACGGCGGCAATCGAGTGGCTACCATGGAATCCAACCGCCCACGGGCATGTATCAGCTACCACTGGTCAACAATGTAGTCGGAACCCATTCCGCAATGGACGCGACGCGTACCACTCGCGGGCATTGTCATGTCCCAACATAGCAGTAGTATGAGCACCGCGCGGAGTATGATACCCCATAGTGGTTGCTCCTAAGCCTCTGGGACCCCTTAAGCAATCCGTACAAACTCCAAAGTTACAACAGGCTTTTCCGCCATTGGGAAAAACATGATTCAGGTGGACCCCCTTAATGACGATCGGCAGACACGCATGCCTCGCTTTGCGGTCAGGAACTTCATCACGGTTTTGCAGCAGTGTCAGCTTGACAGCTATTGCCTAAATAGGAAGTATAAGTAGCCATTTGACGCAGCTCGCGCTGCTCCAGTATGGGGGTCCCATGCATGTGGCTGGCTCCTACGCAGGAACAAGATTCGCAGCCAGCCTCCCAGTCCAGGAGCTATAAATCAACCAGCCCCTTTTGGACTGCGCTATTCCAGAAATTAGACTAACTCATGGCCTCCTTCAAAGACTACGAGCCGTGTCTCCAGTTCCTCGAAACCGTTCCTGAAGACATGCAAGTGCCACAACGTTCAGCTGCCAGACCCATATTAGAGAAGGCTTCTTTGGCCTACCACGATAGTGACGATGAAGTGCTGCTGCAAGCGCTGAATTTCAGAGTTCATGATTCCTCCGACCACGAGTACGGATCTCCCAAGGACTCCATTTTTTCTGCCTGCTCTTCGCCAGAAATGCCTTCCTTGAGCTTGAAGGATGACGATGATCTCGAGATCTTCTTGGATGAGCTTGATGAGGTTGAGATCCAGGAGATTACAAACGTGGTGACATATAGCCCTGGGCACTCTCCCACCATCAAGGAGTTCCTGACATAGCGGAAACCTAATGGGGTGTATTCCCTCAATGAGGCAGTTCACCGTGGATAGATAACCGTATGAACGGTGCATCTACGACATAGGCACTGACCTCACTAGGCATCGATTCTACAATGGATAGAACCAAGCAGGGAGCAAACTCCTGTGGAGTGCAACTGCTCCATGCTACCTCCTGCAAAGCAGCGCTACATTTCCAGCACATCGTTAACCCGAACCACCACATTCCCCTCGGAGTTAGCCTGGCATAGCCCATCCAAGATCCCCTCAAGCGCTGCTAACGATTCGCTTCTTCACAATTTACTCCGCAAGCTACACTTTACTTGTTTTACGACCGGATTTGCTTCTCTTCGACTGTACGTCTTTTTTTTCATACCCCGGCCTGTGTGCCATTGTCCCCAAGGACCACTTTTTAATGAACATCTTGAGCAACCATGTGTAGATCTGCCAATTTTTCAACGGCTTTTTATTTGCATTTACGCCAGAGATTTGCCAAATGTAAATAATTATTTTTCAGTTTCACCGTTGGATGCGCAAGTGTCTATCTTTGGGACAAGCGGCTTCAAATTGCGAATTTGACACTTTTGCACGGCTCAGGTAAACCAACGGAAAAATGATTTTTTACACAAAAATCAACAAAACCCCCAAAATCAAATACCCATCAGCAGGATGATTTTTTACGGTCAACGGAATCCAAAGTCACCCCATAATGGTTGTGGACCCGGCTAGATGGTAGCTTTTTGCCTTAGCGACTCGCTTCCACCTGCTGTGAACTGCACTCAGCTGAGGAGCCATGCACCGATCTCCAACCCACAACTTTTCTTTTCACAGATAGAGATTATATAAAGAGGACTGCTCAACGGCTTTTTCCAGCCCATACCACTTATTTATTCCTCCCCTGAGCTCCAGTGAATGACGACAAAATGGGTGCTCCTCTTGGCATGATCATCTATGCCTCGGTTAAGCCCATCTTCAAGATCTACTTCATTATAGCCATAGGATTCTACCTAGCTCGACGGAATATCCTCACGGTGACGACATGCCGTGATATCTCGGACGCTATCGTCACGGCCATCATGCCTTGTTTGATTTTCAACAATGTTATTACAAATCTCAAATACTCGGACATCAAGAACATTGGTATCATCTTCTTTGAAGGTACCATCTTGTTCTCTGTGGGTGCCTTGCTGTCGCTAGCGATTTATTACACATGTAAGTCGCCCAAACGCTGGTTTGGCGGTTTGATTTCTGTCGGGTTGTTCCCCAATATCTCGGATCTCCCCATCGCATATTTACAAACCCTCTCCAAAACGGGGTCGCTTTTTACAGAGGAGGAAGGTGATAAGGGCGTGGCTTACGTCTGTATTTTCCTTGCCTCTCAGGTGTTCTACCAGTTCTCGCTAGGCTTGTTCCGCTTGGTCAGGTACGACTTTAGAGACGAGCTCGACAAACCGCAAGACGAAGAAGAGGAGATCGACACGAGCCAACTACATTCTGTGGCTTCCACGCCGCACGCTAAAGAGCAGCATTCTGGAAGTGCTGAAAGCGATAGCACCTATAGTTCTGAGGATAAGCGTCCTGAGATTTCTAGAGATCCGCTGGAATCCCGCCAGCACGACGAGTTCCTCATGCAACGAGACACTGAGGGCCACTCTGCGATTTCCCATGATCTTGAATCCATGGACTCGTCAATGAGACAGCGCCGGGGCACCAACACCTCCGGTACCACTAATTACTACTCTTTGCATCAGACGCCCTCTCGTTCAGCGGACTTGAGAAGAGCCAAGTCACAGGACGTCGAAGACGTTATTCACGAATACAGTGAGTTTGACAGACTCAAGAGCAACGAGGTGAGAAGCCAGCATTCGGCCACTAGCGACGTTGGCATTGGTGTGGCTCCGCTAGAAAGAAACGAAAAGGCTGAAGACGAAACAAAACCCGTTTCACGTACAAGGCGCTACTGGAAGTATTTCCTCAACACGATTGTCAACTTCAAGGCGCCAAATTCGGTCTCCTTGATTGTTTCGCTCATTATTGCTTTGTCTCCACCGCTCAAGGCGCTTTTCGTCAAGACTAGCTTCTACATGCCTGATGCACCAGACGAGATGCCGCCATTATCGTTCCTCATGGACCTTGCCAGTTATGTCGGTGCAGCATCTGTGCCTCTTGGTCTTCTCCTTCTTGGAGCCACAATTGCTCGACTCAAGGTGAACCAGATTGTGCCTGGTTTCTGGAAAACCGCTCTCATGGTGACTGCCGCCAGATTGATCATCATACCCATTTTCGGCGTGGGCTTCACGACAGGTCTCTACAAGGCTGGCTGGTTTGAAGAGGACAAGCTTGTAAGATTTGTGTCGGTTTTGGAATTTGGCTTGCCCAATGCCACAGCCTTGGTCTACTTCACTGCGTTCTACACTGATCCAAACTCGCCAGAGCACCTTCAGATGGACTGCTTGGCCATTTGCCTCATTGCGCAATACTCAATTCTCTTTATCACATTGCCCTTTTTGGTGACGTTTACCCTTAAGGTGTCGCTAGGCTACTAAGAGACTCAATGCATTTTGACAGATTTTCGACACTCGCATCCGGCCCCTGGGCCCGTCTGAGATTGCACACCTCGCGGCACTTCTCCTGCAGAATCGCCTTGCTAGCCCTCGTCATTGCTACCAGGCACAGCAGCACATAAAAGCACGTCACTCTGCCTTTTTTTTTTCTCCTCCTTGTTAATACAATCATGGCATTATACTACAGCTTGGTGTTTGGCTTGCTCGTGGTGGAGATGCTCTTCTTCACCATCTTGTCGTTGCCTTTCCCCAGAAAAGTGAGAAGAACTGTTTTGGCCACCGTTTCCAAGCCCTTCACTTCTGAGCACGTCCAAATCATCACGAAGTGCATCTTTGGCTTTGTGGCTGTTCTTTTTATCGACTCGGTCAACAGAGTGTACACTGTCACCACCGACTTGAGCGGTCCCGGCTCTGAACGTGGCATGATTGACAGATCGGAGGTCCAGGCCAGAAAGTTCTACGCCCAGAGAAACATGTACCTCTGCGGTTTCGCCTTGTTCTTGACGCTTCTCACCACCAGAGCCTACTCGTTGGTGGCTGAGTTGGTGTTCACCAAGGATAAGTTGGACGACTACAACAAAGAGCACGGCGACATTGCGCCAACCGAGGGCGACAGCGAGGAGATTCAGCAGTTGAAGAAGGAGTTGGCCGCCAAGGATGAGGAGCTCTCCACCTTGAAGGAGCAGGCCGAGGGCTTGTCCAAGGATTACGACTCTGCTTCCCAGGCCAAGACCACTGGTGCTTCCACCATTGAAGCCACCACCGACGATGCCACTGTCGCCTCGGTCACTGGGTTCAAAAAGGAGTAGATAGCTATTATTTAAGAATGCAAACTGTACAAGTCCCCAAATCGTAGATGAAGCGTCGTGTGTTAATATATACGGCCCAGTGACCACTTTCCCAATTAGTATGAGTTGCTCTTGTGCTTAGGCACGAATTGGAAATTTGGCGAGGCTTTTCCAAGGAACATCTCCGTAATCTTGATCCAGTCCTTGTAGTCCGTGGAGCCAAGAAGCGTCTCCAATTCGTTTCTGCCACGCCACTTTGGTGGTCTTTGGTTCAACTTTGGCGGGAGTTTCTCCAAAATCCCCACGGGGATGTATCTGTGTGTGAAGCCAATGAACTCACAAAGGAAACGTCTAGCAACCTCAATGCCGTACTCATCGGAACCCCAGTGCTCCACGGCAAAGTTGGCAAAAGTACGAAGATGCTCGAGACGCTCTGTGGCCAGTTTGTCAAGGTACTGCTGAGCTTCGATTTCCTCGAAGATCCAGGGCTTGATGAGTGCACCTCTTGCAACCATTACAGAGTCAATGCCTTCCGTGTTCACAGCCTCGTACCATTGTTCATGGGTGAAGCAGTCACCGTTTCCGATAAACCATGTTGGCTGGATATCGGTCAAATCCTTATTTTCCTGTTTCTTCTCGTTCAACTCCTTTACGGATCTTGCGACCTCGCCGACGTAGCCCCAATCGGCCTCTCTGGTGTATCTTTGCTGTCTTGAGCGGCCATGCAACGTCACTGCAGCAACGTCGGTCTCGGTCAACACTCTGTTGACCAAGGAGATTGCGGTGTTTTTATTGTCTTTGGTTCCTGTTCTGATTTTGAATGTGACTGGGATATCGCCGGAACAAGCATTCATACCGTTAAGAATACGAACAAGCTTGGCTGGTTGATCCAAAAGCGCTGATCCCTGGCCCTGGCGGTAAAGGAGATCGATAGGGCATCCACAGTTCAAGTTGAGTTCAGAAACATGAGAGGCCTCGTTGTAGACGGCCTCGGCAGCCTTGGAGGCCTGTTGGTGATGATTGGCAGCAAGCTGAACACCAAAACCGGGGTATTCAGATACATGCGCTTTAGGCAAGGCCCATTCTGGCTTGGTTCCCTGAAGGAGTGGGAGTGAGAGTGCCATTTCACTGTAGGTGACGTCCGCACCAAGAGTCTTCATCAAACGACGGTAAGGAAGGTTTCCCACCGTGGTGAGCGGCGAGACAATCTTGGCTCTATCAAAGTTGAGTCTCTTTTTCTCCGCAGGCTTGAAGGGAGGCTCCACGTATGAAGCAGCATTGTCCTTGACTTCCTCCTGCTTCTTTGCATTAGCATCGTTCTTGACCAACGAGTCCAAGTACTTGTTGTAGGCGTCGGCTTTTTCAAAGACGTAGCGATGCTTCTGAAGGTCCATCCGGTGGTCCGCAGAGATCTTGTTGAGCTCGTAGTTGTCTGTCTTGGGTTCCTCCTTGAGAAGCTCGTTTGTATCTTTGTTGTAGTGGCTGCTCAACCAACGGCACTTCAAGCCAGCAGGACAGTACCCAATAGCCACTTGAACGGGACATTTGCCTTCGATATCGTCTGGCTTCGTCAGAAGATAGTATGTCACGTCGTGGGTGTTCTTACACTTGTCTGGTCCAAATCTGCACTCTTTGGGGTCCAGAGGATCCACCAAACTCGAGCACAAACGAACCTCCTCCTTCTGCTGCTTGAGGTCTCTCTTCTTGTTCTGTCCACGCTTTTTTTTCGAGCGCTTGGAGCCCTCCTGTTGGCCCCTGTCTCCACCTTCAGCTTCCTCATCATCGTAAGCCTCTTCCACTTTGACACTTTCCACCACAAACTCTGGCTTGATAGGCGCAAGGCCCTTGTCGTAGTTATCTGTGCGTGCCTTCTTTGCCACAGGCTCTGTGGAAGCGTCAATATCACGCTTATCGTCTTCTGTCATGATAAGATGGTTGGTAGTGGTGAGCTCTCAGATGTAGTATATGCACAGTGGGGTCCCACCACCAGGTACCAAAAGGGACCAAAAGACTAAATTTTGAACCAAATGAAAATTAGAATCCAGTGAGTTGATAAATAATTTCAAAAAATCCGATTTTCCCCCCTCTGGCCCCCATACCCTTCAAGGGTCCTGGCACCTCTTCTCATTGTACGCAGCACCTCATCGACTTTTTCAGATACACCTTCAACCTCCAGAGGCATGGCGAAATACACTGCAAAAAAGCAGAAGGTCCAGCCCCAGCAGAAGGTCTCGAAGCCTTCGAAGATCTTCAGCCCATTCAGGGCCCTCGGCAATGTCTCCAATGAGGTGCCCTTTGCCGTGGGCACTTTAGGTGCAACTTTCTATATTGTCACCTCCGTGGGCCGTTCGTTCCAGATCTACGACGCCGCCACGTTGCACTTGCTTTTCGTTTCCCACTCGCAGACTCCCGGCAAGATCCTGGCTTTGGCTGCCCACTTCCACTATGTTTACGCTGCTTCTGGCAACTCGGTGGGTATCTATAAGAGAGGCCGCTTGGAAGCTGAAGTGAAGGTTCCAGGACAGGCAGCTGCCACCATCAGCCGTCTTTTGGTGTTTGGCGATTACCTTGTTGTGGTCTCGACCAACGGGTCCATTGATGTGTTCAAGAAGCCAGCGGGATCCAAGATCCCCACGGAGCATTACACCACCATCAAGAGCATCAACACCAAGTTTGCCGGTGACATTGTCGGCGTGGTCCATCCACCCACCTACCTTAACAAAATCGTCGTTGCAACCACCAGCGGCATCCACCTCATCAACATCAGAACTGGCAAGACCATCTACAAGTCTCCACAGGACCAGTTTGGTGAGAACCTCTCTGCCATCGAGTTTGCACCCGCTCTTGATATCATTGCATTGGGTACTGGTTCAGGAGGAATTTTCCTCTACAACTTGAAGAAGGGCACTATTCTCGGCGAGAGAATCGTCGCTTCTCCCGCAGATGTGGCTGCAAAGGTCAACTCCATTTCCTTCCGTACCGATGGATCCCACCACCTTGTGGCTGCATTGAGCAACGGTGATCTTTACTTCCACGACTTGGTCAAGAAGGCCAGAGTGCACGTTTCGAGAAACGCCCACGCTGAAGCCACAGGCGGTGTAGCTAATGCCAAGTTCTTGAACGGTCAGCCAATTGTCGTGACCAACGGTGGAGACAACCAGCTCAAGGAGCTTGTTTTTGATCCTCCGCTTTCGACCACCAACAGCTCTGTGGTTTCGCCTCCTCGTCATTTGCGTTCTCGTGGTGGCCATTCTGCTCCTCCAGTGGCTATGGTGTTCCCTAACGAGGACAAGTCCCATTTCATTTACTCTGCATCCAAGGACCGGTCGTTGTGGTGCTTTTCCATGAGAAAGGATGCCCAGGCACAAGAGGTTTCCCAAAGACCACCCAAGACTGATTCCAAGAAGAAGGGTGGCCCTGTTGCTTCTTTGCGTGAGAAGGTTCCAGAGATCACTGCTTTGGCCATGTCGGTCGCCAGAGAAGGCGACTGGGAGAACATGGTGACGGCTCACAAAAATGAAAATTTCGCCAGAACATGGGACTCAAAGCATAAGCGTATGGGACGCCATGAGCTCGCTACTGTTGATAGTGGCATTGCAAAAGCTGTGTGTGTTTCCCATTGTGGTAATTTCGCTTTGGTGGGATCCTCCAACGGTGGAATTGGCGCTTACAACTTGCAGTCCGGCCTTCTTCGAAAGAAGTACATGTTGCACAAGAACAAGGCTGTGACTGGTTTGGCCATTGACGGCATGAACAGAAAAATGGTCAGCAGTGGTCTCGACGGTGTGATTGGTTTCTACAACTTCTCCGAGTCCAAGTTCCTTGGGAAGCTTCAGCTCGACTCCCCTGTCACCACCATGATCTACCACAAGGGCTCCGACTTGGTGGCCTGTGCTCTTGATGACTTGAGCATTGTGGTGATCGATGTGGTTACCCAGAAAGTCGCCAGAGTGCTTATTGGACACAACAACAGAATCACCGATCTTGACTTTTCGCCTGACGGCAGGTGGATTGTGAGTGTTTCGCTTGACGGTACCTTGCGTACGTGGGATATTCCAACTGGAGGCTGCATTGACGGAATCCGTCTCCCCAACGTGGCCACCAGTGTCAAGTTTTCGCCAATTGGTGACTTTTTGGCCACCACCCACGTCTCCAGCAACGGTATCTCTCTCTGGACCAACAGAGCCCAGTTCCACCCGGTTTCCACAAGACAGATGGAGGATCACGAGTTCAGCACAGCGCTTTTGCCTAACGTTTCTGGCGAAGGCGGAGCTTCCCTTATTGAAGGTGCTCTTGATAAGCCTGCTGAAGATGACAACGACGTTAATACTACCTACCGTTCTGTGGACCAAATCAACCAGGATCTCTTGACGTTGCATGTGGGCGACAGAAACAAGTACCTGAACATTTTGCATCTCGACATCATCAAAAAGAGAAACAAGCCCAAGGAGGCGCCCAAGAAGCCCGAGCAGGCACCCTTTTTCTTGTCTTTGGGCGGCGAAGTTGTGGGTGACCGTGCTGTTGTTGCAGAGAATGGTCTCAAGAGTCTGACCAACGGTAATGCTACAACCGAGGAGTCCAAACTCAGAGCCCTCAAGGAGAACGGAGAGCACAATTTCGAGTCTGAGTTCACCAAGCTTCTTAGAATTGGCGGCGAGTCCGAAGACTACACTCAGTTCATTGACTTCTTGGTCAATGCTGCTCCTTCCCTCATTGACCTCGAGATCAGATCGCTCAATTCGTTCCCTCCATTGGACGAAATGACCAGTTTCGTCGAGGCTCTCAACCAGGCCATGCAGCTCAACAGTGACTACGATGTGCTCCAGGCTATCTTTGGTCTTTTCCTCAAGCACCATGGCGACGTTATCTATGCCAATGGCAAAGAAGAACAGTTGCACGAGGCACTCGAAAAGTGGGGTCAGATCAACCAGCAGAAGGGAGCCAAACTCGACGAGCTTGTGAAATACTGCTCTGGTGTCGTCAACTTTGTATCTATAGTATAAGGCAGATATCACGAAATCGTGTAGTACCATCGAGCGCGCTATATAGCTACTTCTACATCTCACCTACAACCAGCATATCGCCATGAACGTGGACATAATGGCGCCGTTCAATCGGCTCAATCTTAGCGGAAACGCCAAGGTTACGGCGCTTCATTTCCAGCATGAAAAACTATTCATTGGCTTCAGCAATGGCGACATCACAATCATGAGAGTCAGCGATAACCCAGAGGCAGTCAAGACTCCTGCTCGCTCCATGCGAAGCTTTCGTTCATTTACCGACATCAAGGGCCTTTTTCACGATAACGATTCGTCCCTGTGGTACAGCACCGAGAAAACGTTCCGAAACGTCAATGGCTCCCAGTCTCCAATCACCGTCTTGCGACTAGTGCCGCTTTACAAGGATGGCTCGAGAGATGTGCTCTTTGTGGGCTCTTCCGATACCCTCAATGCCTTTGAATGGGTTGGTGCCCACCTCAATTTGATCCATACCTTCCAGGAACTGAAGAACTTCAACCAGTTCAAGTATGTGGAGACCAGGGACAACAGACTAGTCTTGGTGGGCACCAAGAAACGCTTGAACATTTACCAGATTAAGCAGAAGTCAAGGAATATCTTCGACTTTATTCTCATCAAGGAAATCAGCCTCAAAGACAAGCTACGCTCTATTGGTGGCCAACATGGCGACAAGATCGTCTTGGGACTCACAAACTCCTTCATGTGTCTCGAACTAGGCACGTTCAATCTCAAAAGCATATCCACAGAGAGCTCCGGCATCAACAGCTTGTCACAAACAACCTCATTCAGCTACTTTGGCATATCTAGCACAGGTCCTCAGGTGTGGATCTTGGACCCCAAAAACGCAAACTCATTGGTCATACGCGACTCCCAAGTCGGATCTCTTCAATTCGAAGATGATACATATGCATTGGGCTCCTCGGATGTGAGGCTCCTGACGGTACCTGTGGATGTTGCATTTCTCCTACCATGCTACTTGCTAGTGCTCTACAACAAAAAGCTCGAGATTGTTGACATCGCTAGTGGAGCAGTTATTCAAGTCTTCTATCATCACATGAACAACTACAATATCAGCCTCACGGTCTTCGAGGATGTCGTCATCATTGGTGCGGGCACCAATGTATTTCAGTTCAGAATTAATCCTATCCGCAAACAACTCAACCAATTTTTGACAATTCGAGGATCCAACTCAAGTGCAAGAGGCCTGAAGGAGCTTCACAGCGACTTACGGTTGATAGGACTAGAGAGGGCTTTAACGTTGGTCAATAGTCTTGACAACGACGATAGCTTGTTTTTCCCCTTGGGGCTGTTCGAGTCCTCAACCGACAAGTATAAGCTTTTGTTTCTTCGAAACCTATACACTGAGAAGGCACAAGTTTTGTTTGAGCTGTACGGGCGGTATCATGATGCATTAATTGGCATTGGCTCCGAATGGATCCTCTCATACAAAGAAGTTCTCAAACTCTTCCCCGATTTTATCAATGGCGAATTTCAGATAAGTGAGTTGAAAGAAAGAACTCCTGACGATTCCTTTGAGACCAAGTCGTCTTCAGGATTTGTGAATCCGGTTCGTCGGGTTAGCATTCAAGAGCTAGAGAATACGAAGCAGGACATAATCGCAAATACAGCATCTGACAATGCTACTGAAGGTGAAGATTCTCCAGACAGACCACAGCATACGGGACTTGCATCAGGTGTGAGCCTTGATGACCTGAAGTCTCCCAAGGTTCGAAAATTCAGCAAAGCAGTTAGCGATCTTATTGTTTTCTTGACAGATCAAAGAAGAATCTACTCCATATTTTTGGGATCCAACGATATGATGCCTACGATGCCCTGGAAAAGTGTGGACGTGTCTCCACTCGACCTCGATCCAAGCCTCAAGGAAGACCAAATGTGGGAAGAGATAAAGAAGGATGCCATCTTCATTGACACCACCCTTTTCCTTTGCTACTTCTATACAAAGCCAATGCTTCTTGGACCGCTTCTACGTTTGCCAAATAATAAGTGTGATTCGAACGTGGTCAATCATTACCTTCTTAAGGATTTACACAGTCATACAAAAGAGTCGCATGTCTTCATTCGCGAGCTTCTAGATTTTTACTACGGGAGATCCCTTCATGAAGAGGCCCTCGAGATGCTCTATAAACTCGCCCATGATGAAACCTCACACTCTCATGAATACGACGAGTACTTCAGATCTCCTGACCTCACAATCAGCTACTTCCAAAAGCTTGACAACAGCAAGTTAGACTTGATTTGCAAGTATGCGGAATGGGTCTTGTTAAGTGACGAAAGTGAGATGATTCAGCGGGCTTCTGCGATATTTATGAATGAGACTTACGAGTGTGAAAGTTACGACACCACAAAAGTATTTGAGTTTTTCAAAAATGCTATCAAGAACGACGACTTGGCTATTCGTTACCTTGAATGGCTTCTTTCCGAAACCGATGTTCTTCAATCCGCTGGCCGTACGAGACAAAGGTCCACCTTTTCGACCAAATTGTGCTTGTTTTATCTCAAGAAATTGAAGGCTCTCGAGTTACCTGACGAAGAGTTTGTTCAGGATGAGAACTACAAAAAGCTTTACGACTTCTTAAAGAACTCAGTGGACTATGAGCCATGGACAGTTTTGAAGAACATTCCTACAAGTCAAGACAATTTTCTTCGCTTCACGATATTTATCTACAAACGACTCGGTGAACATCAAAAATCCGTGGACGTCTTGTACAACCAGCTCACTGATTTGAATGGTGCAATTGAATATTGTGCTGACCTTTATGACGCAGGCCAGCATCAAGCCGGTCAAGATCTTTTGCACAAGCTTCTTGAGGATTTGTTATTGCATTACGAGGAGAATATTGATTCAATTACCCAGCTCCTTACAACGCAAGGAAAGAAAATGTCAATGACAAGGACACTTCTTACTTTACCAAGTTCCTTCCCATTAAGAAACCTCGAAACGTTCATAGGCGAAAACTTGATCCTGGTGGACACAGATCTCATGAACAAGAGGATCACAAGTCAACTTTACAAGGTTGGATCTGTGAAGGTGCAATATGAGCTTCAGAAGGAAAAAGCGAAGTCCTACAAGATTGCGAGCAAAGAGGAAAGTTGCGATATTTGCCATGACTCAATCAAGAAAAATTTGATCTGCATCGACCCGGATGACAAGATTTCTCACTATAAGTGTTATCAAAAGGATCGCGACTAAGAAGTACTCCGGCTTGAGGCCATTATCGCAACGGGTGTGCATGCAAGGGAAAAAGTGCCATACAATTTTGAACAAAACATTGTCGCTTCCCCAACGTTTCTAGAAGTAGACTCAATTAAGCCCCATCCCATAAGGATATCACAAATTCCATTAAGCAAAATTCCAGAGACACGTCTACAATGTCCAATTCCACACCGCCGACTCTGAGTCACGAGGAAAAGTACGGCGTCAAGCCGAGTGGAGGCATCAAGCTTCCATCGATTGCGTTTTTATCCAACCAAAAAGAGAGCTTTCTGCCAATAGGATCACAAGAATTACCACGTCCAAGTACCGAAGGTCATGCTCAGCAACCTCCACACCAACCTATCAGCAGGCCCATGTCTGCTGGAGTCAATCCTGTGGACCACCACATTTCAGCATCAGGAACACCACCAGCCATGACGATACCAAAGCCTCACGAATACGATCAACACAACAATTCTCAGTCTGTGACCCCTGGTGCCACGAATAGTCCAGGAAGTGCCAATGCAGACAAGCAAGCGCACGTGCATCGTTCGTTAGACCCACAACACGCCAACAACCCCCACCATCATCACCACGTCCGCAAAGTTAGTGGAGGCGCACATGGCCATCATCATCACCATCACCACCACCATCACCACCGCCACTCGAGTCCTCAAACCCCACAAACGCAGCCAAAGGCAGCTGATGAGGCTGAAGCTGAAAACGGCGCTGCAGAGAAGAAGGATGAAGATGTTCCCCAAGCAGTGGTTGCAAAAAAGGAGAAAGTTATACCGTACGTGCTTGACAAGGGCCCTCTTGAGGAGCTTTTGAGGGACGTGTTTCCCAAGAGAAGGCACATTGGCTCCATAATATACAACCCCACGACGACGTGGGAGACCCTACAATTCGAGAATTTGCAAATCGATGAGCACGATAAGCAGCATCTTCGTGACATACAGCAGAAATATGTGGAAAGGTACGGCGAACGTTATCGCTCCGTTGACCCAGAGTACATCCCTACCCTTCCTCCACTCACAGAAGCAGCTATCAACTGTTTCGTTGAAATCAAGATACCCTACAAGTTCATCAAGGAGTTCCTCGAGAACTGCAATAGTGAAAAGGTCCAGCGCAAGAGAGAGCTTTGGGGCGGAGCTGGCGGCATATATACAGACGACTCGGACATTCTTGCCGTGCTCAAGCACCTTGGCGTTTTTGATAACAACGCTGATCTCTCAGAGACCAACCCCAAATGGACTAAGCTGGAAGTGATCAAACCTATCGTGGTCCACAAAGACGGAGACGGGGTTGATCTTCTAGACATATCCGTGACACTTCTCATACTCCCGACATTGAAACAGTACTACGGCTACTACAAAAATGGTCTAAATTCTAGGTCATGGCTTGGAGACGAACCGCATAGCGGTTTATCTATCGGCGTGTGGGGTGTAAAATGGGAGACGTACAATGCATTCGCAGGGGATAAGTCTATACGCAAGAGAGCACAACGGGAATTCGAGGGCGATAGAGAAGCACAAAAAGTCATTGTTGAGAACGGTCAAGGATGGCGATTTGACTCCAAGTGCTATCGCAAGCTCAAGACAAAATTCACAAAGCTTGGTAACGATAAGAATTCCGCGGAGGAAAAATCTCACTAGTGGTCTGCCACTCGGCTAGGCTGGACCATCACCGGATTCAAATCAAAATTGCAGCCGTACAGCTTCCCCAGGTCAAGAATTTTCGTTCGTCGGGAGATCCGCCCCTAAAATTTTTGCAACCATGGTGTTCCGACGATAAAGTCAGATGAGGCGCTGTATGCAACATTCTCGCTTGGCTGAAGTCATGTGGCCCAGAAAAGAAGAGATTACAGGGGCTTTTGCATTTTCAGCATGATAGCGGTTCCGGCATTTCCACAGATCCGACAAACCTCGTTAACCGTGAACAAAAACAACCCTCATTTTTTGTTTGCTAGGCTGTGCCATTGTTTATTGTCCTTTTTTCGTCTCTCGTTGTTAGGTCTTCTGCCATTTGCGGTGAGGGGTGAGGCTGTCAGGCACCTGAGCAAAAACAAAAACGATCACAAAGTTCTGCAGACCCAGGCCGAGCACCGGTACAGAAAGTGTGTTACACTCACGTCCTGCCCCAAAAAAGAAATCCATCACTAGGGCGACCCATTACGCCATTTGACGCTCCAGACCACCTTCTTTTATAAGAACACGATTCGCACCAGTCCGGGGATATTCATTTAGACACAGCGTTCCACTCTAGAGCGTTTTTATTTCCCCCAGCATAGTAATCCCAGGCATGATTCTGAGTAAACTGTCTTCGCCCCAGCTCAGCTCCTCGCCATCCAAACTACGAACCCCTCCAGCTCTCTCGAATACGCCGCTGGCCAATCCACTGAGAACCTCGTCGAACGCAGCGCTGAAAAAAGGATCGAAAAAAGTTTCTGGGTTTTTCAAGAAGATCGGTTCTGAGTGGTCGGGGCTCCTATATCGCCTCAGAGATATCTCACACGACACCCATTCCGAAGACGAGGAAGTAGCTGAGCTTTTCGAGGACAGCGGGCCTCTAGACATGGACCGTTTATCCAAGGTTGGCCGTCAACTCACCGACGCCGAGGAGCAGTTCCTTCGAGACTACAAAAAGTACAAAGATCTTAACAAGGTGTTTGAGATGCATCAGCTAGAAAACCCCACGGCTGCCAACAGCGAGCAGGATATCGAAGATATCGACCGTCTCATGTTCACCGACATGAACATGGTGAAGCTCAAGGACAACCTCATCAACCAGGTGCGTGCCACTTCACAGTACAACTCCGACTCCTCCACAGACACACGCACCAGCCAGCTTGAACAGCAAACCCTGAGTATCGGGGAGATCTTGTGGGAGTACAGAAGGAGCAAATGGCTTTCCTATGGCCGGGTCAGTGAACAGGCTATCGCCGAGAAAGTCAACGAGAGACGTGAGGAAGCCTCGATCAAGCACATTCCAAAGGAGCTCTACCCACGCATATACACCAACTTGGTGGACAAGGGCCGCAGCTTGAAGGACGACAAGCGTCTCAACTTGGAGGATTTGGTGGAAGTGGTGAACGAGGGATGGAAGAAGGAAGAGAGATGGACTCGTGCCGCCGAAGGCTTGCCTTAGACTCCATAGAATTTTTCGACTAGCATGAACAGAGCATAGTTGCATTGTGCAACAGGGTTAGTGAACAGGTTAATACTAATCACGGTTAATTTGCGTTCGCTGTAGCACACTGATCCAACAATTAATACAGAAAAGACAATACATGACTGACATCTTGGATTTCGTAAATTCGTATAATTATTATTTATAAGCGTTATGGGCCCAGTTCCCGGTCTATCGTTGGCTCTTGATCAACAGAAGCGTATTTTCAAGAATTCGTAGTTCCTGGTCCAGCTGCTCGGCTCGTCTTTGGAGCAAATCCACCTTGGACTCCTGATGCTTATCCAAGGCTCTTTTAGTCCTCGCAATCTCTCGACCTAGCTTTTCCTTAGCCAAAACAAGCTTTTCATAGTTGACCGAGATGTCTTTCTTCAATTGGCGGTCGATTTCCCGATCGAGGTCATGAATCGTGGTTATCTTATCTAGAAGAGGCGGGCAGTTGGAATTATTAGCCACCAGGTTCGCCCGGACTATGGCATTCACTGTTTTGACTAGTGTTTCCGATAGCCTGGTGGATTCCACAAGATCCTGCTTTTGTTGTTGTTTAGCCTGGATCAAAAGATCCCTATGAGAAGGAGGTTCGGAGGTACTATTGGAGTTGTTCATAGCATAGGAAAATAGTTGTTTTTTGTGGAGATTGTTGAAGTATGAATCAAGGCTGGTTGATAAGGTGGATGTACCCCAGTGCGCATTATCATCCAACTCGATTACCACCTACATTATCATGTCTGCTCTCGTTGACGAGGCCCTATTTATAAAAAGGCCAGACAGTACTTCAAAAGCCGAAACTCCCAGTCTAGATTCAGCATCTTTGAAAGATTTGACAAATGCAGAGCTTCTCGATTTGACATACCATCTCCTAAGGTCCACCAACCCAAGCAGGGACGAGGCATTGACCCTCTGGGAGCTTCGTTTAGTTCTCCTAATGTTTGAAAACCAATTGAATGCTGCAAAGAAAGAAGCACTCAACTTGAATAATGCGTTGTACTTGCTAGAAAACCCAAATGCTCCTCCTCCACAGACACCACCTAAACCACCACCGTTGGGACGTACTGATTCCACGGCAAGCCGGCGTTCTGGATCTCCCGCTGTGCAGACAACTCCAGGTATAATATATCCACTTCCGAAGAATAATGATGGAGCCATTGGCTTTCCACTACTTCTGCTTATTCTCAGACTAAAGCTGGCTCCGAATTTGTCCTTGGTAAACGAGTTGTACAAGTTGTGTTACCAGCTTCGGCTCAAGGGAAACCCAGGCGAAGAGTCTGAAATACAGCGGAACTTGGTGAGTCTCAGTTACGAGATAATCATGGTGCTGACCATTACGAGGAACTTCTACACCCTACTTTCGTTTCTCAAGTCATTGGAAGCTGATCTTGCAGCTAGACAGGATAAGAGCTCCAACAAATATAGACACTATGCGTCCAACGTCTCGTTGATGATAGTATTGGCGCATATGTTAGTTCTCCAATCAGAAGATGCATCCAGGCTTGATCGGGACGATTTGCGTCAGAGGTACACCAATCTTGATGAGTTCACCGTCGAATGCTTTGTTAATGTTCTCAAGACATATTCACCCATGGTCAGTGATGGTTTGACACCCTCAATTGGCCCTGACGAGGAAGTCACCTTTGAAAGAATTATAGAGCTCGTGAAGGATGGTAAGCTCACAGGAAGAATTACATGTTGTACGTTGGCGTCGTTCCAGCTTGGCAATCTGCTTGAAGCTGAATTCAAGACTGTCGATGGATCCAAAAGATTGGTTGCAAAAGCAGAACCTAACGATTCCCGTTTAGGCGACTTCCACAGCAAGGTGATGTCCCAATGGGGCAACTACATTCATAAAGTTTACGGCATTGAGTGATTTCAGTTTGGAATTGATCCTTCAAAGTGATTGCAATGTTATCCATTATGGTTGTCGCTATACATCTAGGGCTTGTGCCCTGGATGTTGACACTACACGTGACCCAAAAAAGGCTCTACGCACACGCTCCAGTCTCAGATAAAGGGCTGTCTGCATATAACACCCAACGGAGCTCTCATAGTGAGGCTGCTGGAGTGCTCAGTACCGCACTAACAAATTTGAGCTCAGCACGTCTCTCTGCGAAAAAATCCTGAAAATTTTAATACTGAGGCCTTTTGAATCCAACCACTTCAGACATCTTCGTTAAAATGGCTTTGCAGGACGTTGTTACTCGTGAATACACCATTAACTTGCACAAGAGAGTATGTGAATCCCTACCATCCCATTGATTATTATTCCCTGACTGCCCCATCCTCCAATCCTTTTGAACTGTTCCCATCCATGAGTTTTCCCATGAATACATCCCCGTGAATCTTTCAACCAGAATTTGCTACACGCCATGGAAACCACGGCAATCTATTATCCACCACCACCTACGAAAGGGGACGGGTCATGTCAGTCGAAATGTTATATTGAACCTATACTAACCAACAGTTGCACGGTGTCCACTTCAAGAAGAGAGCTCCAAAGGCTGTCAAGGAGATCAGAAAGTTCGCCAGCAAGCACATGGGTACCACCGATGTCAGATTAGATCCTAAATTGAACACCCACTTGTGGAAGAGAGGTATCCAGGGTGTCGACTACAGAATGAGATTGAGAATCTCCAGAAAGAGAAACGACGAGGAGGACGCCAAGGAGGCTATGTTCGCCTTCGTTGAGCCAGTCATTGTCCCAACCACCAAGGGCTTGCAGACCGTTGTTGTTGAAGAGGATGAGGCTTAGACAGGCTAGGTTCTATAATTATCATCTTTAACTTCTCATAATACATAAAACTGACTGAGTTTTGTATCGTGTATAATAACGAATTAGTCTCCGACAGTTCAGTAGAATCGTAATAGAGATGTGGTGGTATTGGAAGATTAGATGTGGAGAGGTGGAGATGAAGGTCAAGCCTGGGAATGCCAACATGAAAACAGTGAACTCTACAACAGAACAGTCTTATGTTCTACGACGTTGATGGGTGTCGTTGTGAGTGCCTAATTGTTAGTATATCGTTTGAAATACTGAGTTCAGTGTAACTATGACAAAATACCAGGTCATTGCAAGTGAGGCGTAGTGCTGCCAAAACGGCTGCTCCTCGAGAATGCTCAAAGTTGGTAAACGAAAAAGAAGTTTTCATCAGGACGTCAGTTGTTCGAGTTTACATACGTTTTGGTGAAGGTTGATTGTAGAAGTAAAAAGATGTTCTCAGCTCTGCTTTCGCACATCTACCGTATGTGCGGGTAACCTTTGGCAGACCAGATAACAGAGGGAAAACATGAAATGGGCATCTGTAAAATTTCGACAAAATCTATGGATTTATTGTATTAATTGATGAAAAAAAATCAGTTGCAATATTTTTAATAAGTCTGGCTTGTATAAACTCGTCGTTATTCTTTACATAGATGTACTTGATTGATCAGAACAGAGACTGTAGATCGATTTGCATCGATTCCGAAAAATTCCTATTTTCTTAGGCTGATAAATTAGCATAACGTTCGACAAGCTGTCTTTAAATATGATTGTGATTGTCAACACTATCATTTTCAGAGGAATAAGTCAATTCATTGAAGGACGTTGCAACCACCTTTTGGAATACCTCGAGGCTTCCAGAATGCTAAAAAGACGAATTTTGTTTCATAGATGGCGACGCATTCGTCACCATCTTTTAAAATCCAATTCCTTTTAAATCTTTTGTTTCCAACTTTTTGTATTTTTCACTCCCCCACACTTGTTCATCGGAGTACCAAATCTCATGCCCACTTTTCGCAGCCAATTTACCGAACCGATGAACAAATAAAAACCACAACAACCAAAGTCACCTTTCCAACGTCCATTCTCAAACCTTCACATACTCAAATCCCCAAATAACTCTCCTCCAAAAATTTCCCCAAATAATTTCCCCGTCGTAGCTCCGGTTGACTCACTGTGAAAGATGTCGACTGCATACAGCCCACCAGCTTCCCCAGACGAGGCCTCGGTAGGTCCAACTTAATCTCCAGCTTGATCTCCACCTACCAAAATGCCTCTGTCGGTGGAGTCAAAAGACCCTTCCATCGCTACTGTTGCCAATGTGCATGTGATCAATGATCCCACGCTTTTGCAAACAGATCAGGTCGCTTTATCCTTCGAGCTTTTTGTCAGACTCTTCCCCAATACCCAGAAAGATGTGCCCATGAACGACAAGGAGCCCAAGTTTGTGCTCATTAAGTTCATTGGCGTGCCAGACTACTTTAACGAGTTTGTCGTTCACCGCGTTTCGCTTATAGATAACGAGTCTCCAACGTCTTCGTCGGTTACCATCACCAACCACTCGAACTTGGTGAAGTTCGGTAACAACATCACTGTGAACGGATGTGTGATTCAGTCTATCGACGCAGACTCCATTCCCTTGCTTACAAAGGCCTACGTGGAGGTTCCAGATGGAGTTTTCCATGTTTTGCAAAATACACCTTCTCTGATCGTGAAGGAGAACTTCGTGGACCAATGGACCGCCAGCAATGGCGCCGTCGTTTCCATAAACAGTGCTGTGAGAGCTATTAATGGTACAGTCAAGCTTTGTGAGCCCTTTTTCCAAGGTAAGGTTGACGCCAACACGGAGCTTATCTTCGTGAAAAAGCCTATTGAACAGCCCAAGGTCGAGGAAGTTCAAGAAGAAGAAATTGAGGACGACTTCGATGTTTCCCAGTATCTTTCCCAGAGCATGCATTTGAACTCAAGTGACGACTTTGAGTCAAAGTACCCATTGAAGGTTCTTCCGTTGCCAGAAAAGATCTCCATCAACGACCTTCCGACCTTCTTTGCCCGTGAAGACCCTGATTTGTATGCGTATCTCAGCACCGACGATCTCTCCAAAATCGGGTTCCCGCTCTTCAATGGCGACTTAGCGTCTCTTTGTGTGGGCAACCTTGAAACTACCATCAAGGTATTCACAGTCTTGGAGCCAAACAAGTCCTTCCAGCCGGGCACGATCTATTTATCGCCTTTACTTTTGGTGAACCTTGAAGTGGATGACGACACCGAGGTGACCTTGAAGCCTTATCAGTCGAAGAACAATACCTTCACAGATGCGTTCCCCATCGCCAAAACCGCCACGATCTCAAGAATTGCATCCCCAATCACCACCGACAGAACCTACCAGCAAAGCTTTTTGAGTGAGCTCAAAAACAAGTTTCATTCGTGTGTCAAGATCGTTCGTCAAGGCGATGTAATTCCGGTTTGTATCGATACCGTGCTTGCGAAGACGATCTTTGATGTTTCTGCCCAGCAACAGCAGAACAAGGGAGAGGGAGAAGACGAACAGTCGAACTACCCAAGCGTCCCACTTTCAGGAAATCCTGATGCTGTTGCATGGTTCAAGGTTCTCGAAGTCAGTGGAGCTGATAACGAAGACATTCAGGGCCAATTCCGTATTGACCCTAGCCAGACTGCTCTTACTTCATCTGGAGTGGAATTCTTAAGAGCACCAAAAAATGCATTCAATGACTTCCTGTCCTACCTCCAACTTCCGCCACTTTTCAACTTCACGGAAGCTATTGAGGCTGCTCCATCTCACTTCAAATATGCCGAGGAGTTCCAAAAAATTATGCAAACAACTGTTGACTCCAAATCCAACATTCGCCTCAAGACGACTATTCTATTGAACTCCATGTCAAGAGGTCTTGGCAAGACGACCATGGTGAGAAGTTTAGCCCTCAATATGGGTCTCAACCTCATCGAGCTTGATGCCTTTGACTTTGTTAAGCCTGGTGCTGAATTGAAGTCAGTGGGTCTTTTGTCCGGTCGTATTGAGAAGTACCTCAATGGTCAACTCGAGGCTGCAAATTCAAACTGCTTCCATATTCTCTACATCAAACACATTGAGAATTTGTGTGTTCAGACGGACCCCAACGAACAAAGAGCCAGCAGCTCAACCTCGTTGTCTTTAAGAGTTGTTCAAACTTTGAAGGACTTTTTGGACAAGTACGAGAACATGGCCCTTGTGGCAAGTTGTAACGACATTGATAAGTTGAGCGAAAGCTTTACGCAAATTGTCAAGTTCCAAATTGACGTTTCAGTTCCTGATGAGCAAGAAAGACGTCAGATCTTCAGATACTTGCTCGATAAAGAAACCAAAGCGCTCAATACTGAAGCTTTACCTCAAGCCTTCGAAGATAAAGTTGAGTTTGAAGGACGTCTTGATATCTTTAGCTTGAAGTTTGCTAAGCGTTCCGATGTGAGCTACCAATCATTGGCATTACTGTCTGCTGGTTTGACACCTAGGGACTTGAACTCGATTGTCAGAAAGTCCAAGCAGTTGGCCATCAAGAGACTAATGGCACGGGCAAAGGATGCTGGAATCAGCTTTGAAAAGATTGTCAAGATTGCCAATGGTGGTCTTGTTCAACTAACCCCAGAAGACTTTGACAAGGCTATCAATGAAGCTAGAAACCAGTTCAGTGACTCCATTGGTGCTCCAAGAATTCCTAACGTCAAGTGGGAGGATATTGGTGGTTTGGACACAGTGAAGGGTGAAATTTTGGATACCATTGATATGCCATTGAAGCATCCAGAGCTCTTCAGCAATGGTCTTAAAAAGAGAAGTGGTATCTTGTTCTATGGTCCTCCTGGTACCGGTAAAACGTTGTTGGCCAAGGCCATTGCTACAAATTTCTCGTTGAACTTCTTCAGTGTGAAGGGTCCAGAGTTGTTGAATATGTACATTGGTGAATCGGAAGCCAACGTGCGTCGTGTTTTCCAGAAAGCTAGAGACGCCAAACCTTGTGTCATCTTCTTCGATGAGTTGGATTCCGTGGCACCCAAGAGAGGTAACCAGGGTGACTCTGGTGGAGTTATGGACAGAATTGTTTCTCAGCTATTGGCCGAGCTTGACGGTATGAGCGGAGGTGAAAGCAACGGAGACGGTGTTTTCGTTGTCGGCGCTACCAACAGACCTGATTTGTTGGACGAGGCTCTTTTGAGACCAGGTAGATTCGACAAGATGTTGTACTTGGGTATTTCTGACACCGACGACAAGCAAACCAAGATCTTGGAAGCCTTGACGAGAAAGTTCAAGCTCAGCGACGAAGTTGACTTGGCCCTGATCGCCGAAAAATGTTCATTCACCTTGACAGGTGCCGATTTCTATGCGTTGTGCAGTGACTCTATGTTGAATGCTATGACGAGAACGGCGAACGAGGTTGATGCCAAGCTCAAGACGTTTAATGAGCAGCGTGTTGCCGACAAGAAGGAAGAGGTGTCGAGCAGATGGTGGTTCGACAATGTGGCCACGCCTGCCGATATCAACGTGCTTGTGACGATGCAAGATTTCGAAAAATCGCTCAGCGAGCTTGTGCCCTCTGTGAGTGCTGACGAGCTCAACCACTACTTGAGAGTGAAGGAGAACTTCGAAGGCGGCAAGAAGAAAGCCCAAGAAACGGAAAACCAGCCGCAACAGGATGGGCAGGGTATCCCCCAGCAGCTTCTTGAGGAATTGCGTGCTAACGGCCACGATGTGGACGGTCTAGAAAACGGGACCATCACCATCAACGGCAACGGCCATGGTCACACATAGATCACTTTTTTAGTAAATAGCTCTTTTCAAGCACGTCCTTGGCCTCATTGATCTTCTGCGAAATGTACTGTGACCCGTTCTTGTCTGGGTGGTTCATCACCATGAGCTTTCTATACCTCAGACGCAAGAGGTTTCTATCCAATTTGGAGATCTCGTTGGCCTCGATGCCGAGCACTAGAAGCGCCTCGTTCTCCGTCATCTTATCACTAAATCCAGTGTTGTTGAACCTCCCTCGAAGGTAGCGAATGTGTTCAGCTTTGGCGCCTGAGTCTCGTAGATGAGTTTCGGGTCTCTCTAGTCTGATGTTATTTAGCGTTGCAATCATCTGGGGCAGAAGACGCAGGTAGCGTTGTGCAGTGGCAATGGCTGCCCGGGTAGTAAGCGCCACGACCGTGACGCCCAACCCTACAACTATCGGAAGAACCATGAGTAGGACTAGTTGATACTGGTGTGCACGAAGGCGAGAGGTGCAAAAGGTGGGGCAAAACGAAGGATTTTTTTGATATTTTGATTTTTGGGATTTTGGGGTTTCGAGATGATCTGAGGGATTTTGAATCTGGCGTGATTGTGGTTTTTGTTTCGAATGGATTTTATGGTTGATGAGCTTGGTGGCGAAATGCGTGAGAGTAGAGAGGTAAGGACCAAGCTACCGATTCTCGAATTTTTTTCGATTTGTTTTTTTTGCTTTGCCCAAATTCAGTAGATCAAAGTTGATAAGATGCAAAATTGTGATTGTAAATTTGCCGACGTGGTGGTTTGCTTGTATGGTGGATTCCTCGTCACCAATTTGCACCCAATGAGAGCAATGAGGAAAGCTAAATCAGGCAACAAACAAATTCAATCCCTTGCCTTATCAACAAAACAAATCCAACTCTTCAAATCGTCCACTATAATCCAAAACTTATGAGCCGCCTCTTTTGATAGTCCCATGTGGCCAATTAAATAATCCATTGTGCCCCAGACGCCGCGGTCAGTAGCACTGGGAACCAATCGAGAAGTCTCTTTATCTTGGCTTTGCTTTTTTGGTTGATAGTTGAAGAAAAACCATAACTGACTGCTTGTGTGAGTTCAACCTCCAGTTCCCAAAACAGACCGATTGGACCGATGACGCACTATCCACGGGCTCGGTATTCCCCCTCTTGAAATTTTCCAAAACACGCTCATCGTCAATTCCGGCCCGCTGGCCCGCCTAAGCGCATAAAGTGCCGTTTTTCCCAAACTACGAGCCGTTAGTCACCAAATTCTCCCCAGTCTCCATGTAAACACAAAACAGAAGCTTGCAACATGGCATCAGTCGGCTTCACCGCGTCATGCGATGAGGGTCACCTTGTTGCATGGCTCCGCTTATCTGTTGCGAATCATCTGACCTCGACGTCAGATGAGGCGACACGTTGGCGCAAAAACGAGTCGAATTGCACCAGCTTCTCATATGTTGTAGAGCATCGTTCCACGGTCACAAAAATGTAAAAATTAGCGAAATACGTCACCAGGAAGCGGCACTAGAACGGAAGTTCTCCTGCGGAGGGTACTCCGGCAGGGTGCAGGACTCCGGCCGATTGTCAACCGGATGAGATATATATACGCAAATTCTCACTCGATTTCCCACCTCAATTTTCTCCCAAACATGTCCAACGCCGCTTTACATTGGTTGACCCAGTTGAATACCACCGAAACCCCAGACAAGGTTTTGCGTCGTTCGTCCATCGTGGGCACCATTGGCCCAAAGACCAACAACGCCGAGGTGATGGTGAAGTTGAGAAAGGCTGGCCTTAACATTGTCAGAATGAACTTCTCCCACGGCTCCCACGAGTACCACCAGAGTGTCATTGACAACGCCAGAAAGTCCGAGGAGCTCTATAGGGGCCGTCCTTTGGCCATTGCCTTGGACACCAAGGGTCCTGAGATCAGAACCGGTACCACCGTCGATGAGAAGGACTACCCTATCCCAGCTAACCACGAGATGATCTTCACCACCGACGACGAGTACCTCAAGAAGTCTGACGACAAGATCATGTACATTGACTACAAGAACATCACCAAGGTGATCTCCAAGGGCAAGATTATTTTCGTTGACGACGGTGTCTTGTCCTTCGAGGTGCTCGAGGTTGTTGACGACAAGACCTTGAAGGTCAAGTCTGTCAACTCTGGTAAGATCTGCTCCCACAAGGGTGTCAACTTGCCAGGCACTGACGTTGACTTGCCTGCTCTTTCCGAGAAGGACGTTGCCGACATCAAGTTCGGTGTCAAGAACGGTGTCCACATGGTCTTTGCTTCTTTCATCAGATCTGGTGACGACATCAGAGAGATCAGAAAGGTCTTGGGCGAGGAAGGTAAGGACATCCAGATCATTGCCAAGATCGAGAACCAGCAAGGTGTGAACAACTTCGACGACATCTTGACCGAGACCGACGGTGTCATGGTTGCCAGAGGTGACTTGGGTATCGAGATCCCAGCTCCTCAGGTGTTCGTTGTGCAGAAGCAGTTGATTGCCAAGTGTAACTTGGCCGCTAAGCCTGTCATCTGTGCCACCCAGATGTTGGAGTCCATGACCTACAACCCTAGACCAACCAGAGCTGAGGTTTCCGATGTTGGTAACGCCATCTTGGACGGTGCCGACTGTGTCATGTTGTCTGGTGAGACCGCCAAGGGTAACTACCCATTCGAGGCCGTGTCCATGATGCACAACACTGCCATCATTGCTGAGAAGGCCATCTCCTACTTGCCATTGTTCAACGAGCTCAGATCGTTGGCCATCAAGCCTACCGCCACCACCGAGACCTGTGCCATTGCCGCTGTCTCCGCTTCCTACGAGCAGGACGCTAAGGCCATTGTTGTCTTGTCCACCAGTGGTACCACCTGTAGATTGGTCTCCAAGTACAAGCCTAATGTGCCAATCATGATGGTGACCAGAAACCCAAGATCCGCCAGATACTCCCACCTTTACAGAGGTGTCTACCCATTCGTGTACGACAAGCCAAAGGTTGAGAACTGGCAGGAGGACGTCGAGAACAGATTGAGATGGGCTGTTGCCGACGCTGTTGACTTGGGTATCATCAAGAAGGGCGACGCCATTGTCACCGTGCAGGGCTGGACCAGAGGCTCTGGCCACTCCAACACCGTGAGAATCGTCCAGGCCTAGACGATATTTAATAATAAGACATTGGTAGAGGTATATTGGTGTAGGTGCCCAAGGTGCACGAGATACCGGGATAAATAGAGGATGAAGAGATTTTAGAGAAGACGCAGTAGAAGACGAAGAGGAAGAATCTTAATTTCGTGAAAAAAACAAGACTTCAATCATGGATATCTCGGTAGCCAATACTCTTGCAGCATGTGTTGATGGCTGCGAAAACGTAGTAGGAAGCAACGGATATAAGCGTTAAGTCCGTCCACACAACCACTCATGAACCGACCAAAACAACCTGAATCACAACCCCAATAAATTAATTCAAAATCCACCAAACACACCCCAATACATGCCAAAATCATATGTTCGTACACCCTAATCTACTCCATTGTGGTGGGTCCCCTGCAGGGCTAAGCGAGCGAATTTGCATACCATCAACGTCTACTACACCTCTTCCTTGAATCCCATGCTTACCCGTATCAGGCCGTCTAGCGGGCTTCTCAAGTTGCTGAGCGGCAGAATGCTTCTTGCTAGCCGCTCTTACTCATCGCCCGAGGACAACACCACTCACTTTGGTTTCAAGACTATCAACAAGGACGACAAGGAACTGATGGTCAGAAATGTGTTCTCGTCGGTTGCCGCCAAGTACGACGTGATGAACGATGCCATGTCTTTTGGAGTGCACAGATTGTGGAAACACCACTTCATCAACAGGTTGGACGCTGGTATGAGACCAGGAGCCCTGAGACCTCTAGACTTTTTGGATGTGGCTGGTGGCACTGGTGATATTGCTTTTGGCTTGTTGGACCACGCCGAAAAGAACTTCAACGATGTGCAGTCGACCATGACTGTGGCTGACATCAACCCGGAGATGTTGGCTGAGGGCCAGTTGCGTTTCAACAAGTCGAAATGGAACGACGGCTCCGGAAGAGTGTCTTTCATCGAGCAGAACGGAGAGCTCATGGACGCCATTCCAGACAACTCCAAGGATGTGTACACCATTGCTTTTGGTATCAGAAACTTCACCAACATTCAGGCGGGTTTGGACACTGCCTACCGTGTGTTGAGACCAGGCGGAATCTTCGCTTGTCTCGAGTTCTCCCACGTCGACAACCCTGTCATTGACTACGCGTACCAGGCGTACTCCTTTAGCATGTTGCCTTTGATGGGCCAGTTGATCGCTGACGACAGAGACTCGTACCAGTACTTGGTGGAGAGTATCCGCCGTTTCCCTAAGCAGGAGGACTTTAGCAGCATGATCGAGAAAGCCGGCTTCTACGTTCCCGACAAGGGCTACGAGAACTTGACTTTCGGTGTCGCCAGCATCCACATTGGTGTCAAGCTCTAAGCTGATGTATATACGTAATGGCACCCAGTGCCCATGTCAGAAAATTAATGCCTATGCGTTCTACGGTAAAAAGTTTTGTAGTCGTTTCATTATTGCTCGTTCTATAAATTTTTGGCGGACTTGTGGGAATTAGTTCACAATCTTCAGGGCAAGCAGGAGATCTTCGCTGAGCTCAAGGGCGTTGATTAATCGTTTGGCCTGTGGTTTTTCGGAATAGTCTTCCTTGACAAATGCACCGTTTTGGAGCTTGAATCCCGCCTCAAATGCGCTTCCAGAAGATGTCCTTGCAGAAACTGCAAACTGCAAGTCGATGTCCTTACTTGAGAAAGAGACGTCAAGGTAAATTCTGAGATATGGCTCTTGAGGAACAGGGGTCACAGCAGTACTTTCAACATTATCCTTGTCCATGTTCTCGTCTTCATCCTCTTGCTTCACAAAGTCCTCTAAATCTGTGTTCGTGTTGGAATCTAGAACTTGCACACCGACATAGTTATTGCTCTCTGACATTGTATTGAGGCCAAGAAGCTCTTCTTCTGTGAGCGCTGGGTGATCTCTCTGTTTCTTGTTGTCAGTCTCAGTCGAACCCACAACTTGACATTCTGGCTGCTTCACCACACTCTCAACCCAGGAAGTAAGCAAGATGAAGTTTCTAAGCGATGGCAACAATTTGGAGATGCTATTCAAGCTTGAAAGAGTGAAAGCAGAAACAGGCACGAAGCTCGAGTATGAGCTGAGATCAAGCAGAATAGTTGGACCAGATTCAAGAGCAAAGTCCACCGATCCGAATTTTTCGATTTTGCTGAAGACCTCTTTCAAAGCGGGTTCCTCTGCCTCTTCAACAGCATCGAAATCCAAGTAATCCACGATTTCTCTCGGTAGGTATACCGCCTCGTTGAGGCCAAATTGGAGCAGCCAATTGCGAGTATTAGGTCCACTCACGGGAACACCTTTCGGCAAGTGCTTGTCATCGTCGAAGGTGATCTTATATTCGAGGAAGTTGCCGTCTTTATCCTTTGGCTCCCAAAGAGCCTTGGTGGCTTCCTTTAGGTAGTCTCTGGCTGGGTTCTCCGATTCAATTACGCTGAGGCGACCCACATATGTCTTGGGCTTGAAGTAACTCCTTTCGTTCTCAGGGAATTTGTTATGGGTTTTCCAAAATTGGAGAAACACACCGAGTTCATGGGAGTCCGCGTCGTTATACAACAATCTGCCTAGTAAACTGGTTTGACCAGACTTGACACCATCATCGTCAGGATTCAACTTGCACTCTTGCATGTGTATCACCTCCAAGTACTTGGCTATGTTGTCCAAATACAAGACCAAGTCGCCCTCCGGGGGAGACAAACGGTCGAGATTAGCCAAGTATTTGAGATTGAGTGGAAAGTTCCCAAGTCTCGGTCCATTGAGGTTCTCTTTGAGGATCTTTTCAGCGACTGACCTGTCGTCATCGCCTCTGACATTGAGAAATGACAATACGTTTTCGTCCAAGAAGTTCACCCTCACGACAGTGGTGTTGTCGATCTTGGTTGTGGAAATCACAGACTTCTCCTCCAGGTGGGACAGAGCTGTATTGACGGCACTGGTCAGATGGTTTCCCGAAGCTAGCGAGACCTTAGTTACCGTATTTTGATCCTTAAAGTCGATATCGACCAATAACAAGGATCCTGCTATGGAGAGTCTCTTCACCAGCTGGTTTGTTTCTGGGTCAGTGACCTCAGAATCAACGAAAGTATCGAGTCTGAGATGTTGTGCAAGCTTCTGGATTAGGTCAATTGATATTTTGAAGTTCAGCAGGTACTCGTATAGGAGTCTCAGGGACTCATGGAGGTACTCGTTGTATGAGGGCATGGTGTTGATGTGAGTCCTGTGTCCAGGTGAGTAGTAGTACCAGGAATAGAGATGTGTGGTGAATTGGATAGACAAACAAAAAAAAAAAAAAAAAAAATCGCAATGAAGACAGGAAATGCTAGTTTCAAATTGAAGATTTCATTAAGTTTTGAAAAAGACCGTTCGATCAATTCTTCAGATGCTGTTTGGGGTGGCTGTCTGGTACTACTGGAGATGGTGGGGTGCGAAAAAGTTACTCATCTACAACTTACCATTATGACTACGCTGGTGACGCCAGAGATCCTGGCGATTGTGGATCCCCTCGTTTCACAAATCAAAAGAAGACAAATTCTAGATGATAAGGCTGTGGCTTTGGAAGTCGCCCACATGCTTATGAGGGTCATTTCAGCCGTCAGATGGACCAACCCTTACGACTTGATCGCCGTGATTAGAAAGGTTGGTATTATTCTTGAAAACGCCAGACCAACGGATGTGATTGCTGGAAACATTGTGAGAAGAGTGCTCGCGTTGATAAGAGACGAGATTGAAACGGAAACCACCGACAACACCCCCATGATGAGCTCTATGTTCAGCTTACTTTCTACAAACCACAACAGCACGAAACGCAACCAGCCACACACCAAGAAGCAGCTGAGTGATATGCGTTCGATCATTATTCAGGGTATAAAAGATCTTGTGGACGAAATCTCCAATGTCAAGGAGGAACTCGAGTCCATGGCCTCTGACCTCATTCACGAAAACGAAACCTTGCTATGTGCTACTCCCACATCCGACACGGTGTTGCAGTTTTTGATCAAGGCAAGAAATAAGAGAAAATTCACGGTTTTGGTCACCGAGAGCTATCCTAACGATTTGACTGACGCACAGAAGTTCGTCAAGACGCTAGCTGAAAATAAGATTGAAGCTGTTCTTATACCCGACAGCACGGTGTTTGCTGTCATGTCCAGAGTCGGTAAGGTCATTCTTGGAGCCAATGCCGTGTATGCTAACGGAGGCTCCTTGTCCAATGCTGGCGTGGCTAATGTGGTTGAATGTGCTAAGGAACACAAGACTCCAGTTTTCGCTGTGGCTGGTTTGTTCAAAATTTCACCCAGGTACCCATTCAACAGAGAAGATCTCATTGAGGTGGGCAATTCTGGAAAGGTGCTTGACTACGATGACTACAATCTTCTTGAAAATGTCGATGTGGTCACCAACCCATTGGCGGACTATGTTCCTCCAGAGCATATCGACATTTACATCACGAATATCGGCGGTTTCGCCCCATCCTTCATTTACAGAATCGTTTTGGATAATTACAAGGCTGAAGACAGTAATCTTCAATAAATAGTGCATCTACGTTTAGCTTCCGTGTACTTTCATCACATTGCTCTGCATGTCTCATAAATACAAATAATATTAAGCATTGCCAGACAAGATGTCGAGGGCCTCATCGTCGTACTCGAATCTCTGTCTCTCCTCCAAAGAAGATCTGTTCAACATACCCTGCAAGGCTGGGGCGTATGGAGGCTTGGTGATCTGTGGTGGGTTGTTGGTGTTGACAATCTTGAAGTAGTTCTTGTAGATGTCACCGTCGTAGTTACCAATGGCAGAGTTGATCAACATGTCGGACATCATGAAGGAGTCGGTCAAAGGAATGACGTGTGGTCTAACTCTGGAACACAACTCAGCAATGTGGTCGGTGGAGTTGTGAGCAATAGCCTCAGTGGTGGCAACAGAGTAGGTCAAGAAGGTACCGGAGAAGCCCTCCAAGACAATAGAGGCACCGTACAACTGGGCCAAAACGTCCAAGACCTTGTACAACTCTGGCTGGTCCTTGATGGAGTCGATCTTATCAAGGAAGGACTTGTACAAGAAGAAGTGAGCCAACAACTTGGACAAGACAACGAGGTCAGCACCAATGAAGTCGGTGTCACCACCCTTCTGGTCGACAATATCGTTGGCTCTAGCAGAGGCTCTGATAAGAGTGACCTCAATGGCCTTCAAGATAGTTCTTGGGTTCTTCAAGTCCTCAGCCTGCAAGACTGGCTCCTTGCCAAGGTACTTCTTGTAGTTACCCAAGAACTCGAGGATACCAGAGGCCTTCTCGCCATCCTTGGTGATACCGGAGTACTTCTTCACCAACTGCTTACCAACAGACATACCCAAGATGTTGTTGTCACCTTCCCAGGTACACTGGACGGCAAAGTCGTTGAAACCCTTACCGAAACCAGAGTAAGAAGAGTAACCGTGACCACCGCAAGCCTGCCTGCACTGGTCGATGGTGCTCAAAGTCAACCAGGTAGCGGTGGACTTCAAGGAACCGGAAGCAATAAAGAGGGACTTCATGGCCTCGACACCAGCGTCCAAGAGAGCCTTGTCCTCGTTCTGCACAGCCTCGTCCAACTGGTCGTTGGAAGAGTCAGCCTGCTCCTGCAACACGTTAGCACCGTTAGAGAAAGCGTAAGCCATAGCCAACAATGGGATCAAACGACGCTGGTGCAATGGGTAGTCCAACAACTGAGACTCGCCATCGGACTCCTTGGCCAAAGCGGCCTTGAACTGCTTTCTGCCGACAGCGTATCTGAGGGCAATGGTGACGAATCTGGAAGACCATCTAAAAGCATCCTTAACCATAGCAACTCTACCGGTCAAAAGGGCACCGTAGGACAACTGGTTGAGAGGAGGCTCAGTAACCTCACCCTCCTCAGAAACCTTGGTGTACTTCTGCAACATGAAGTATCTTGGGATTCTGACGTGGGAGAACTGGATCCAACCGTTGTCGATACCGTCTCTACCCATCTTGGCACCAATGTCACCAATGGCGACACCAGGCATCAAGTTGTGCTCAGAGTCTCTCAATGGCACAACAAAGGTCTTGACACCGTAGTCCTTGCCCTTGATGATCAATCTGGCGTAGACGGAACAGTGAGTAGCGGAGTGAGCAGCACCACCAATCCACCACTTGGTGGCACCAAGGTGAGGGGTGTTGATGATGAACTCGTCGTTCTCCTCGTCAAAGGTGGCGGTGGTCTCCAAACCGGCAACGTTGGAACCGTGGGCCAACTCGGTCATACCGAAACAACCGTAGATGTTCTTGACGTAGGCGGACTCCTTCTTCAAAATCCAGTAGCCCAACTGGTCAGCGGTACCAGTGCCTCTGACACAGCCGACGAACAAACCAAAGTGGACACCGATTCTGGTGTGGAACTGTGGGTCCATCAAGGAGATGATAGACATTCTTCTCTCAAAGGAGTCAAAGGTCTCCACCTCAATGTATCTGGTCAAACGGTTGATCTTCTTCAAAGTGTTCTCACGGTGCTCGGCCTTGGTGGCGTCATAGTCGTGAGAGGAAGCAGCCAAGATGGGGTCGGTTTCCATCTGGTGGATGAACTTTCTCACCTCAAGGGCTCTTTCCTTGGAGCCCTCCAAAAAGTAGTTCATCTGGTCCACATCGAACTGAGCAGAGTCTCTCTCCTTCTGGATGAGGCTCTTTGGGTCTGGAGCATTGGAGTAGTCGACCTTTCCGGTGACTTTAGCGTAGGCGTCAGTAGACATGATAAAAAATGATGTATTGGAGTTCCTGGGAAAAGTGCAAGTCTATATATCCCCAGCTGCTTCACATGGTGCTGCGCGTGCAGGAGACATGTGAAAGCGTTTTCCCCCACACTATTGCGTAGTGGACATGAAGACGTGCTCCGGATTTAAAAAAAGGGCCTTTATTTCAGTCACGATTAGGCCATGGAGCCCAGGTGAAATGGAAATTTAAGCGGAGTCCACTGTATCCCCCAATCATGAAATCTCACCATCCCCACGAATTCTGACAGGCAGCCGCTTGGCTGTCATATGTGCGCCTTAGCGGAGTTGAGCACCGAGGTCCGAAAGGCGACCAGACGTGAGCAGAGTCATCTAAGACACAAAGGCGGGAGGGGGAGTTTCTTTTTGAATATACACTGAAGTCCGTATATTCTTCGGCGAAGGAGCCTGTTGTGCGTGGTCTGGGGTGCTTTTCGCAGCCAGCCAAACAGGTCCTCCATATTTCCCCGGATTAGCCCCCTCAGGTGGTGCTACGATGAGTGGATTGCAAGATTTTTTAGAATAATAGAATAAAAGAATTCTTGATGTTTCCCTCTGAGCACCAAAAAATTCCCAAAATCAAGAAAATCCCGTTTTGTGGTGCACTGGATTGGCTGTTTTCACAGCTGGTTGAGCCGAGGTAACGGTGCGCATAGGAGGGGCACTAGCACCGTTGGAGCTTACGCCTCGGCCGCATCAGCCCACAGGCATGCGCCAACCGCCAGGCTTGTGGAAGTTAAAAAAAGCAAAAAAGCAAGAGCCAAAAAAGGAAAGGAAAAAGAAAAATGCAGATTTCAAAGAGTTGGTGGTTTTTCTGAAATCGGTGTGGCTTGGGGAGGTGGACGTATTTGGAAGGGTGGGTCCTTGGAGGGGTCCTCTGGGGCTGGTGGATTGAGAATGCTACCATCACAGCCAGCATGCCAGCCTTGCAAAGTTCCTCACGTGGACAGAAGACGTAGACAGGCGACGTGAACAGATGACGGTTTGTTTTGTTTTGTGATTAAGCTTTTTTAGGTAGTGGATTTGGCAAGATTTGAAAAATAATAGAAATTTCAAGTTCTCTTGCTGGTGCCGTGGATGCTATGGCACGGTCCTTTCACAATGCAGATCGCTCACGTTCACCTAAACGAGGGTCACCTTTCGATCGCTGCTTCAACCTCTCAATTCTTCGAATCTTTAAAATCTCTTCAAATTCAATAATCTCTAAATCTCCAAATCCCCAATCTCCTCTTCACTTCCTTCCGGGGTACCCGCTGTGGGCTGACTTGGCTGCGAAAAGTGTTATGAGTCCATCGCCTGTGAAAAACTCTAAATATCATCGACACCCCAAGCGCTGGCACAATGGAACTTCGGACACTCCCAGCCCATTGTATCGGGCCGATCGCGTTGACACTTGACTCCGTCACATTGACGAGATCTCCAGCTTTTTTGCTCTTGATACTGTAATCTCCACAATTTTCATTATTGTCATTAAATATGGCTCCTCCCTGTATAATCACCAGTTAACGCTCTACTCTCTACTACACCTATTGTAACCATCCAGTATTACCTATTCACTCAATTAGACAAGACCTGCTCACTCGAGCCATAACCAATTCAATCACTCAAGCGTCAGACTCCTTGTCCTTCTCGATCTTGCCCTGCTCTCCGGCCCGTCCAATGTCAATCTTGTAGACATTGTCCTCATCACGCTCGGTCTTGGGAACAGTGATAACCACCCCTTCAGAGCCAACATCAGCGGTGATCTTTTCAAAGTCCACAGCCTTTTCGAATCCAACTCTGCTCGTGGACGTAGACAGCGACGTGTAGCTGTGGCTGCCCTCAGTGCTCTCTTGATTGTGCGAAATGGTAACCTCCAATTGGTTCTCCTTCTTGTGGTAGTTCACTTGCAAGTCCTTGGTCGAGGCATTGGCGTCCCGCACCTTCACCAAATATCTGTCGGGCTCCTCCTTCAACTTCAACACATCGCCCAAGTCTCTCAAGTGACCAAAGTCGTCATACCACTTACTCACAGTCTGAGGGTATCCTCTGAAGCTAGTGAGCTGGGAGTCGCCTGAATCGGCATCGTAGTTGATGGCTCTTCTAGGACGCCTGTGGTGATGAGGTCTGTCCTGGAAGCCAAAGAAGTCGTCGAAAAATGGGTCGTTGGAAATAAATGGCACGTATCTGAACATTGTGGATCTGTAATTGTCTGGCGGCAGAATGGCTAAAAGTCATGGGCCATATATAGTTGAGACTTGGGCCTCATGGTTCGATGAAGCCACCACAAGATTTCTCCAGAACTTTCTCGCCGGGTCTCGAAACCCCCTTAACTCAGGGTATGGTCATATTGTTGCCAGGGTCTTACTCCACATTAGAACCAACCAGAACCATCTAGCGAATGTGCAGCCACAGTATATGCAGGTCCGACAGAATCCATAACCTTATCGTGATCAGATGCTCCTGACTGGAGAATTCTCTAGATCCTGCTTTTATTATCAAAGAACTTTCTAGCTCTTCACGTAGGTGGCGTCAATTTTCGTGATACTCTCACCCAAGTTGAGTCTGAGTTTTCTTCTGTATGCGGTAGGGTTGCTGGTCTGCAATGGGTTACCCTCAAAGTAGACGGTATCGAGTTCAGGCAAATTGCCCAATTCCCGGTGAACCTCATCGAATGAGCTGATTTTGTTGTACGAACACCAGAAATCAGTAAGGTTCTTGAGATGGGACAAGTTTTCGAGTTTCTCGAGCCTGTTGGATGTGACATCTAACACAGTTAATTTAGTGTTATTCTCCAAATTCTCGATCTTCTCAATGCCGTTGTGTGATACGTAGAGCTCCTCCAAATTGACCAATTTGTCCAAGCCTTCGAATTTCGTGATTCTGTTCGACTGGATCGACAACACACGCAAGTTGACGAGACTGTCGAGATTCTGGAACTTTGGAATGCGGTTTTTACCCAACCAGAGCTGCTCGATGGAGGGCATTTTGAGAAGGGTCTCGTTGATTTGCTCAACCTTATTGCCACCCAACTCCAAGTTTTTCAATTTCTGCAACGTTTCAATTCCCTTGATCTCCTTGATTTTGTTCTGAACAAAGTAGAGGTTCTCGAGCTTTGTCAAATTGTCAATGTTCTTGATGTTCTTGATCTTGTTGAACGAAAAGTCCAAGTTCTTGAGATTGACGAGCTGGTTCACCTTACTACTGATGTGGTTGATTCTGTTGTCATAGAAGTCCAATTCCTCCATGGTTTCGGGAGGCAATTCACCAACAGCACCAGTCGAGGTGATCAAGTTCTGACGTAAGCAAAGAGACTCCAACTTCTTGAAACGGCCCAAGTTCAAATCCTCCAAACTGGTGATCTTGAGGTGGATCAAGTCCAAATACTCCGAATCCGAAGCATAGTCTGCTGCCAAATCGGCGTCATTTTCAATACTTTGTGGGTTTGGATCCGGAAGAACCGTGCCCGGGTACTCCACTGCACCATTGTCTTCTTCCTCGGGTTCAGAATCGTCATGTTCTTCGTCGGTGTGTGAGAGATACAAAGCCTCGGTTTGGTCACTAAGTGCTCTCTGTTCCTCCTCTTCTGACTTGGTCATGTTGATATGGTGATGGTGTTGAAGTGAGGAATGCAAGGAGTGCGTATCACTATGGGTCTTTCCTACACAATTGGAGAGCTCCAATTCTCTGGTCTACTATATGATGTTTCAGGAGAAGTAAGTATGAATGGTATAGGCTACTGCTTTTTGGTGATTCAGTGAAAAAGATCTGTTCTTCTGATAACTTGTGTGGTGAAAAAAACCTCTTCTGCCAAGTTGCTCTCATTGTGGGTTGCTTCTCATGTCAATCGAACTATAATTTTTATGAACGAGTGTCGTTGACTTCACCAATTGGTACTTTGACGGCACCGCCATTTCTCCTAAATTTGGTGCTTGTACGTTGATGGTTGAACCCTAAGACTACTAATGGAGTGCCCTACATGCAAGACCCTACTACAGAGGGCAAGTACCCATTCCTTTTAATGAGTTGCAATATTATATGATCATGAATAATGGTATAACCAAAAAAAGCAACGTTACGTCCACACAGCTTGATCTTTTGAAACCCTTTACTAAGAGGTCTGGTCGACGAATACTAAGGTGACGACTTTGTAAACAATGGCCCCTTAGACCATGGAAATTTATCCGAGACCAACTAAACCAAAAAGTTAAATGAGGCTTATTTCGTTCCACAATGCCCACCTGGATCAGTTTTTCCACGATTATCGAAGATTCTTCCTTGGTGGGTAGATCGGTACCTGCACCTCACTGACCAATGACATGCTACTAGATAGACATTACACGGGACGGGCCACTTTAGGTGGCAAAATGATCAAAATGGAAATCAAGTTCAAAGATTTTAAATTGAACCAATAAAAACGATTCACTAATGTGGTATTTGAAATTGCGGAGAAAAGCACATGGTCTTGTCTAAAATCCGCAACAGAGTCAAATCAAGGTCAGACAAGTCAAATCGGCCACGACACGGAACAAGAGAAATCAAGTAGAAACAGCAAAGAAGCTTCTATTCCTCCAATCATATGATAACAGCCGAGCCGTTCGTCTTGTTTCGCATTCCTTGATGAGACAACTTTCACTGTTGACCCATACGGCCACTCTACAAAAACGCTTCCTTTCTTGTGACATTTATATATTTACAGCGACGCCATCTTACAACTTTTGCTCTTCCTCGAAGATGTAGTCGACAGCCTGGCCCACGGTCTTGATCTCGTCAGAGATCTTGTCTGGGATCTCAATGTCGAACTCCTCCTCCAAGGCAACGAGAGCCTCGACAGTGTCCAAGGAGTCCAAACCCAAGTCCTTCTGGAAGTCGGACTCGATGTTGATGTTAGATTCCTGAAGAGCAGCAACGGTCTTCAATGCCTCAAATGCTCTGGTGGTGACCTCCTCCTTGGTGATGGGGGCAGCAGCGTAGAAACGGATTGGCTGCATGGCTCTGAAAGTTGGAGCCACAGAGACTGGGGCTCTCATGACAGGGGCACGGATGGCACGAGCGGCAAACTTGAACATGACAAATGAGGTTGTTTGGTAATTTGTAATGTAGGCGAGAAGTAAATTTTTAGCTGTGAGATTCCGCATAACATCCGTGCATCACCACCCACAAACCACCAAATCAACCTTCTTTAATGGGCAACATTTCTCCAGTTAAGAGCAGTTCTTTTTTGCTTGGGGCCTGTTTGACTTGAAGAGAAACTGTTCAGAAGACTGGGGTCGGTGGAGTTGGATGGTGTAGAAGACAGCCTCGACAGTCTGCTCACAGAACGCTGTAAGGTCGATCCGTTCGTAGACGAATTTGCTTGTCTGTCCGAGACTTGGCGGTCTCTGGTGTGCGTGTTGCTGGAGAAGTCGTAACTTTGAGACTCGTAGTTTGTGTTGATTTTCAAAGCGGCAATTTCGTCTTTAAAGTTGAGCTTGAACGACTCCACTAACGCAGTCTGAGAGGCCCTCAAGGTGGGCAGGATCAACACTCCATGGAGGTGCAAACATCTACTCAAGACCATGGTCAAGTCGTTAAAAGCATTACGCAAAAGTCTCACACTGTCTGCAAATTGAGGCTTGCCAGCGTAGCGAGGATCCTCGAAGAATGCTCTGTACTGACCCACACCACCATTTACTGGTGCATCAACAGTACCAGCCAAGTGTCTGCTCAAATCACTCAACAAGGATGTGTACTCGACCTTCTCCTTGATAGCAATATTGATCATGCTCTCCAACTGCAGCATGTCGTCGTTCTTTGTCATGATAGATCTGATGGCATTGTCCAAGGGCGACAATCTCACCACCTTCGAGTCCTTGATGTCACTTCTGTTCATCAAAGTTGGGAAAGAGAGACTTGTTTCGTAGGTGATTTCCTCAGTCCATAAGTCAAACACAGAAGTGGCACCACTGAGCTTCTTGAGCGAGGAGAAGTATCTCAAGTTCTTGTTCTTGACATACTGTCTCACACCGATAGAGGTATTGAGCAATTTGTCCGAAATCTCATAAACAGGTTCCACGACGTTAATGTGCAAGTACCTTCCGGTCTGGTTCTTGCTTCTGAGTTCACGAGCTTGCTCGTCATCGGTGATGATTCTGGCACCAGGGTACATCTTCAACATTCTCTCGTGAACAGAAGTGATGTGCTCGAATGGCTGGCCTTCCAAAATCTGATCTTTACCTCTGATATTAGCAGGGAAACCAGCACCAATGAAGGCCACTCTGAAGTAAGAAGGACTCAATTTATCAGAGGCTTCCAAATCCAAGTAAAGCTTAGCCAACTTGTTGTGAACAAAAGCAAAACTCTTCAAATCATAGGTGTGCTCATTGTAAGCGGCAAGAAGCTCGTTGTAAATGTCAATGGCTCTTTCCAAACTGTTACCCTTGACGTAGTTGTGAGCAATCAATTTCACAATACTTTCCTTACGATCAAAGGAAGACTGCTCTGGGAACTTGGGCCTGTAAGATGGAGGCTGGATCAGGTAGTGATCCCAACTGTAAGTCGAAGACAAAAGCTCCAAACTCAATGCAGCTTGCACGTAGTCCTTCTTTCTGAGATTGTCTTCGTACATCTGGTTGATGAAAGAGTGGAACAACTCGGGTCTGTTGGCCTGCTTCAAGTAAGCATTAATGTTCAACTTGTGGAATGTACGGTCGTCTTCAAACTCTGCACCCACAGGAACACTGTTGAAGTCATTCAAGACAGCAATGAAATCGGAGATATTGGAGATGAACTTTACCACGATAGGGTATGCAACATCCTCGCGATCCAAACGAATGGTAGTCTTCATTCTCTCAATAAGACTTGTCTGCTCAGGAACACCTGGCTTGTAAGCGTTTCTGTTGTAGATATTATACAACCCTGTCAAGCACTCTTTTTCCACATCGACAATGGAGTTGCTCAAGACATGCTCAGAAACCAAAATGGACCACAACATCTTGATACTCACAATCTGACAAGCCTGGTTTCTCTGCAAAGAGAAGAGCATCAAGTCTTGCAACACTCCGTAGTCACTGTTGATGAATTCAACCTGGTATCCACCAAATTTAGTAAGGTTGAACCTCACCACGTCACCCTCTGTTGCATTCCAGGCCAAGGCATCCCACACCTCGTTGATGATATCAGCAATTCTGTCTCTCATATCACCAGTGATCTGGTGACAAGCTTTTCTTGGAATTGTCGATAAGTGCTCGATGGAAACTGGTTGCAATGCAGCCAATTTCAACAATGCCTTGAGGTAGCTACCCCAGATTGATCTATCAAACTGCTCGGGGGTTTCGATGCTAGGAATGGCGCTGGCCACCATCAAAGGTTTGAGCATCTCCAAGCACAGCAAACTGCTCTCTGCAATGGTACCATACAATGAAAGCCATTTGTCTTCAGGGAAGTACTTGCCCTGTCTCATAAGCGCAATAGCCTGCAAAACGGTAAGGACGTTTTCATTCCAACCGTTCTTCGACAAGTACTTAGAGGAGTCGAAAAACGAGTCGTCTTCCAAACTCAAGAAGTGGCTGAAGCGCTCGTCGCATGTCACAGTCTTCTCGATTTGACAAATAAAGGAGATGATCGCAGCCAACTCCACAAGAATTTCAACCACAACCTCCTCAGGTACAACACTGTCGAGGAAAATTTCCTTGAACGGGTACGTTGAAGGGAAGAGAGCGGTGAAAGCCTTCTTTGGCTCGAAATAGCTATGACTTCTGGTGAACTTGTTGAAGCGAATGAAGGTTCTGGCCAATGGGAAGATGAACTTCGACAAGGTCATAGCAATTTCTTTGACGTCGTCATTATCGAGATTCGAATAAACCAAAGTACAGACACAGTTCATGATAGAACAAGCAAGTCTAGAGGCGTCCACATCAATTGGGCCGAGGAAGATTTCCATACACCAAGTAACTGAACGAGAAACCAAAAACTGGAAATGGTTGATGTCACGAGACACCTTGTTGCTGAAAAGTCTGTAAATGACGAGCAACTTAGTCATTACGAAACGATGATCCTTGAGGATGGCAGTCGTCTTCTTTTGGTTGATACTTTCATCATCAACACCAAGCCCTCTGAAGCTGATGGAGTCGATAAACCTGACAACCAATGCCAATAATTTGAAGTCCTCAAAGTCTGTCTCATAAGCCATAACAAAATCCACCAACTCCATTACCAAAATCTGATCATTGATGAGAGCTGGGTTTTGGAGTTGAAGGAAGCGAGATGCACTGACAAAGAGCTTGTTGATATCTTCCAAATACTTTGTCTTGTCGGAGACTTCAGAAACAGGGTCGAGAGCCAATCTTGTGAGCAAAACGAGAATACGGCAAACAGATCTGGACATTGCGTTCCAGTTAGACTCAGCAAGGGTGAACACTTCGGCCATTTTGTCCAACAAGAAGAGACCAAGCTTTGGTGATTTCTTGTAGTCCTCCAAGAAGGTATCGAACATGAACAAGTACTGATCACGCTTACCAAAGTTGGTGTCGAGCAAATGTACCAAAGCCTTGAAGGTGGTGTTCAAGACTATTTCGTAGTTGAGGCCATCGTTGGCAGACAAACATCTGTCGATGATTTCAAACAAACGGGTCATGGCTTCAGCAAAGAACTTGACCAACGAGGCGATGTCCAATTTGCAGAAGTCAAGCAAAGTCTGGGTAAGATCGTTCAAACCAGCCTGAGTGCCAACGAAGAAACGATTGTTTTGGAACAAGTTGTCAATGGCGATCTCAGTGTTGAAGACCTTACCAATGTACGTTGTGTGAATTTCGAGTTGGGCAAGTGTCTTCTTAGTAGAGAACGAAACCACATCCACGACCTGGGCACTTGGTTTGTTAAACTCCACCAAGCGGTTACCTGATTTGTACATGATCTCAGCATGACCAGCCAATACACCGTTGATGTACAAGGCGAGATGGAGAGAGTCCAGCTTGGTGGGCTTGCGAGTCGAGTTCTTGAATGAGATACCATTGACTTTGACAATCTCACCAATGACTTCGTGAGTACATACAGACACGAACTGCCACTTTGGCTTCTCGATCTGATTCGAGGCCTTGGCGAAAGTAATGGAATCGTTGTTGGGAGCACTGACTTCGAAGGTCAACAAATCGTCTCTGTTCAATGGGTTGAGTAAAGTGACCTTGCCCATCTTGAGGTAGATACGCTCATAATTCTCAGCAAGAGGGTCGTAGAAGATAGGTTTGATCTTTGCGATTGGAGCTGTTTTCATCGAAGCATCGACCTTAGTGGAGTGGAAATTCTCCTCGTCAGGCGAATCGTCAGTGAGCTGATGTCTGAACTCCTTGACAGTCACAACCAACTTTTCAGCTCTTGGGTTCACGGCAATACCGTGGTTGGAGCCCTTGATAATTCTGTCGACCAACTCACCCCAGCCGTTGTTATCGATTCTGGAGGTATCAACGGTTCTCTTATGGGAAATGTGAGAACCGAACAAGTTGATGGAGAACTGGTGAGATTCGCCTGAAGTCAAAGAGCCCAGGTTTCTCGAGAAGATTCTGGTGATGTCAGTGACACCAGCAGCAACACCCTTGTTGATACGTTCGATCTTGGCGCTTGCATCGTTGATCTTCAAGTCAAGCTGCTCAACTAAAACAGCCACCAAGTAGACCCTGTTGTTTTCCACTTCACTAGCGGGAATGTTTCTAAACAAAGCGGCACTGATCTTCTCCACGAAAACCAACTCATCAACAGTGTCTGTATGAACAGCGAATGCCTCTGTCAATCTTCTCTGGGTGTTTCTCACGTACATGTACGCAATCATCCCGGCGAATCCTGGAGGCTGGTACTGAGAAGAACCACTCACCGACTTGAAGTCCACCAAAATATGGGAGGGACTTCCGTGAGTAAGCTTCTTATTTGGAGTAGCATCGAGAATGTACTCGTCCCGCTTGTTATGAGCGTTAATTGGGAACTTAGGAAGCAAAGCACACAACTGCTGGTAGAGAGCCATAATCGAGGGATTGGAGTTTCTGGAATCCAACAAATCACCAGTAAATGCATCTCTAGCCAAGATGGCCTTGTAACCATTGACGTCAGTGCCCTTATTGTCCAAATCATAAGACTTGTCGTTGATTCTAGCAGCCTTGGAAGAAAGCTGCTTGGGGATGGAGCTCAACAAATGGTTGGCAGTCTCTTCAGTGAACTGGACTTCGTTGCGGGTCAAATCGCCATGGGTCAATTTCACTCTGATTTCATCCAAATCGTGGTAAAGCTGGGTGAGTTTCTGGAACAAACGGAACTCGCCAATCGAGTACATGGCATAGAGGTGGGAGGTGAGCAAGTTCAAAGTGTACGTGATCTCCTCGACCAAGTCGTTGGCAAAAGTGAATGTTTCAAATGGCAAGGGAGGAGGTTGAACCTTTCTGCCTCCATTGGTACCATTAGCCACATCACTTGGATCACTGGTGGCAGTTTCCACATACTGCTCAGTTTCCCTCAAAGTAGGAGCCATGTTGTTGCTCTGATGGACATTATTGAAGTCATCAGCGGCATTGATCATGTTCAAAGGCACGCGTTCAACCACCTTCATGTACTTCAAAGGAAACACCACGATCTTCCTGTTGAGACCAGGCAATTCGTCCAAGTTGACAGAAGTGATGGTGAAGTCACTGGGGAAAGGTCTGGTCAAGGAATAGCCACGAGCCCATCTGGATTGCTTGGTTTCAAAAACGAAAACTTCATCACCAGGGTACAAGTTACGGAAATTGTCATTTTTCAAATTGGGGTGCTTATCAAAGGGGAGAAACGGTTTGATAATACGACCGTGGAAAAACTCCTCGGTTGGAGTCCACGACATTGTTTATTGAACTGGTTAGAATAAAGGGGCCGAGGAAAAAGTAGACCGCTTATATAGAAATGGAGGTGGGAGTAGTTTCAGGCTTCAATGAGGCTAGACGAGGTGAGAAAAAGCGTCCCAGGCCTGCACCACTGTCAGGAACCAAATCGAGCATTACCGCATTTGAATAATTGCGGGCTTAAGCCAAATGGCTAAGCACACGACGGGGCCACTCTTTGTAGTTACGGACATCATGCTCCTTTCCTCCGTCCCAAATGTAGATGTCGTGCTCCCTTCTGCCGGAGTCGTAGTCGAGTGCTTCCAAGCTGAGAATGCGCGTACCCTTGATGACCTTGTAGCCAAGATAAAGCACGGCCACGAGAATAAGGGTGCCGTAACTCGAAAAAAAGAACATGACATCCCATTGTCCGTCAAGAAAAACCACGTATCCCATGGATAGGAGAATCACGGCAGACCCTATAAGCCCCACAATCGCACTGTACGGCTGAAGGGGCGACTTGTATGGGTAAGACTTGTCATTCCTGTCGATTATGTCGGGCCGCTTTCGTAAGCCGTAGTAGAATCTGATGAATGAAAGGCAGATTGCAAACCAGACAAAGACACCCGATGAGGAGATGACGCTGGTGAGGTTCTGGAAAACTAGCGTTGCCAGCTCTGACACACAGGTATAGGCGAGGAGACCAAAGACAAACGATAGAAGCACCGCATAGTAAGGGATACCGAAGCGGTTGCAATTCATCAAGATTGCGGGGGCCTTACGCTGAAGGGCTAATGAGTAGACGGTTCTGGAAGAAACGTACAACTGAGCGTTTCCACACGATAAGGCAAAGAATACCAAGAAGCCATTCTGAACTGCACTCCAATTACAAAGCCCCACGCTCTGGAAGGCCACGGTCCATGGACTTTGTGAGCCATTGGCAACGCCTCCAATAACCTGCGATGGCAAGTGGCAGTTGTTACCACCAACGTAACGCACAGCGTAGTTATCGTCAAAAGTATTGGGGTTGACACCAGTTGTGCCTGAGTAGTAACGCAAGAGTCTGGGATCACCGGCGTAGATGTTTAACGAGACAACAAACACAGCAATGACGTAGAAAATGAGGATTCTCCAAAACACTCTCCTCGTGGCTGAGGGCAAAGCCTTTCTTGGGTTCTTTGCTTCACAGGCAGCGATACACACAATCTCTGTGCCGCTATAGGAGTATGCTGCAATGACGATTGCGGTCAAAAGTGACATGAAACGACCAAGGTCGCCTCCGATTCCCTCGGTTTCTGCCGACATTCCGTCGTCTTGTAGGTCGAATGTTGGACGAAAGAGACCGAATATCAAGTTGTGTTCCCAATCGGATGCCAGTCGGTCCCAGTAAGTGAAGCCAACAGTCCCGTGGTTTCCGAGTCCGCCACGGTTGATGACAATCATTACGATAATCATAATAAGGGTCACCACCATTTTGATCACACTCGACCAGTATTCAATCTCGCCAAATACTCTGACATCGAATAAGTTACTCAACAAGCAGAATAGCAAAAAGAGCGTGACAAAGCCCACGGTGGAGCCCTTGCTTTGAGTGATCTCCAAATCGGGAAAGTAGCTTAGTAGAATCACGGCTGCCACTATCTCACCCGCTAATCCTAGGGCGAAACTAAGGAAATATAGCCACCCTGTGGTGAAACCAAATGCCTCATCCACAAAACGTGAGTTCAACCCGGAAACACCGTCCACGACGGAAACAAAAGTGACCATTTCACAGAAACTCACAAGTGTGGCTAGCACGATCACTCCAACTATGATGAAAGCAAGAGTAGTACCCAAACCGCCCGCGATCGTGAAAGCCTTTCCACAGTTCAAAAACAATCCAACTCCAAGGGTGCCTCCAAAAGATATCATTTGCAAGTGTCGTACTTCAAGCTTACGTTCAAGAAACCGCCCGCTATGTTCACCACTCGAGCTAGTTTCCAAATGGTCGCCAGCGACCCGTAGCTCGGAAACATCAGAGTCATTTTGTATTCTCTTCTCCCTGTCGGTATTATTATTCCATGGCGCTTTAAACTTGAAGCCTACCTTCAGGGGAGTGCTGGTGGACTCGTCAGTTCCAGAAGAGCAAAAATTATTCTCTAGATCGGATGGCTGCACGATCGAGAGCATGTTCTCATCCTGCTTGAGTTTGTTCTGACGGAGTTGCTGCAGAATGTAATCGTTGAGCTCTGCTCTTTTCACGTACTGGGAAAAGTCATCTAGAGCGGAAAGCTCAAACACAGATGCACTATCCTGGGGACCAGCCCCGGCAATATTCTCGTACATGTCGAGGTACTTAAACTTCTTGTTTTTTGGATCCTTCGCCACATACTCTGTGCTTGCTTGCGGTCGTAGTTTTGTCATCTTATCTAGAATGCTATCACTGAGGCTTACCCCAGATTCAGGAGACCCGAGATCGACCTCGTCATCCTGGTCAGTGAAATCCATAGAAGTATAGCTCTGTGGCTGAGCCTGAAAAAGCTCGTGAGGACTGCCTATATCGATCGACAGTTCCATCTCGCTTGGAGTGTCATGTTTCATATCTGAGTCAGCAGATCTGGTTTCGTGAGAAGAACGATGATGTCGCAGTCGTAGGGATGGAAATAAGCCTGGTCTATAGGAGGATCCTTGCGACAGCTTCGAGGCCGCCGAGGATTCAGGCATGGTGTGGGTAGACAAATCTGGTGATTTGAGTAGTAGGTCAGATAATAGCCCAGTGCGCACCGTGATGGTGGACGAGATAGGAAATCACCAAGACCCTAGGTGATTGAATATCGAAGGAGAGAGTGAAGGGGAGGAGTTTGAAGTGATGTTGGTTTACGTTTCAAGAGGGCGATATCGAGGCTTTTTGTAAGTTTCTAGTTGACTAGAGTTGGACCCTGACTTAAGTCGAGACAAGGCTTTACGATCAGCCTCTTTAGCAGCCGTGAAAGTATGATCTAAGAGCATACTCACATAAGAGACGAATCTCCCAGTATTTGTTTAAATGAGACTCCGAGCTAGAGATTCGATTAGACTAATTTCTCTTATCTCGTCTGTAGTCGAATCACCTTAGTTGGGATGTCTCACTCTGGCTGTATAATCTAACCTCAGGCCAGCCAATACCTAAATATCCCTTTAAACCACTTCTATGGACTCACAGAAACCGCTTAAAGAGATGCGTCAGGAACCGAGTAGTGCAATGGTAACGACACTGTGGGGCCAGGTGTGAGCAAGCCCAACAAGCCCGACCCCGAATTTTCCAAAAATCATAAAATATTGTTTTGTCATCAATGATGACGTCTCAGCTGTTACACTGAGAAGAACAGATACTACACTTGATCTAAGCCAAATGGCAAAGAGATTTAATTCGAAAAGTTAGGGTGGCAGGGTGCGCGCTCCTTATATAGTCTGGAGGCCGCTGGCCGGGTAACCTCTTCTCTTCATGCATGCTTGCGACATTTTGCAGCCAGGAAAGATGCAAGGGCTGTCTTGGTCCCCTTCAGAGTCTACGCTAATCTGGAACAGAAACTGGAACCTGGCTATGAAAATTATGTATTTGGATTCACCCGTAGACATTTATGTCGCACGACATTGCTGAGTTGCAGAAATCCAACGCCATTAAGGTTTCCAGTACGTGCTGTACAGTAAAATAAAGTTCAAATGCCGAAGTCGCCGGTAGATGCCCGGGATTCCTGGACGCCGTTTCATCAAAATAAGCTGAAATGATTCAAAGTCTTTGAAATTAAAGAATTTGAAGTCATCGCTGTAGGACGAGCTCATCGAGAGGCTGCAGCAGTAACATAGTGGCAAACCGCATGAGATGCGTACAAGATATATTTAGTGAGCTGAGGAAATCTGACCTCATCTCGCCTAGAGCTCTGTTCTGGTTTTAGAGACGGTGGTAGATTCCGAAACTCAAAGAATAACCGGCTAGGTCCATGCAATAGTAGTAATGCTCTGAAAAATCAAACCTTATTCCTTCATCATCGAACCCACCTACCTTCTACACTATCCATAGGAACCTTGCATAATTGTAGCACCCAAAAGCCAAGAGTTTTGGCTATTGGTTATCACATTTAGTATAGCCCGCCATGCTTCACCACATTAAATGCTAATTTGCTAATTGTGTAAACTATACCCCATGCCCTCCTTTCACCTCTGGTTCCCCTATTGTCCTTTCCATTAGCGACTAGTTTGCAGCCAAGCGTTGGTGTACCCCCACTCTCCATGCAGAACTCGTGTCTCAACATTCCACTATATATAGCTACACCCCGCTTCATACATGAAAAATTCCAAGTCCCGTACATTTTTCATGTACGTTAGCTTCTGCTGGAACACCATGGAAGAGCGCCGAGAGCGAGGGAAGATTCTATGTATGTGGTGTACGGATGTTTTGGGGGGAAGATGTCTGGACGTCGCGCTCAAAGCGGCAAACGCATGCGCCGCACGCCTCATCGCATATCTACCACAGCAATTTTTTCAGCTATAAGAGCTGCACCGTTTCTCAATTTTTCCAAGATCCACGTTTTTTAGACAAATGTATTCCAAACCAAGATACAACAGAAAATCACACAGAGGTGCCGGCCGCAGCAGATCGGCCAGACCCCACCACAGGGGCGGCCACAGAGGCAGAAGATATTCTGGCTACCACTACCCACAGCCTTCTAACTCCAAGGTCTACATCGAAGAACCAGAGACCGAAGAGGAGGAGGAGAGTGGCAGCGAATACGATGTTGCTCCACAAGACGAGGTCTACGAATTCGGCCTTGACGACAACTCCGACAACGAATATTCCAATGTCGTCTACGACGATGAGTCTGACTTTGACACCGAGTCTGAGTCCGATGGCAAAGAAGAAATTTTCATCATCGCCAACGACGATGTTGTCGACATCAGCGACATCTTGGCCGAGGACGCCTTGAACTACATGGAAGCCGAGGGTGCTCTCAGAGACGTCAACGATGACTTGGTCCGTTACTACGACCTGGACTCCGAGTCCTCCGACTCTGACTTGAGCTCTGAGGTTTCTGAGGCCTCTGACGACGACAGCGAAATCGACGTTGAGCTCGATTCCGAAATTGAGGACCTCCAAAAGACTCTCTACCTCTTGTCTGGTGAGGCTGACGATGACAGCGTTACCGACCTTGAAATCGAATCTGGTGATGAGTTGGAGGATGTCAGACAGACTTTTGCCGACGAGCTCGACTCCAGCGACGAAGAGGCTGTTTCCGACTTGCTGAGCGACTCGGACGACGACATCTTCTTTGAAGTTGGTTCCGACTACGACTCTTCTGACGATGAGTTCTCTGACGACGACATTGCCGTGGACGAGTACTTGTCCGACTCCGACAGCTCCGACTCGGACTCCTCCGACGACGAAGGCATCACAATCTACAGGCATAGATTCGACTTGCCAGACCGTTACGACAGCGACAACGACTCCACCGATGAGGAGTTGGCTCTTTACGAGCCTGACCAGAAATACCTCTTGGCTAACGACCTGGATGACGAATTTGACGTGATTGACTTGACCAGAGACCTCAAAGACTCCAAGGACTGCGAGGTTCTTGAGCTTGACGACAACACCTACAAGTTGAACCTCAGGTTGCCATCGTTGATCAAGGAGGACCTTAAAATCGACTTCTCCAAGGCCAAGAACGAGTTGGTGATCACGGGAAAGTTCAGCTTCACCGGCGAAGAGTCTGAGGAGTCTGACGTTGAAGAAGAGGTTTCCGAGGTTGACAGAATTGCTGAGGCTCTTGAAGCTGAGGAGCCAGAGGCCAAGGTTGCTGAGGCCGCTGAGAACGACGAAGACGAGGAAGATGAGGAATACGAGAGTGCTGACTCCAGCTCCAGCTCCAGCTCCAGCTCTGAGTCCGACTCCTCTGACTCTGAGTCTTCTGATTCCGATTCCGATTCATCTTCATCCTCCTCTTCCAGCTCTTCTGAGTCTGAATCCGACTCTGACGAGGAGGTTGTTGAGGATGCTCAGGACCTCATCAAGGAATTCCAGAGCCAGGAGATCCAGTTCGAGAAGCACTTTGTCTTTGACAAGATCATCAAGGCTGACGAGATCCAGGCCAAGTTCTTGGCCAACGGTGAGTTGGAGATGATCCTCCCTAACGAAGGTGTGGAGGTTAACCAGGACACCGACAAGATTGCCATTGCCATTGAGTCCGCCGAAGAGGCTGCTGAGCCTGCCGAGGACGTTGTGATGGAGGAGTAAATTTTTACTCAAGCTGTACAATAGATAGACAGCCCGAGAGGCTTGCATTGCCATATGGAAGGACACAGTCCGCCAAAGGAGAACCAGCGTTGGTTCACATATAGACCTTGCAACCATATGATGTATACGATAATAGAGTGACGACACGTCATGATGACTATCACCTCTCTGAACTAGATTGATTTCAGAAAAAATGCAAACAGAAAACACTAAGAAAAAATATTGTTGTTGAAAAAGAGAAAAGAAGAAAAAAAGCGTATATGTGTTGCAATAGATGTGTATACCACACTGACGTCATTGTAGATAAGCGAGCGGTGGAGCATATAGGCATGAAGTATAGACGACTTGTGATGATTGAGGACTTACAAGTTGTTCAAAAAACAAGCAGTTGAGCGTATGGGGACCTGGAATTGCGTTTATAGTCACGGAACCACAAAATCCCATATTCCGCTGTTCCACAAATCCAGACTCGTATCGAACCCTACGTCCAACAATGCCTACCCCAACCTACCCAGCAGCACTCCGACGCCTCGAAGCAGCCCCTATATCCAATTAAAGAATGGTCTTTACCAAATACCATTTCACGACTAGCCATATGAAATTGTCAATTGTGAGGATTCCTTCAGTTTCGGTAAGCCAAGAGGTATTTATAGACTAGACAAGACTAAAAGTGCATTGTTTGCGCCCCACCAAAACCCATATGGAAAAACACCGTCAGTAGGCCGTATGCCCGATCGAGTAGGTAGAGCCAATTGTTACACTACACCATAAAGCTAAACGCCACTGCAACCTCCCAAGCTTTATGTAGGCCCCTTCACTAATCTTGCTGTATCTCGTATATGGCATGTGGACCTCGATCCTCCGCTTGCTCCTTGATCTGAGACAGCAACAGCCTGCAAACACTACATCCACACAAGGTGACCGCATGGCGTCTATTTGCATTACTAGCAACAACTCAAGCCTCGGGGCCCCTTAGAGCCTATTTCCGGGGCGCAAACCGCCTAATTGATCCACAAAATGGATCCGAACTTGGATCGGTTGCGCGGGATTTTGGTAATTGAGCAAGCAGTATTGGTGAATATGGAGAGAAAGGACTGAAAAATGAAAAAATCAGCAACCTATAGCGGCGTGGAAAGCTCGCACGATAGTTGATCTACGCAGAAAAAAGCATGTAAAAAAAAAAGGGTCCGGGGCTTTTCGAAAAATAGCGTAAACGAGTCCTCAGCCGTGTTTTCACATTGTGGCCGCAAATTCCTCATTGACAAAGATTTCTTGCGCTTGGGCCCTGGCTGTGCGATGGGTAATTCCAAACAATAAAACTTCCGAATCTGGGGAACATTTCGCAGCCACTGTCTATGCTGTATAAATAGCCCTCGCCGCAGCAGCAACATCGCTTTTTACTAGATTTGGACTGGGCCTGGTTTATAAAACCGGTCTAATATCAGCTTTCACAACCTTAATGCGTTTGGCTTACACTATAGCGCTTCTAGCGACTGCCCAGGCCATATGGCCCTTTGGCAATTCAGATGAGTCTTCCTCCGTGAGCTCCTCAGAAAGCACATCTACTTCCTCCAGCTCCAGCTCATCGTCGAGCTCGTCCAGCTCGTCTTCCTCAGAATCATCTTCAGAAACTACCACTGAGGAGTCTTCCTCATCCACTTTCGGTGTGCCCACAACAGAAACAAGCACAGGCGGTGGTCTCGAGTATGCACCCAAACAAACGCTGTGTCCCGACTACGATATTGTCAGAAACGCATCTGTGCTTAATGAAGCAGAGTCAGAGTACATTCTGAACCGTCAGGCAATCACCAACGAGAACTTGGTTGATTTCCTCGAGAATGTTGCTCAGCTTCACGATTTCGATGCTCAGAACTTCATCGACAGCAGCAAGGATACCCACAATATAACCATCGGCTTGGCCTTCAGCGGAGGCGGCTACAGAGCCATGCTTTGTGGAGCAGGCCAGCTTTTGGCTCTTGACAATAGGTACAAGGAGTCTGAACTGCGAGGACTTGGCGGTCTTCTACAGAGCTCTACCTACTTGACTGGTCTCTCCGGTGGAAGTTGGCTTTTGGGTACGCTTATTCTCAATGACTGGATCTCCGTGGGTGACATTCTTGAAGAGGATAGTGGCATCTGGGACCTTTCCGACTCTATCTTCAACCCTAACGGTTTGAATGTGATTCGTAACATCCGTTACTACAATGCCCTCCGTGAAGCGTTGGACAGAAAATCCGACTTTGGCTTCGCTACTTCCCTCACCGACGTCTGGGGCCGTGCTTTGTCCATGCAATTTTTCAACGAAAACGAAGTCCCCAGAGGTGGTGAAAACATGACCTGGTCTGGTATCCAAGAGAGAGATAGCTACAAAAACCATCTGATGCCTTACCCAATTATTGTCGCCAACGGACGTAACCCCAACACGATAATCATCAACGAGAACTCGACCGTTTACGAAATATCTCCTAACGAGTTGGGTACGTGGGACCCTAGTGTCCGCAGTTTTGTGAACCTTAAGTACATGGGAACCAAGCTCGAGGGCGGCAAACCCAACACCTCAGAGTGTATATCCCACTTCGACAATGCCGGTTTCATGATGGGTACCCTGTCGTCCCTTTTCAACCAAGGTCTTCTTCGTTTACCAGACTCTGACATCAATTGGGCGCTCAAGAGAATCATTCAATTGATCTTGCTGCCTTTGCTGAAGAATGAAGTCGACATTGCCGTACACGAACCTAATCCCTTCTATTTAACCGAGTACGGTGACTCGGACGAGATCTTGAATGACTCCAGCTTGCATTTAGTTGACGGTGGTGAGGATCAGCAAAATGTGCCTCTCTACCCACTTATTCAAAAAACCAGAAACGTTGACGTGATCTTCGGGTTTGACAATTCCGCTGACACCGACCTCAACTGGCCTAACGGTACATCCTTTGTTCACACTTTCCAAAGACAATTTGCCACGCAGGGCCATGGTACTCCATTCCCATTTGTCCCCTCCAGTCAGGATTTTCTCAGAGGTGGTCTCAATGAAAGACCAGTGTTCTTTGGCTGTGACGCAAGAAACTTGTCTGACTTGGTCGCATGGCATGACTCTGAGTACAATGTTACTGATGTTCCATTGGTCATTTACATGCCTAATAGTCCTTACTCTCATGAGACGAATACCAGTACGTATGACATGAGCTACGACCACGATGAGAAACTCAATCTTATTCAGAACGGTTTCGAGGTGTCGTCCAGAGGAAACTTCAGTCACGACAGAGAGTGGCCTACTTGTGTCGGATGTGCAATCATCCGTAGACAGCAGGAGCGTCTTGGCGAGGAGCAGTCAGTGGAATGTCAAAGGTGTTTCGAGAGATACTGCTGGACAGGAGACATCGAAGACACACCTCAGCTGAGCATTGGTTCTGCTGTTTCCGGAGCTGCCCTCAAGACTGACGACGGTGGAACTTCCAACACGGTCGACTCTTCTACCTTGACTGCTGATCAAACTTCTTCATCCTCTGAATCTGCGACTGAGACTGCTTCCGAAAGTGGTAATTCATCCAATGGCGGAAGCGGTCCCGTGATGATGGAGGCTGGAGGTATGATGGTCGCTGGTCTCGCTGCACTTTTAATTCTTTAGAAAATGTTTTATAGAAAACGAAGTTACCAGTATTAGCAGTATGGTATGCGTAGGTGTGCATTTTTTCGCAGCCATGGTTGATCTTCAGAGGGCATCAGTTACACACTCAGGGAAACAGTGTCTAATTGGGGGGTGAGAAAAATTGATTAATATTTTGCAAACTTCCTAGATGATTGCAAATTGGATCATTCCGTGGGGTTTGTATTACAATATCTCTCGCTTTGTTGATGTAGATCACTACCATTGGGCTTCACACCTACAAGAACCATCTGAAAGCAAAACTTCCACAACATAATGTAAAACTTCATTAGCCCCAATCATACAAATAACATTTCAACCCTCCTACGACTCTGTAGGTCCTGAAAATGGGTGCCCATCGCCGGAGGTCACGTGCCTCATCGGGTCCTCACTAGGTCTGAAAAACTATAGAGACCTCATCTCAAAAAGCACATACCCAATATGGTCAAATCCTACGACCGTTACGAGCAGGACGCCTGCTTCGGTATCATTGGCGGCACATCCAATACCTTATGGCTCCCGCCTGCCCCTACCCAGTCGTCAAAGTCCGTAGGACGTGCTGTACTGGGAGGTCTAGAAGAGATCTTGATTTGGGACATCAAGACCGGAGAACTCATGACCAGATTGAAAGATGGTTTGACTCCTGGTGCTTCAAATGCACCTACATCTTCTCCACCAGCCACTGTGGTCGCTTTGGCCTTCCACGAACCTACAAATATCATAGCAGCTGGTCACAGCGATGGTAGTATCAAGGTATGGGATTTGACTTCAGGTTCTGTCATGGTGACCTTTTCTGGCCACCGCTCGTCCATCAGCGTTTTGCAATTTGACAGAACGGGAACAAGAGTGATTTCAGGCTCCGCCGACTCCTCCATTATTATGTGGGACTTGGTTGGTGAAGAAGGCTTGTTCAAGTTGAAGGGCCACAAGAGTCAGATTACTGGCATCTCATTCTTGAGTGAGAACCCCGAGAAAAAGCAAGACGACGAGTTCGAAGATTACATTGTGTCTGTGTCAAAAGACGGTTTGGTCAAATTGTGGGACACATCCTCAAGACAGTGTGTGGAAACCCACTTGGCCCATTCTGGAGAATGTTGGTCTCTAGGCCTCAATTCCCTCCAAGACATGCTCATAACATGCGGCAGCAAAGACCAGGTGAAGGTTTGGGAATTGGACTTGTCCAAGGAGGACGGTCAAAAAATCGTTAGTAAGGGCGAGTTTGAAAAGCAGAGCAAAGGCAGATGCACCAACATCGAGTTCACAACCATCAAGGATTCTTCCAGCGCTTATGAGGTTTTCTACCTTCAGAACGCCGACAGAACGACGGAGATCTACAGAATACGGTCTGCTGAAG